CGTGGGTGTCTTCCTTAACATTAGTAAAGGTATCCAATAGATACTAAAGTGACCTACGCTTTTCTTTATAGTTATTTAAATAGTAGTCTATAATTTATTTTTTACTTTTTAGTGCATCATTACATAAAAGCTTGTTATTAAAACGTTTTTTATGAATTTTTTTTACAAGCTTTTATTTAACTCACTTCCTCTGTCGTCAGTCGTCAGTCTGTCTAGATAGAAACGCAGGAGTGAAAATTCGGAAACTTCTACTTGACCGACACGATTCACAGTTGGCACGTGGGTCAAGACATGAAGACAATGCAATCTGAAACTAAATTTGACTTAATTGGATGCCTAATTAATTTTTTATTAATTAATTAAAATTTGGACCGAATTAGTAGGCATGTCTAGCCAACCACACCACACGCGTCATCACTTTCAATAGCTGCGCCATCACGTAATGGCTGCGTTCAAAAACCATTGCGCGCCTACTGAACGTGATGTTCAGTAGGCGCGCAATGGTTTTTAGTCACGTAACTCTATTGTAAATAAAACATGTAAAGTACTGAAAAAAAAATTCATAAAAAACGTTTTAATAACAAGCTTTTATGCAACAATGCACTAAAAAGTAGAAAATAAATTATAGACTACTATTTAAATAACTATAAAGAAAAGCGTGGGTGTCTTCCTTAACATTAGTAAAGGTATCCAATAGATACTAAAGTGACCCACGCTTTTCTTTATAGTTATTTAAATAGTAGTCTATAATTTATTTTCTACTTTTTAGTGCATTGTTACATAAAAGCTTGTTATTAAAACGTTTTTTATGAATTTTTTTTTTTGTATTTTACTTGGTTTATTTGTATTCACTCACGTCATTCCTAACCCATGTTTTATGATCACTTCTATTTTTTGTATTTTACTTGGTTTATTTGTATTCACTCCCGTCATTCCTAACCCATGTTTTATGATCACTTCTATTTGCTTGTATTTTACTTCCTTTATTTGTATTTACTCACGTCATTCCTAACCCATGTTTTATGATCACTTCTATTTGCTTGTATTTTACTTGGTTTATTTGTATTTACTCACGTCATTCCTAATCCATGTTTTATGATCACTTCTATTTGCTTGTATTTTACTTGGTTTATTTGTATTTACTCACGTCATTTCTAACCCATGTTTTATGATCACTTCTATTAAGCATTCTAAAGTATAATTAATTCATGTGTTGCATACTTATAACTTTACTTTCCGATCGTTCATTGGACCTGGTTAATGAGGCGTAACTAGAGGAGGGTGGATGAGGCGGCCGTCCAGGGCGCCGACCGTAGGGGGCGCCAAACAGTGCAGTAAAAAAGCTACGTTACTGAATTATAAGCCGCGAAAATGACGAAAATAAACTGCTGCTTTGCTTTCCTGACAGATTCAACTGTTTTGTAAATCAATTTTGCGATAACAGAATAAAAATTGTCAAGGGACAATGACTAGTAAAAAGCACAAATTTTATATATAAATGAAGGATGGAGGGGGGGGGGGAATCGATTTTGATAGTTCGCCCCGGGCGCCTCAATAAGTTGCTACGTCTCTTCTGGTTATTAAAACTCTTATAACCACATTATTAATTCTTACCGGACTCTGTTCATGTGGAAGTAGAGTATATAATTTTTTACATTTCATTGAATTACTTAAAAAATATTCCCCGGTAGCGATCATGCTCTAACCTTCCTACCAGTTGAATAGTATCGTTTTACTGATTATTTAGTATCGTTTTACTGAATCGTTTTACTGATTATTATAAGATGTGGCAGTTTAAAAGTATATCTTTTCATCTTTAATCGTTGATAATAGTCCATTTTTCGAGAATTTTTATTATGCTACATAACTATTTCAACCATGCTGGACAATTTCTACAGCCTTTCAGCAACTTGACATCGTTGTTTTTTAATACGATTTTCTTTCAAAGTTTTTTTCATAAATATTGTAATACTTTTTTATTGTAGTAATTTTGATAGTTACCAATTAAAATTATTAGAAACTTATAATGCAGATAAATAGAAAAGGACACAAATATAACTCTTCTTGGTGGCTATGTCCCTTTAACATTGAGTGCTTTATTTATTAGATATTGTAAATATTTCGAGTCATGGGCAGAACAGGTCAGACGACATTCGCTAACTGTATATTATTGTGTCGATCTGCTTCAATGTTATTGTTTTAAAAGCCGATTACTTTTAACAAAGTGGCCGCACACATTTTCTCTGGACAAATAATCTCAGACGTAATATCTTCGGGAAAATGATCTTATGACAAAAAAAATCTCAGACAAAATATCACAAGACAAATAATCAGGACAATATCTCAGGAAAAATGATCTCAAGAAAAATTATCTCAATAACAAATGATCTCACGAACAAATAGTCTTAGGACAAAAATATATGAGGAAAAATGATATCATGGATCTCAGACAAAGTACCTCATACACAATATCTCACGGCAAAATGTCCATAGTATTTTGGATTATTTTAGTTGAATGTAACATTCTTTTATTAATTTTAATACAGCTTTTATTTAGTTGAGTGTGAAAATTTAGTCGCATAGGGTTATCATTTTACATTATTGCAATAAGAAATGCAAAGAGTAAAAACACTTTAGATAGACAGCGTAGGTTGGCTTGGCGATCCTGAGACAACCCTACCAGATCAGGTCGAGGGAGTCAATCGGACAAATGTTTAGATTAACTTTTACAAGCTTTTATTTAACTTGCGACCTCGTCCTTTTGTCTGTCTCTCTATCTGTAGAGCTTTTGTTGTCATGGATCGAAACTGGTGAGCAATATTTCGACCACTTTTAACCGTAATATTTCTTTGAAAGCTTGGCACTAGGGTCAAGACCCGATGACAATTCAATCTGGTGTCAAATTTGACATAATTGGATGTCTCATTAATTTTCAAAGAATAAGTTATAATTTCCTATATAAAGTACTTTCTACAGTGCTATTATAAGCACATTGTTCGTGTTCATTTGAAGCGCAATTGTTTTTAGTCGAGCAATTCTATTGTATTAAAACATTTAAAGTATTGAAAAAAAATTCAAAAAATATTTTAATAACAAGCTTTTATATAACTATTTGTATGATTATGCATAAAAAGTAGAAAATACATGTCTTTCTTTAAAGTATATATATGCACCATTATTTGAAAGACTTTAAAGAATAGCGGGGGTCGCTATGTTAAGTATTAAATACTTTAACTAAAATTTAAGATGCAACTTACCCTTCTCTTTATAGTAATTTAAATAGTGGTGCATTATTATACTTTAAAGAAAATCATTTATTTTCTCAATTTTAGTGCATATTTTATAATAGCTTGTTATTAAAACTTTTTAATGCATTTTAAAAAGGTATTTGTAAAATTATAATAGAATATTGTAGAAAAATGAATTGCGCACCAAAACTAAATAACTACTTCCGGGTACCGGAAATAACTCAAAATTTGACAGTAGTCAGTGAATTTCGCCTAGCTAAACGGTACACAAGTTATCGATATTTTAGAAACAAAAAAATAGAGTAAATTACCACTTCCAGATGTAGGAGGTCACTCAAAAGTTTAACGTGATCCAAGCATAAGATCATATATATTTTATAAGAAATATTGTCTACTTTACACTGAACGGGTACTCAAATTATTCTGGTCCAATAGAAATAGAATAATGACCACTTCCAGTTACCGGAAATCGTTCAAAACTTGATAGGAAACTACAAATTGCTATTGTACTTATGTATGAAATTTCGTCAATTTAACTGAAACGGTACTCAAGTTCTCACGTAACAGACACACATACACATACGTCAGGATTGGAAAACACAACAATTCCCGACTCCGTAGGTTGTAAAAAGTCGAAATGTGTCAAAAACTCGATTTAGATTTTTTTGAACGATTACAATACATAATTAAAATACCGTATACGATAAGTAGTTAGGTGTTAAACAGTCTAAATTTCATGTAATTTTTGTGCACGATTACAATACTTCCTGTATACTCTGTATAAGAGAAAGTAAAAAAGCGACATGTTTCATATACAGCCATTATATATATATACATATATATATATATATATATATATATATATATATATATATATATATATATATATATATATATATATATATATATTCATTAATCGTAAAGTCATGCAATCATACAATTTTTCGATCAACCATCCATTTATTTATTTATTGATTGATCCCCGCATTATTACCCAGGCTGGAAGACAAGCAAAGTTTGAACCTCTGTGTGAGCTCTTGGGTCAGTGCTCAAAGACTTTAAAGATATAAACGGGGTCACAATTTATAAACAAAAAACTTTGAAAACGGTTGTGACTATAACACCTACAGAGACGTCTAACTGCTAAGTATTGTTGGTACGGACTAGGCAAGAAGAACAAGCAGAAAAATTGTATACAGAGTCTCAGTGCGAATTAGGCATGGAGATCCACTCTGAACAAGTAGGACAATCTACGCTTCAATAAATTGGATTGCTTGCGAACTGCAGTTCTCTCTATCTTAGCAGATGCAAATCAATTGTATTTATTTCATAAAAGTGCTTGTTTTTAAGTGCTTAAACATAATGGCAATCTGATTAGAAGGAGCAGTTTTGACATGAATATAAAAGGTAGAACATTTGAGGCATCAGAGGTTCAGAATCGTGAATAGATAAAAATCTAAGATCAAAATGCTGAAGTGGGATGAAATTAAGACAGAAAAAGGCACTTTCATGCTGTTGTTTGTGCCTTACAGATGAGGAAGAGCAAATGTATTAATTACTTGCCAAATGTGTGATGTATATCTGGCCACTATAAATAAGCTCAAGTTCACCTTGTGTATAATACTGTGAACTAGAGAGTGAAAGTTTTAGTTGAATTTATTCCCGAAACTTGCACCACTGTCTTCAAGATGGACATAAGTGACGGCAGACTCCTCCCCCCCCCCCCCCTCCCACAACCAGCTACACCTTAAATTAAATAATTAACTGATGATTGGATATACTTATAGTTGTGATATTTTTTTAAAAATGTTTTGAAAGCATCCATGTGTATTACAGAGAGTAGTCCACATAGATAATTAGTGGCTGCAGGTGTACTTGAAGCAGACGCTGTGCTGATGTATGCATCAAATGCTGCCTTTTCCTTTGTGGAGTTTTTCTTTAAGATCCTGCAAATATAGAGAAAGATAGAAATTAATTGAATTTGTTGTATCCTATTTATTTTAAATGTATATCGACAGACTAATAAACCGACAGATTGGCCGACCGACCGGCAGGCAGGCAGGCAATCAGACAGGCAGGCAGGCAATCAGACAGGCAAGAATGATTACAAAAATGATATATTTACCACTGACAGTTACAGGTGGGAAAACTTAATGCCATGGGCTAGATAGATGTCATTTTTAAAAAAATCCTTGGTTAAATAAAGTACTATCGGAGCACATAGAATACTTTTGTGTAAACTGTGTATTTAATCCCATTACATGCTTCTGATGTGGTTGACATGGCTGTGGTTGGAACAGCTGATATTGTCCAGCCACCAAATGTGTAGAATCCTTCTGATGTGGTTGACATGGCTGTAGTTGGAACAGCTGATATTGTCCAGCCACCAAGTGTGTAGAATCCTTCTGATGTGGTTGACATGGCTGTGGTTGGAACAGCTGATATTGTCCAGCCACCAAATGTGTAGAATCCCTCTGCTGTGGTTGTTGATGAAAGCCTCCACTTTCCCTCGGGTAACTTTACTTATCTACAGGCTCCAACTGCAAATAGTTTATATTGGAGTCGATGATGCAAACTTGGTTTTCAAGTGGGGCCTTCATAAGGTCCATATCTTCAAGTTAAGCTCTTTAAAGGCCGATAGTTTCAACAGGAGCTCTCTAAAGTTCCAGTGAAAGCCTATCAGTGCTTTGCGTCTGTGCTGCTAGCAAGGTAAGTAAATGTCATCATACTCTACAAGTGACGGAGCTTTCATTTAACATGACTAGTACCTTACTAGTTATTGAAGTCACACTTCTATGTCTCACAGTGCCATTAAATGCTCCCTTCCCAAACGCGGGTGTCAAGTCAAATAACTCGAGAGTAAGTACCTGCATTTGTTTTAAGATGGTGTTCATAAATAACTCGAGTGTAAGTACCTGCATTTGTTTTAAGATGGTGTTCATAAATAACTCGAGTGTAAGTACCGGCATTTGGTTTAAGATGGTGTTCATAAATAACTCGAGTGTAAGTACCTGTATTTGTTTTAAGATGGTGTTCGTAAATAACTCGAGTGTAAGTACCTGCATTTGTTTTAAGATGGTGTTCATAAATAACTCCAGTGTAAGTACCTGCATTTGTTTTAAGATGGTGTTCATAAATAACTGGAGTGTAAGTACCTGCATTTGTTTTAAGATGGTGTTCATAAATAACTCGAGTGTAAGTACCTGCATTTGTTTTAAGATGGTGTTCATAAATAACTCGAGTGTAAGTACCTGCATTTGTTTTAAGATGGTGTTCATAAATAACTCAAGTGTAAGTACCTGCATTTGTTTTAAGATGGTGTTCATAAATAACTGGAGTGTAAGTACCTGCATTTGTTTTAAGATGGTGTTCATAAATAACTCGAGTGTAAGTACCTGCATTTGTTTTAAGATGGTGTTCATAAATAACTCGAGTGTAAGTACCTGCATTTGTTTTAAGATGGTGTTCATAAATAACTCGAGTGTAAGTACCTGCATTTGTTTTAAGATGGTGTTCATAAATAACTCGAGTGTAAGTACCTGCATTTGTTTTATGATGGTGTTCATAAATAACTCGAGTGTAAGTACCTGCATTTGTTTTAAGATGGTGTTCATAAATAACTCGAGTGTAAGTACCTGCATTTGTTTTAAGATGGTGTTTATAAATAACTCGAGTGTAAGTACCTGCATTTGTTTTAAGATGGTGTTCATAAATAACTCGAGTGTAAGTACCTGCATTTGTTTTAAGATGGTGTTCATAAATAACTCGAGTGTAAGTACCTGCATTTGTTTTAAGATGGTGTTTATAAATAACTCGAGTGTAAGTACCTGCATTTGTTTTAAGATGGTGTTCATAAATAACTCGAGTGTAAGTACCTGCATTTGTTTTAAGATGGTGTTCATAAATAACTCGAGTGTAAGTACCTGCATTTGTTTTAAGATGGTGTTCATAAATAACTCGAGTGTAAGTACCTGCATTTGGTTTAAGATGGTGTTCATGCTGGCCATCAGCTCGTCTTGGACGTTCGTCTTCACGGCCATCTGATGAATGACGTCATACCTAAAGCTGGATATGTCATGCTTGATCTCTTCGAAGTCATCTGCATGATGTCAATCCACATTAAAAAAAATGCTCCAGCAATTTAACGACGTGATATGTGTGTTACTGACAGTTTATTTAACGACGTGATCTGTGTGTTACTGACAGTTTATTTAACGACGTGATATGTGTGTTACTGACAGTTTATTTAACGACGTGATCTGTGTGTTACTGACAGTTTATTTAACGACGTGATCTGTGGGTTACTGACAGTTTATTTAACGACGTGATCTGTGGGTTACTGACAGTTTATTTAACGACGTGATCTGTGTGTTACTGACAGTTTATTTAACAACGTGATCTGTGGGTTACTGACAGTTTATTTAACGACGTGATCTGTGTGTTACTGACAGTTTATTTAACGACGTGATCTGTGTGTTACTGACAGTTTATTTAACGACGTGATCTGTGTGTTACTGACAGTTTATTTAACGACGTGATCTGTGGGTTACTGACAGTTTATTTAACGACGTGATCTGTGTGTTACTGACAGTTTATTTAACGACGTGATCTGTGGGTTACTGAAACTCACCTTCTGTGACTTCAGCTTCTCTCTGTAAATCAAAAATATATCTTTGCACAATCCGTTCCATTGTTTGCTAAAATATTGAGAAAATCCTCAATGACTTTTTTTATCACTCGAATTGTAGAACGAAACCAAATATATGCAACATTAATTTAACTCTATTCATGATATAGACAAAGAAATTATGTACATGGTGTAGAAAAAAAAATGTACACGGTGTAGCGAAACTGACTTTGCACAGGGGTATTGGCAGTATGAACACAGAAAAGAAAATATCTTTGGAATACGACCAACTTACTCGATATGTGAGCTTTTCTTGACTTTGGGAACTGCTGGGCTTGGCTTTAAGAGTGGTATTCTCTTCCGTGTCAAATGGGGTAGTGACGACACTAACGCTTTTGGTCTGAGCAATAAAACATGGGTATCATGATACTTATGTAGTTCGTGTTTTCGATTCAGATTAAAATGTTTCAAATAATTTTAAACGGCCTTAAGAAGAGTTATTATTCTTTCCACTGCTAGTTGACTTGTTATGCTCACAAATATGACGAAATTTTGGATTAAACTCACACATCTGTACTTACGTTTTCGTTGTTGTAGAGAAATCTGCTTGAAATGTCCCCTTGTATTGAATCAACCATCTCACCTGATATAAAAGAAACAAACTTCAACCGGCCGTCGGTAGGCCAATCTAGACCAAGAAACAAACTTCAACCGGCCGTCGGTAGGCCAATCTAGACCGAACTAGTCGTCGGTACCCGTTACACGTGAATTATAGGCCTATATATTTTAATGTTATAATTGTATGAGGAAAATATTTTATAAAAAAAGTTATTAGTCAAAATGCAATTTGCTTTAATACACGTTGAATGATATTATTGACAAGGCAAAGAAATAACTAAATAGCTAAAAACCAGACACATTTAAAATAACATATGCTACCCATACCTATTACAATAAACCGGGAATGATCTCCCCTAAACTTTCTCGAATATTTTTATATGAAACAACAGGGGATGGCAACTCGGGATATAGACATGATTTTTAATCCATTTTAAATACTTAAACTTTTTAGAATAGAATAAAATCTCGTAGAAAAAAAGAATTGCACACCAAGTGATCGCCAAATAAAACGTGCATAATAGTGCGGAATATTATTAGTACTTTATAAATTCACATGCGTTTTTATTTTTTAGAAATCGGAAATGGCAAAAAATACTACTTCCGGTAAACAGAAATTACTCAAAATTTGAAAGGATGCAGATAATTAGATATTTTACTGAAATGTGAAATTTCATTTATCCATCTGAAATAGTACTCAAGTTATAGGCTTTTGAAAAATTCAAAGTAGAAAAAGTACCACTCCCGGTTATCGGAAATCGCTCAAAAGTTGATAAGGATCTACGTTTTTGATAAAATATGAAATTTCATCAACCTAACTGTAACGGTACTCAAGTTATCGTGTTTACAGATACACACACACACACACACACACACGCACGCACGCACGCACGCACGCACGCACGCACACACACACACACACACACATATATATATATATATATATATATATATATATATATATATATATATATATATATATGTATATATATATATATATATATATATATATATATTTAGCTGGGGACAGCCACTCTTCTAGGAGAGAAGCAAATCCAAAAAGAAAAGCAGGCTGAAATCGGAGTCAATGGCCTTAATGGTGCATAACCAGTTGACACGTATCCTTAATTGTGATGGAGGCGTGGTCGAGTCGGCAAAAGCTTAAGTTTACAAATTCGAAAAAGTCTCGAGTTCAAACCCTCTGGCAGATCCCTTCCAACACTAAAAATTAAGAACGAATAAGAAGAAGAAGCTGAAAAGTAGATACAGAACTACAATTTTGATATAATACTTTTGTTTGAAATTTCATCAACCTAACGGTACTCAAGTTATCGTGTTCACACACAGACACACAAACACACACAGACATACGGACAAAATTGCAAAACTATCTTTTTCCGACTCATGGAGGTGTAAAACGTCGAGGTTTGTAAAAATCTTGATTTCCTTTTCACGATTACAAAACGTCCTTTATACTTCGTATACGAGAAAGTAAAAATGTGTTTCTACATTTGAATATGACTTTATTTTTATTTTCCTTCTCAAAATAATATTTAGTTTATACATTTAAAACATCCACCATATTATTTTCAAAAACAAACGTCCGTATCTTTAAGTTCTCCATATATCGCTAAACATACGATCACATAGCCTCACAAATGTTAGGGACAGAGAGAGAAAGAGAATGAGAGAAAGAGAAGGAGAGAGAGATAGAGACAAATATATCGCTAAACATACCGATCACATAGCCTCACAAATGTTGGGGACAGAGAGAGAAAGAGAGAGAGAGAGAATGAGAGAGAGATAGAGACAAGTGCGCAGATGGGCTTTTATTATATAAACGTTGTCCTAGTACCTCGTTGTTCTCACCTTCAAGGTCAATATCCAAAGTGTCTCACCTTCAAGGTCAATATCCAAAGTGTCTGGAATGGAGTGGCTGGAGAAGATCATCTGAAATAAACAGTTGGGCGCGCCAAGAATGTTGAGAGGAACAGGTAAGACTCCAATGTTACCTATATAATCGGTGTACAGGCGACTACGTGCAAACTTCCATTCACGGTCTGAGTCTTCCTGTGGATAAACTAGATGTGATGTAGCATTGATATTACAGTCACTCTTGATAAACTAGATATTATGTAGCACTGATATTACAGTCACTCTTCCTGTGGATAAACTAGATGTGATGTAGCACTGATATTACAGTCACTCTGTATAAACTAGATGTGATGTAGCACTGATATTACAGTCACTCTTCCTGTGGATAAACTAGATATGATGTAGTACTGATATTACAGTCACTCTTCCAGTGGATAAACTAGATATGATGTAGCACTGATATTACAGTCACTCTTGATAAACTAGATGTGATGTAGCACTGATATTACAGTCACTCTGGATAAACTAGATGTGATGTAGCACTGATATTACAGTCACTCTTCCTGTGGATAAACTAGATGTGATGTTGCACTGATATTACAGTCACTCTTGATAAACTAGATGTGATGTAGCACTGATACTACAGTCACTCTGGATAAACTAGATGTGATGTAGCACTGATATTACAGTCACTCTTCCTGTGGATAAACTAGATGTGATGTAGCACTGATATTACAGTCACTCTTCCTGTGGATAAACTAGATGTGATGTAGCACTGATATTACAGTCACTCGGGATAAACTAGATGTGAGATAGCACTGATATTACAGTCACTCTTCTTGTGGATAAACTAGATGTGATGTAGCACTGATATTACAGTCACTCTTGATAAACTAGATGTGATGTAGCACTGATATTACAGTCACTCTTGATAAACTAGATGTGATGTAGCACTGATATTACAGTCACTCTTCTTGTGGATAAACTAGATGTGATGTAGCACTGATATTACAGTCACTCTTGATAAACTAGATGTGATGTAGCACTGATATTACAGTCACTCTTGATAAACTAGATGTGATGTAGCACTGATACTACAGTCACTCTTCCTGTGGATAAACTAGATGTGATGTAGCACTGATATTACAGTCACTCTTCCTGTGGATAAACTAGATGTGATGTAGCACTGATATTACACTCACTCTTTATAAACTAGATGTGATGTAGCACTGATATTACAGTCACTCTGGATAAACTAGATGTGATGTAGCACTGATATTACAGTCACTCTTCCTGTGGATAAACTAGATGTGATGTAGCACTGATATTACAGTCACTCGGGATAAACTAGATGTGATGTAGCACTGATATTACAGTCACTCTTCTTGTGGATAAACTAGATGTGATGTAGCACTGATATTACAGTCACTCTTGATAAACTAGATGTGATGTAGCACTGATATTACAGTCACTCTTGATAAACTAGATGTGATGTAGCACTGATATTACAGTCACTCTTCTTGTGGATAAACTAGATGTGATGTAGCACTGATATTACAGTCACTCTTGATAAACTAGATGTGATGTAGCACTGATATTACAGTCACTCTTGATAAACTAGATGTGATGTAGCACTGATACTACAGTCACTCTTGATAAACTAGATATGATGTAGCACTGATATTACAGTCACTCTTGATAAACTAGATGTGATGTAGCACTGATATTACAGTCACTCTTCCTGTGGATAAACTAGATATGATGTAGCACTGATATTACAGTCACTCTTGATAAACTAGATATGATGTAGCACTGATATTACAGTCACTCTTGATAAACTAGATGTGATGTAGCACTGATATTACAGTCACTCTTGATAAACTAGATGTGATGTAGCACTGATATTACAGTCACTCTTCCTGTGGATAAACTAGATATGATGTAGCACTGATATTACAGTCACTCTTGATAAACTAGATATGATGTAGCACTGATATTACAGTCACTCTTGATAAACTAGATGTGATGTAGCACTGATATTACAGTCACTCTTGATAAACTAGATGTGATGTAGCACTGATATTACAGTCACTCTTGATAAACTAGATGTGATGTAGCACTGATATTACAGTCACTCTTGATAAACTAGATGTGATGTAGCACTGATACTACAGTAACTCTTCCTGTGGATAAACTAGATGTGATGTAGCACTGATATTACAGTCACTCTTCCTGTGGATAAACTAGATGTGATGTAGCACTGATATTACAGTCACTCTTTATAAACTAGATGTGATGTAGCACTGATATTACAGTCACTCTGGATAAACTAGATGTGATGTAGCACTGATATTACAGTCACTCTTCCTGTGGATAAACTAGATGTGATGTAGCACTGATATTACAGTCACTCGGGATAAACTAGATGTGAAGTAGCACTGATATTACAGTCACTCTTCTTGTGGATAAACTAGATGTGATGTAGCACTGATATTACAGTCACTCTTGATAAACTAGATGTGATGTAGCACTGATATCACAGTCACTCTTGATAAACTAGATGTGATGTAGCACTGATATTACAGTCACTCTTCTTGTGGATAAACTAGATGTGATGTAGCACTGATATTACAGTCACTCTTCTTGTGGATAAACTAGATGTGATGTAGCACTGATACTACAGTCCCTCTTGATAAACTAGATATGATGTAGCACTGATATTACAGTCACTCTTGATAAACTAGATGTGATGTAGCACTGATATTACAGACACTCTTCCTGTGGATAAACTAGATATGATGTAGCACTGATATTACAGTCACTCTTGATAAACTAGATATGATGTAGCACTGATATTACAGTCACTCTTGATAAACTAGATGTGATGTAGCACTGATATTACAGTCACTCTTGATAAACTAGATGTGATGTAGCACTGATATTACAGTCACTCTTGATAAACTAGATATGATGTAGCACTGATATTACAGTCACTCTTCCTGTGGATAAACTAGATGTGATGTTGCACTGATATTACAGTCACTCTTCCTGTGGATAAACTAGATGCGATGTAGCACTGATATTACAGTCACTCTTCCTGTGGATAAACTAGATGTGATGTAGCACTGATATTACAGTCACTCTTGATAAACTAGATGTGATGTAGCACTGATATTACAGTCACTCTTCTTGTGGATAAACTAGATGTGATGTAGCACTGATATTACAGTCACTCTTGATAAACTAGATATGATGTAGCACTGATATTACAGTCACTCTTGATAAACTAGATGTGATGTTGCACTGATATTACAGTCACTCTTCCTGTGGATAAACTAGATGTGATGTAGCACTGATATTACAGTCACTCTTGATAAACTAGATGTGATGTAGCACTGATATTACAGTCACTTTTGATAAACTAGATGTGATGTTGCACTGATATTACAGTCACTCTTGATAAACTAGATGTGATGTAGCACTGATATTACAGTCACTCTTGATAAACTAGATGTGATGTAGCACTGATATTACAGTCACTCTTGATAAACTAGATGTGATGTAGCACTGATACTACAGTCACTCTTGATAAACTAGATATGATGTAGCACTGATATTACAGTCACTCTGGATAAACTAGATGTGATGTAGCACTGATATTACAGTCACTCTTGATAAACTAGATATGATGTTGCACTGATATTACAGTCACTCTTGATAAACTAGATGTGATGTAGCACTGATATTACAGTCAGTCTGGATAAACTAGATGTGATGTAGCACTGATATTACAGTCACTCTTCCTGTGGATAAACTAGATGTGATGTAGCACTGATATTACAGTCACTCGGGATAAACTAGATGTGATGTAGCACTGATATTACATTCACTCTTCTTGTGGATAAACTAGATGTGATGTAGCACTGATATTACAGTCACTCTTCTTGTGGATAAACTAGATGTGATGTAGCACTGATATTACAGTCACTCTTGATAAACTAGATGTGATGTAGCACTGATATTACAGTCACTCTTCTTGTGGATAAACTAGATGTGATGTAGCACTGATATTACAGTCACTCTTCCTGTGGATAAACTAGATGTGATGTAGCACTGATATTACAGTCACTCGGGATAAACTAGATGTGATGTAGCACTGATATTACAGTCACTCTTCTTGTGGATAAACTAGATGTGATGTAGCACTGATATTACAGTCACTCTTGATAAACTAGATGTGATGTAGCACTGATATTACAGTCACTCTTGATAAACTAGATGTGATGTAGCACTGATATTACAGTCACTCTTCTTGTGGATAAACTAGATGTGATGTAGCACTGATATTACAGTCACTCTTGATAAACTAGATGTGATGTAGCACTGATATTACAGTCACTCTTGATAAACTAGATGTGATGTAGCACTGATACTACAGTCACTCTTGATAAACTAGATATGATGTAGCACTGATATTACAGTCACTCTTGATAAACTAGATGTGATGTAGCACTGATATTACAGTCACTCTTCCTGTGGATAAACTAGATATGATGTAGCACTGATATTACAGTCACTCTTGATAAACTAGATATGATGTAGCACTGATATTACAGTCACTCTTGATAAACTAGATGTGATGTAGCACTGATATTACAGTCACTCTTGATAAAGTAGATGTGATGTAGCACTGATATTACAGTCACTCTTCCTGTGGATAAACTAGATATGATGTAGCACTGATATTACAGTCACTCTTGATAAACTAGATATGATGTAGCACTGATATTACAGTCACTCTTGATAAACTAGATGTGATGTAGCACTGATATTACAGTCACTCTTGATAAACTAGATGTGATGTAGCACTGATATTACAGTCACTCTTGATAAACTAGATGTGATGTAGCACTGATATTACAGTCACTCTTGATAAACTAGATGTGATGTAGCACTGATACTACAGTCACTCTTCCTGTGGATAAACTAGATGTGATGTAGCACTGATATTACAGTCACTCTTCCTGTGGATAAACTAGATGTGATGTAGCACTGATATTACAGTCACTCTTTATAAACTAGATGTGATGTAGCACTGATATTACAGTCACTCTGGATAAACTAGATGTGATGTAGCACTGATATTACAGTCACTCTTCCTGTGGATAAACTAGATGTGATGTAGCACTGATATTACAGTCACTCGGGATAAACTAGATGTGAAGTAGCACTGATATTACAGTCACTCTTCTTGTGGATAAACTAGATGTGATGTAGCACTGATATTACAGTCACTCTTGATAAACTAGATGTGATGTAGCACTGATATTACAGTCACTCTTGATAAACTAGATGTGATGTAGCACTGATATTACAGTCACTCTTCTTGTGGATAAACTAGATGTGATGTAGCACTGATATTACAGTCACTCTTCTTGTGGATAAACTAGATGTGATGTAGCACTGATACTACAGTCACTCTTGATAAACTAGATATGATGTAGCACTGATATTACAGTCACTCTTGATAAACTAGATGTGATGTAGCACTGATATTACAGACACTCTTCCTGTGGATAAACTAGATATGATGTAGCACTGATATTACAGTCACTCTTGATAAACTAGATATGATGTAGCACTGATATTACAGTCACTCTTGATAAACTAGATGTGATGTAGCACTGATATTACAGTCACTCTTGATAAACTAGATGTGATGTAGCACTGATATTACAGTCACTCTTGATAAACTAGATATGATGTAGCACTGATATTACAGTCACTCTTCCTGTGGATAAACTAGATGTGATGTTGCACTGATATTACAGTCACTCTTCCTGTGGATAAACTAGATGCGATGTAGCACTGATATTACAGTCACTCTTCCTGTGGATAAACTAGATGTGATGTAGCACTGATATTACAGTCACTCTTGATAAACTAGATGTGATGTAGCACTGATATTACAGTCACTCTTCTTGTGGATAAACTAGATGTGATGTAGCACTGATATTACAGTCACTCTTGATAAACTAGATATGATGTAGCACTGATATTACAGTCACTCTTGATAAACTAGATGTGATGTTGCACTGATATTACAGTCACTCTTCCTGTGGATAAACTAGATGTGATGTAGCACTGATATTACAGTCACTCTTGATAAACTAGATATGATGTAGCACTGATATTACAGTCACTCTTCCTGTGGATAAACTAGATATGATGTAGCACTGATATTACAGTCACTCTTCCTGTGGATAAACTAGATGTGATGTTGCACTGATATTACAGTCACTCCTCCTGTGGATAAACTAGATGTGATGTAGCACTGATATTACAGTCACTCTTCCTGTGGATAAACTAGATGTGATGTAGCACTGATATTACAGTCACTCTTGATAAACTAGATTTGATGTAGCACTGATATTACAGTCACTCTTCTTGTGGATAAACTAGATGTGATGTAGCACTGATATTACAGTCACTCTGGATAAACTAGATATGATGTAGCACTGATATTACAGTCACTCTTGATAAACTAGATGTGATGTTGCACTGATATTACAGTCACTCTTGATAAACTAGATGTGATGTTGCACTGATCTTACAGTCACTCTTGATAAACTAGATGTGATGTAGCACTGATATTACAGTCACTCTGGATAAACTAGATGTGATGTAGCACTGATATTACAGTCACTCTTGATAAACTAGATGTGATGTAGCACTGATATTACAGTCACTCTTGATAAACTAGATGTGATGTAGCACTGATATTACAGTCACTCTGGATAAACTAGATATGATGTAGCACTGATATTACAGTCACTCTTCCTGTGGATAAACTAGATGTGATGTAGCACTGATATTACCGTCACTCTTGATAAACTAGATGTGATGTTGCACTGATATTACAGTCACTCTTGATAAACTAGATGTGATGTAGCACTGATATTACAGTCACTCTGGATAAACTAGATGTGATGTTGCACTGATACTACAGTCACTCTGGATAAACTAGATGTGATGTAGCACTGATATTACAGTCACTCTTCCTGTGGATAAACTAGATGTGATGTAGCACTGATATTACAGTCACTCTTGATAAACTAGATGTAATGTAGCACTGATATTACAGTCACTCTTGATAAACTAGATATGATGTAGCACTGATATTACAGTCACTCTTGATAAACTAGATGTGATGTAGCACTGATACTACAGTCACTCTTGATAAACTAGATATGATGTAGCACTGATATTACAGTCACTCTACCTGTGGATAAACTAGATGTGATGTAGCACTGATATTACAGTCACTCTTGATAAACTAGATATGATGTAGCACTGATATTACAGTCACTCTTCCTGTGGATAAACTAGATGTGATGTAGCACTGATATTACAGTCACTCTTGATAAACTAGATGTGATGTAGCACTGATACTACAGTCACTCTTGATAAACTAGATATGATGTAGCACTGATATTACAGTCACTTTTGATAAACTAGATGTGATGTTGCACTGATATTACAGTCACTCTTGATAAACTAGATGTGATGTAGCACTGATATTACAGTCACTCTGGATAAACTAGATGTGATGTTGCACTGATACTACAGTCACTCTGGATAAACTAGATGTGATGTAGCACTGATATTACAGTCACTCTTCCTGTGGATAAACTAGATGTGATGTAGCACTGATATTACAGTCACTCTTGATAAACTAGATGTGATGTAGCACTGTTGTAAATGACAAACACTACTTTTAGCAACTTACTGCAATTAGGGTGAATGATCTTGTCATCATTGCAACAAGCATATTAAGTAAGACGGTAACCATAGCAACGTTATAAGCTCCATAGATGACATAGCCGATGTCCTCTGTGAATGTATTATTAAACTCGCCTAGTTTAACAACTTCAGGTTCCCCTCGACCAAATAAGGTCCAAAACACCGTTCGAAAGGTAGGCAGCACCCTAAAAATAGATGGTTAGAAAAATGTATTTTAAACTCATTCTATTATCCTTGATCTGTATCAAACGTTAATGCATTCTTTAAAAATTAATTTTCATTTCATTTGATCTGTATCAAACGTTAATGCATTCTTTAAAAAACTAATTTTCATTTCATTTGATCTGTATCAAACGTTAAATCTATAGAAAACAATTTCTCTTTAGAACTATTGACTTACCCTCCAAAGTGTTTCTCGGCAGGAACCTGCTTAGGATGCGTCAAGTTGTCCAGTTCTATTTTAACCCTCTCGCTGTAGTACCAGTACAAGTTGTGAAGGCCCACCATGAAGGCGAAGATGACAAGGATAAATAAAGCTCCGAACTTTGCGATATCCTAGAACAGTTCAAGTAAGTCATTCAGCAAAATATTTGGTTTAGAACAGTTCAAGTAAGTCATTCAGCAAAATATTTGGTTTAGAACAGTTCAAGTAAGTTATTCAGCAAAATATTTGGTTTAGCACAGTTCAAGTAAGTCATTCAGCAAAATATTTGGTTTAGAACAGTTCAAGTAAGTTATTCAGCAAAATATTTGGTTTAGGACAGTTCAAGTAAGTTATTCAGCAAAATATTTGGTTTAGAACAGTTCAAGTAAGCTATTCAGCAAAATATTTGGTTTAGAACAGTTCAAGTAAGTTATTCAGCAAAATATTTGGTTTAGAACAGTTCAAGTTATTCAGCAAAATATTTGGTTTAGAACAGTTCAAGTAAGTTATTCAGCAAAATATTTGGTTTAGGACAGTTCAAGTAAGTTATTCAGCAAAATATTTGGTTTAGAACAGTTCAAGTAAGTTATTCAGAAAAATATTTGGTTTAGAACAGTTCAAGTAAGCTATTCAGCTGAATCTAAGAAAATGCTTCTGTTAGCGACCCACAAATGTAATCTGATCTAGCTATGTTTAAACTGAATTTCTTTCTCCAGGTGGAACCCAATCAGGGGGTACCCGTTAAAAAAAGTCCGCCTCAGTTAATGTCTAGTGGCTTGCCTACCTTTAGAAAAAGTCCGCCTCAGTTAATGTCTAGTGGCTTGCCTACCTTTAGAAAAAGTCCGCCTCAGTTAATGTCTAGTGGCTTGCCTACCTTTAGCATACGTCCCAGTGATATCTGCAGCGGTCCTAAGATCTCGTTGGCAGGAAGTAAGTAAGAAATGCGGAAAAAGCTGATAATATTTCCCATGGCAAAGAGTCCTTCAAGTAAGTTCATCGGGTCCTCCCGTGCCCAGTAAAGACGATCTGACATAAGAACAAGCCAGTTTAAGAGACACTGCTGGTGTCTGACTCGGGAGAAATATGTAGACAAACTAGTAGTTGGGAATATTGTGGCTTGACAGTTTCATTGGTATATGTATATATATATATAAATATTTATATATATATATATATATATATATATATATATATATATATATATGTATATATATATATATATATATATATATATATATATGTATGTATGTATGTATATGTATATGTATATATATATATATATATATATATATATATATATATATATATATATATATATATATATATATTTAAAAATGTATATATATATATATATATATATATGTATATATATATATATATATATATATATATATATATATATATATATATGTATGTATATGTATATATATATATATATATATATATATATATATATTTTAAAATGTATATATATATATATATATATATATATATATATCTAATATATAAAGCTCAGTTCTGTATGTAATGCATTTGTATGTCGTTGGAATTGTACGAATTTAAGTGTTAGAAAATTATCGTGCGCATTTGTCTAAATTTATGAGCTAAAAAATTACTATTGAAAGTGTTGGGAAATCATTTTCATTTTTCAAATTATAGTAATAATTGTCGGCATGTTCATTAAACACAAGTTTTAAAAAAAATATCATCTTTTACAAAAATTCTAATTATGTCTTTATTTAGTCCTATAGCACTTACTTCCCTTTGATAAATTAGGAAAAACACAATTACTTCCCTTTATAAAACCATTGCATTCCGTGAAAATAATTTACTTTTTAATTACTTTGTTTTGGTGTTGGGAAAAAAAATAATTACATAATTAGCGGGGATTGATCAAGTGCAAATGTTGTAGGTATTTTACGGATAAGCTTGGAGTATTAAAATTGTTTATTAAATTGAAACAGGCGCGTTCGTTTAAGTGAGTGCAAAAGACTGTGAATAAGTTGGGGTACTATAGTCGTTCATTAAGCTAAAACAGGTGATTCCGCCCCGGGCGTTTATGTTCGCGTTAGTGTTTTCTTTGTGTTTAGGTGGGTTTGCGTTAGTGGTTGCGTTTTGATTTGGTTCGTTTTTGTTCTTTCTTTTTTCGTTTTTGTTTGTGTTTTTTTGTTTGGGTTTGTATTTGTGTTTTTGGTTGGTTTTGCGTTTGGATTTGGTTTGTTTTCGTTTGCTTTTTCGTTGTTTTTTTTTTTTTTTTTTGTTGGTATTGGTGTTTGTGGTTGGGTTTGTTGTTAGGTTTTTGTTTTCGTTTGCTTTTTTGTTTGTTTTTTCTTTGTGTTTGTATTGGTGTTTGTGGTTGGGTTTGTTGTTAGGTTTTTGTTTTCGTTTGTATTTGTAATTGTGTTAGCGTTATGTTTGCGTTTTGTTGTTTTGGTTGGTTGTGGTTTGGGTGGGCAATGCCGGGTTTATGATGATTACTAAACACACAGGTAATGGTCTTTAACAGAAAGGTTTTTCACAGAAGCCAGAGCAGGGCCTGGCCGGGACGGCTAGTATATATATATATATATATATATATATATATATATATATATATATATATATATATATATATATATATATATTTAAATGTATATATATATATATATATATATATATATATATATATATATATATATATATATATATATATATATATATATAAATATATGTATATATATATATATATTTATATATATATATATATATATATATATATATATATATATATATATATATATATATATATATATATATACATGTATATATATACGGTGACAGGACAAATGATCTCAGGACAAATGATCTCAGGTCAAATGATCTCAAGGACAAATTATCTCACGGACAAAAGATACCAGGACAAAATATATCAGGACAAAAGATATCATGGACAAATGATCTCAGACAAAATATCTCAGACAAAATATCTCACAGCACAATTTTAAAAGTGTATTGGATAATTTTAGTTGATCTGAACATTTTTTTAATTGACTGTCATATGGTTTTGTTTACTATGTTTAATATTGTTTATAGGACTATATAATAATTGTAAAAAATGTTTGCCGTATAAATTTGCCATATTGTACTAAGCATTTTTAAAATAAGATTACTAATATAGTATGCGAAGATTAAAGAATTTGTTTCGATAGACAGCGTAGGTGTGCTTGACAAACATGAAACAATCCTACCACGTTAGGTGGACGAAACTAGATCAAAGGGAATGAAATAACAATAACGACACATCTTCGAATCAAGGTAGCCGCTCACTTTGATGGCAGAGATATTCCTTATTGGAAAGACATCCGCCCTCCATGGACAATACATCTAGCATCCAAAGTCAATTTGTATGCGTCGGTCACACCTTAGTGATCAGGTGACAAATGCTTATTTAAACGACAGCGGTCATCGCGAAGCGAAGTTTGTCGTAGCGTACATGCGAACAAAGCAGTATTATTGGTGATTACTCAACTAAGGCCTCTTTTGTTACCTCGAAGATAGGGTATAGGGCATTAGTTTCTAATGAATTTCTGTTTATAAAAGCCATAAGTAGAGCAGCAGGCAAAGAGATTTGGAAATGTCAAGTAAGAACATGTAGGCTACACCGAAAGTTCACACAATACATGATCACATAGTATTGGAAATGTGTGATCATAACGATGTACCTGCCAGCAAAGTAACGTAAACTTTATTTTTGTGTTAATGATGCAGTAAAAACAACACTTTTAAGTTACGAACCTGAAGGCCCATTCACATTTGTTTGTTAAGTTCAACAAATTCATTTTATAACAATCAGTTATTATGCGTAAAAAGAGTAAACAAAACCATATTGACAGTCAACTAAAAAAAAAAAGTTCAAATCAACTAAAATCATCGTACATACTAATAAATTTTGCTGTGAGATATTTTGTCTGAGATCATTTGTCCATGATATCATTTGTCCTGATATATTTTGTCCTGGTATCTTTTGTCCGTGAGATCATTAGTCCTTGAGATCATTTGTCCTGAGATCATTTGTCCTGGGATCATTTGTCCGTGAGATATTTTGTCTGAGATATTTTGTCTGAGATCATTTGTCCTGAGATCATTTGTCATGGAACCATATATACATATATATATATATACATGGAGAGAGAGAGAGAGAGAGAGAGAAATGGAGTAGAGAGAGAGAGTAAAACTAGCACCTGTGTTTAACCAGTAAAATCTACTCAGTTCTGTGCAGGTTTGGTTATTTATTCTCGAGAGCACATCTATGGCCTGGTGAAACTGAAATGATCAGAGGGAAAATTGTTTCACTTTTTCGTAATGAGAACGGGATAAGAATAATCGCTATAGTTTTGAAAGGATAGAAAGAAAGTAACTACTTGTTGTTTCGGTGTAGGATCTGGAGAAAGTCCATTTGACGTTCCCTTGTTGCATTGAAGTTTTCGTTAATGCTTTCTTTCTTTCACCATGCTTTAAAAAGTTCCCATAAATGTTTGCAGTCGTTTGATTCTATTAACGTTTACATTAATGTTTGAATTCAAGTTTTCATTGAATTTGATATTGTTCTATTAACATCACAGCTTTCAACAAGCAGACACGAGCTAGTATTTTGGAAAAACCACTAACCTTTAGCATGGTCCAGTAACGAAGCGAAGTAGAAGTTATATAACAAATGAGCAGTATAAAATCAAGACCATTGTATATGCTGATGTGTTCTACCAAGCCGCTAGTAAACAATTGGCTGCATTCCTGAACTAGCATTCCTAAACGAAGGAAAGACAATTAGTATTTTTTAGATGATAGGGGTATGGGTAGAGCAGAGTTGGGCTAAATACGATGACCCACCAAAAATCCAGAACGTCATCAAGAGCTCCGTGATGCTCGGCGAGCTAGCCCTCAAGGGGAAATCCTCTCCATACATGGAGTCGCTGCAGTACACTCGCATTTGCTTGTATCTGTTGCGAGAACGGTTCACGCTTATGTTTTACATTCTCAAAGATCGAATCACTCACTTATCATTCGTTTTAATAAGAAGAAATTTCAAACTATCAATAATCTATTAATCCACGCCATTGTTTCCAATAGAAAAATATTGTAATTATTATCACATCATTTGCGAAGTGAATGAAATGTTGACCTTCTTCATACAGATACATTTAAATATTCGTACACATCAAAGATAAATAACGGAGACTAAAAATAGACGTTTGTATTTACTGACGCCATTTACTTAATGCTGACGCCATTTACTTGATGCTGACGCCATTTACTTAATACTGATAGATTTACTGACGCCATTTACTTGATGCTGACGCCATTTACTTAATGCTGATAGATTTACTGATGCCATTTACTTAATGCTAATAGATTTACTGACGCCATTTACTTGATGCTGACGCCATTTACTTGATGTTGACGCCATTTATTTGATGCTGACGCCATTTACTTGATGCTGATAGATTTAATGACGCCATTTACTTAATGCTGGCGCCATTTACTTAATGCTGATAGATTTACTGACGTCATTTACTTGATGCTGATAGATTTACTGACGCCATTTACTTAATGCTGATAGATTTACTGACGCCATTTACTTAATGCTGATAGATTTACTGACGCCATTTACTTAATGCTGAGAGATTTACTGACGCCATTTACTTAATGCTGATAGATTTGCTGACGCCAATTTTAATGTTGTTTTCGAGCCTACAGTTTGGTATCTGCTGACGCCACTTACGTGACAGCAACAGAGCTGTACTCGAAGCTTAATGTTCTATACTTGCTGACGCCACTTACGTGACAGCAACAGAGCTGTACTCGGAGCTTAATGTTCTGTACTTGCTGACGCTCTTAGAAGATTCAATGGTCGACACAACGATGAGCAGCAAAAAAATCACAAAGGACGCCGCGTGGCAAGAGAACTTGACAACTGGCAGTTGCAAAATATTTCCTCCCTAAATTCAAATATTGATTCAAGTGACAAAACTCAAAGTCAACTAATGTGTTTGCTAACACTAGATCTACTCAAGGTATCTTATGTTAGGCATGTACAGTACTGGACAATTAAAAGCTGCTTTAGACAATATAAGCATTCTTATTTACTTTAACGCCACACAGAAGTAAAGCGTTTGGGCATTGATCTACTCATAATGAACCTATGTCTTAATTATAATAAATGTTGCTTTATTGTCTATAAATAGATGTGCTTGGTTTATGTGTTGTATATTTTTTAAAAAAGTTAAATGGTGCATTTATAAATCCAGTCAGAATATTTATACCTTACTACGTGGAAAAAATATGTGAAGAAAAACGAGCACAGGGTATGCACAGATGAATGACATGATCATGGCTATTCTCTTGGTCCAACTTGCGCGCTCCATCCGTCCCATGCCAGTGTACCAGGCCCTAACTATTCTCTGCTGACAGCTTGGGTGAGCAATAAACTGTGGACATGCATCAATTGTCTGAAGTATAAACTGTGGACGTGCATCAATTGTCTGAGATATAAACTGTGGACATGCATCAATTGTCTGAGATATAAATTGTGGACGTGCATCAATTGTCTGAGATATAAACTGTGGACATGCATCAATTGTCTGAGATATAAACTGTGGACATGCATCAATTGTCTGAAGTATAAACTGTGGACGTGCATCAATTGTCTGAGATATAAACTGTGGACATGCATCAATTGTCTGAGATATAAACTGTGGACATGCATCAATTGTCTGAGATATAAACTGTGGACGTGCATCAATTGTCTGAGATATAAACTGTGGACATGCATCAATTGTCTGAGATATAAACTGTGGGCATGCATCAATTGTCTGAGATATAAACTGTGGACGTGCATCAATTGTCTGAGATATAAACTGTGGACGTGCATCAATTGTCTGAGATATAAACTGTGGGCATGCATCAATTGTCTGAGATATAAACTGTGGACGTGCATCAATTGTCTGAGATATAAACTGTGGGCATGCATCAATTGTCTGAGATATAAACTGTGGACGTGCATCAATTGTCTGAGATATAAACTGTTGACGTGCATCAATTGTCTGAGATATAAACTGTGGACGTGCATCAATTGTCTGAGATATAAAATGTGGACGTGCATCAATTGTGTGAGATATAATCTGTGGACACGCATCAATTGTCTGAACTATGTACATGCAACAATGTGGTGAGCTATAAATTGTGGACACGCTTTATGTTTTAGAGCGATATCCTCATATCAATCTGAGTGAAGTCATCACCATTTATTAATAAAACAGAGACACGTGACAGCTTCTAGAAAATGTCACAATCGATGAGCAGGAATGAACGCCGTTGAACGTTTTTTATTGACGAGAGTGCCACATTATTTTTTCATGCGTGGTTTATCAATGCTCCTCTAACCGACTATCATTACCAAACCATAAACTCTAACCGACCATCATTACCAAACCATAAACTCTAACCGACCATCATTACCAAACCATAAACTCTAACCGACTATCATTACCAAACCATAAACTCTAACCGACTATCATTACCAAACCATAAACTCTAACCGACTATCATTACCAAACCATAAACTCTAACCGACTATCATTACCAAACCATAAACTTTAACCGACTATCATTACCAAACCATAAACTTTGAACATGAAACAGATATAAGAATATGATCTTATGATTATATTTCAAATGTCTTCGAACAGTACTCAAGTTATAAAGCAATTACCACTTCACGTTCCTGTAAATCGCTCAAACGTTGCTTTAAGTCTACGAATAGGATCTTATACTTCAGTGGCGAACATATAGGTGTATAAGCTTTAATCACTGCAGACTTAATAGTAACCATGTTTATCTATAGTTTGTGAATCATACAGTTGTATGTTGTATTGTTTTCTATATAGTTAGCACGTTCACGTCAAAGTGTCACCCCCTACCCTCTTGTAATAATTCTCGGTTTGTACTAAAAAGACTTTAAATGCAATTAATCATCAATGGAACTGGGGAAAAGACAGTTTTCTTCTGTACATTTTGCAATTTTTTCCATGGTGTCACACCCCCTATATGGTGTCACCCGTTGCGGTCAGCACCCCCCGCCCTGCTTTCGTTGCGCCTCTGTTATACTTATATATGAAATTTCGTCCACCTAATAAAATGATACTTGTGTTATCATGTTCACGTGCTGCCACACTAACACAAACAGAAAATAGTGTTTTTAGCAAGATTATTCCATAAACGAGAAATTTAATTTTTTTTTAATTGAAAAATTAATCTACTGTCATTAATGATTGTAATTCGAAAAGAATCATTTTAATGAATGCAATTTAAACTCAATCGATACCTTCTTTTCGTCATACTTGAGGGCCAGTTTAAATCTGGCCAAACTCTCAAACTTTTCTTGATGTGGTTTCCCCGTCTTGTTTAAGACAAGTTCCAGTTCTTTCTGTGTTCTAATTCTGTCCAGAAGTTTGACCACATAATCACTCAGCTGGTCTGCTAAGTCACGGTACTCACGCTGTGTACAAAAACGTTGGACATCAACGTGTGTACAAAAACGTTGGACATCAACGTGTGTACAAAAACATTGGACATCAACGTGTGTACAAAAACGTTGGGCATCAAGGTGTGTACAAAAACGTTGGACATCAACGTGTGTACAAAAACGTTGGACATCAACGTGTGTACAAAAACGTTGGACATCAAGGTGTGTACAAAAACGTTGGACATCAACGTGTGTACAAAAACGTTGGACATCAACGTGTGTACAAAAACGTTGGACATCAACGTGTGTACAAAAAAGTTGGACATCAATGTGTGTACAAAAACGTTGGACATCAACGTGTGTACAAAAACGTTGGACATCAACGTGTGTACAAAAACGTTGGACATCAAGGTGTGTACAAAAACGTTGGACATCAACGTGTGTACAAAAACGTTGGACATCAAGGTAAGTACAAAAACGTTGGACATCAACATGTGTACAAAAACGTTGGACATCAACATGTGTACAAAAACGTTGAACATCAAGGTGTGTACAAAAACGTTGGACATCAACGTGTGTACAAAAACGTTGGACATCAAGGTGTGTACAAAAACGTTGGACATCAAGGTGTGTACAAAAACGTTGGACATCAACGTGTGTACAAAAACGTTGTTGAGAAGAAAGCGTAAAAAAACAACTGACTACTGACTAAAAGAATCAACTTTCGCCTGGTGTCAATGTCAAGGCACTGACCTTAAAATGTTTCTCGACCCTTGACAACCTCCTCAGCTCAGCTGCCAGCTCAAAAGCTGTAAGAATCGGATCTTTACTGGACAAGGAGATGTAGGCCTCACTGGCCAGACCTCTGTAGGCATTTAGGCGATATTTGGCTAGGCGGAGCTGGTCAAACTTCATGCGGTTTCGACATTCCTTCAAGTAGAATAAAACCTGTCCTTTTATATTCTGTATGCCCTGTTTTCTTTAATCTCATGAAACATTGTAAAATTTCATAATTAAATATTTTAAGTCATATTACGTTGTTGATATTAAAAAGATTGCGTTTAACTCTGCCAGACAGGCTGTTTAACTCTGCCAGACAGGCTGTTTAACTCGACTAACCAAGATGAACAGAACCAACCTGACACGAACAGCCAAACTTGTGTGGCTTGTGGATTGTCTCCCCTCTCAAGAGAAGCAACTGAACGACTTCGTAATTGTTGTTCTGAGCAGCCAAGATCATGGGCGTTATATCGGGAGAAAACTGAGCGTCAGAGCAGGCTGCCTTGTAGAAACCATCTAGACGGAACATATTGCTCTATTTGATATGCATGCAGTGTTTCTTTCTTCGGGAGTGGGTAAAGGGCGGGAGCTCTGTTCCCCGAACCAAATAGAAATAGAGAAAATATATACTTTTACTAATGTCCCCCCACCCCCATAAAAATTAGTCTGCCACACCCACCCCTCTCCCCACCCTCTTGAGGGGGGGTGCAAATCGAAAAGTTTGTCCCCGGGCACCGGGAAGGGTCGCCACGCCTCTGATATATATATATATATATATATATATATATATATATATATATATATATATATATATATATATATATATATATATATATATATATATATATATATATATAGGCCTATATATATTTATATATATATATATATATATATATATATATATATATATATATATATATATATATATACATATATATGATTTGTGAAAATCTCGATTTCGATTTTTTGCATGATTACAGTACTTTCTTCTATACTTCGTATACGAGAAAGTAAAAAGTCTGACACGGGAGAAAAGTTAGGTCAACACATTCAGTAAGCTCGAGTTAGGTCAACACATTCAGTAAACTCGAGTTAGGTCAACATATTCAGTAAGCTCGAGTTAGGTCAACATATTCAGTAAGCTCGAGTTAGGTCAACATATTCAGTAAGCTCGAGTTAGGTCAACATATTCAGTAAGCTCGAGTTAGATCAACACATTCAGTAAGCTCGAGTTAGGTCAACATATTCAGTAAGCTCGAGTTAGGTCAACATATTCAGTAAGCTCGAGTTAGGTCAACATATTCAGTAAGCTCCAGTTAGGTCAACATATTCAGTAAGCTCAAGTTAGGTCAACATATTCAGTAAGCTCGAGTTAGGTCAACATATTCAGTAAGCTCGAGTTAGGTCAACATATTCAGTAAGCTCGAGTTAGGTCAACATATTCAGTAAGCTCGAGTTAGGTCAACATATTCAGTAAGCTCGAGTTAGGTCAACATATTCAGTAAGCTCGAGTTAGGTCAACATATTCAGTAAGCTCGAGTTAGGTCAACATATTCAGTAAGCTCGAGTTAGGTCAACATATTCAGTAAGCTCGAGTTAGGTCAACATATTCAGTAAGCTCGAGTTAGGTCAACATATTCAGTAAGCTCGAGTTAGGTCAACATATTCAGTAAGCTCGAGTTAGGTCAACATATTCAGTAAGCTCGAGTTAGGTCAACATATTCAGTAAGCTCGAGTTAGGTCAACATATTCAGTAAGCTCGAGTTAGGTCAACATATTCAGTAAGCTCGAGTTAGGTCAACATATTCAGTAAGCTCGAGTTAGGTCAACATATTCAGTAAGCTCGAGTTAGGTCAACATATTCAGTAAGCTCGAGTTAGGTCAACATATTCAGTAAGCTCGAGTTAGGTCAACATATTCAGTAAGCTCGAGTTAGGTCAACACATTCAGTAAGCTCGAGGTAGGTCAACATATTCAGTAAGCTCGAGTTAGGTCAACATATTCAGTAAGCTCCAGTTAGGTCAACATATTCAGTAAGCTCAAGTTAGGTCAACATATTCAGTAAGCTCGAGTTAGGTCAACATATTCAGTAAGCTCGAGTTAGATCAACACATTCAGTAAGCTCGAGTTAGGTCAACATATTCAGTAAGCTCGAGTTAGGTCAACATATTCAGTAAGCTCGAGTTAGGTCAACATATTCAGTAAGCTCCAGTTAGGTCAACATATTCAGTAAGCTCAAGTTAGGTCAACATATTCAGTAAGCTCGAGTTAGGTCAACATATTCAGTAAGCTCGAGTTAGGTCAACATATTCAGTAAGCTCGAGTTAGGTCAACATATTCAGTAAGCTCGAGTTAGGTCAACATATTCAGTAAGCTCGAGTTAGGTCAACATATTCAGTAAGCTCGAGTTAGGTCAACACATTCAGTAAGCTCGAGTTAGGTCAACATATTCAGTAAGCTCGAGTTAGGTCAACATATTCAGTAAACTCGAGTTCGCTTATTTCGAAAGGATATCCACTTTATAAAACCATTTTATGTCTGCACATTGTCGTTTATTATGTTTTATACAACATTTGTTGTTTATAAATACATTGTTCTTACAAAAGCACATAACAAAAAACAACTGAGGTGGCATTTTGGGGGCTGGAGCGAATGAATGAAATTTTATATTCAATGGAGAAAATAGCTTTGTGATACCAGCATCAATTTTATGGAACGAATTCAACTCGTATATTCTATTACTGACTTCACTTGAATTAAGATGCGTATTTCTATATTGAACGATGGAAAAATGGAAACAATGTGAAACAATTCACTGCTATCTATATAGGAAAGCAGTAGAGCAGGCAGAGGAAGGAGCACCGCCTCTCCACGGACCCCAAAATGGAAAGTTGTATCATTTTGTAAGGGCTCATCCGTTTATCAAGTCAACAAAAGTTGTATCATTTTGTAAGGGCTCATCCGTTTATCAAGTCAACAAAAGTTGTATCATTTTGTAAGGGCTCATCCGTTTATCAAGTCAACAAAAGTTGTATCATTTTGTAAGGGCTCATCCGTTTATCAAGTCAACAAAAGTTGTATCATTTTGTAAGGGCTCATCCGTCTATCAAGTCAACAAAAGTTGTATCATTTTGTAAGGGCTCATCCGTTTATCAAGTCAACAATAAATGACTAAAAAATATCAAGTTGTTAGGCTAACATTTACAAACTGATTTACTCTTTTTTCTTTTACTTTTCTTTTTTTTTTTACTTTTTTCTTTTCTTTACTTTTCTTATCCAACATAGAAAGTGGTATCCGGAAACTGGTGGGTAGAATACATTGTAAAAGTAATATTGTATGATGAACGTTTGTTTTATTTTGTTTATTTTCCCCCATATCAAACAAAAAACAAATGTAGAGCATTAAACTTGATAAAAATTTGTTGATGGCCGATAAAATTTCAGATGTAGTTGAATGGAATTTATGAACATTTACTCATATTTGCGTAGCGGACTGACTCATATGTTTCTCTCTTGTGGGACGGCGTAGTCGAATGAGAGAGGGTTCGGCTACTAGCCCGAAGGTTTCGAGTTCGGATCTCGGTCTGGACTCGGGAGTGTAGGATGTCCTTCAGTCCACCCAGCTCTGATGGGTGCCTGACTCACCCTGGTAAAATTAAAGATGCTGACCACACGACCCCTTCCGCTGCCGAGGTCAAGTAACGTACGCTTTCTTCTTCATCTGTCCTATGGATCTTTAGGTCTGAAAGGGGAGCTTTGTATTTCTCTCTTGCATTTATCACTTTCCGAATCGTTCCCTTCAGCATCACGTCGTTAGATCAGACGAATTCCTTAAACTCTTGATTGATTAATATATCAATCAAACCTTTTCAGAATGGTGTTTTTAGTCAAAAGTAATGTACTGGTATACGTATAACGCCGACATCCAAAAGACCGACTCTGACAAACGGTCGACATAAAAAGCCAAACTGACAAGGCTAACATCTAAAAGGCCAATAGACCATAGGCCGACAAAGGAAAAATAATCACAAAATTGCAAACTATAGATTACACAGTGGCGTCGCTAGGTCGGGTGTCACCCGGTGCGGCGCCAATTGGTGTCACCCCCCCCCCCTCCCCCCGAGAAAAAAATGTAAATATATAAATACATAATACATTTGTAAGTCTTTGTATACGCATGTGAATATGTATTTAAATATATATATTTCTGGTTGTATTTAATTATTTTTTTCAGCTTGGCATTTTGGGCTGAACTTCGTCCTCGTTTTTATTTTTATTTCTAGGAAAATGAGTAATATAGCGACCAAATACTTTTTTTTTACAATGTTTGTTTCCGCTAGAAGCTCTTTACCTCGTATGTATATGTAACGGTCAAACTCTGAAGCGCTTAAACTTGAAAACGTATTTCGTACATTGGCCGGCCAATGCGCGCACTGGCCGGGATGTCCTGGCAAATGTCCTATCTAGAATAAGTTGTGATCGCATTTTCATTATTCTGGGTTCGATTTCATTGTGAGTAACGTATTGTTTGGCTCTTGTTTGTATAACATTCTATATGCAATGCTACATGGACCAAAAGGGCCGTAAGACCAAGAGATAGACATACCAGATGGCTGCCACAATATTTCTGAACTAAAGGAAATGTAGCCTGAAATTAAACTAGTTCACGGAAAACCAAGGCATAGCCAAAGTCAAGGTTCAGAAGAACGTGCCAACCAAGATTTTCAAAATATGATGATGACATGGATGCAGACAAATGAATCAGCTCATTGGGCTGAGAGTCTCAAATTTATTCAATTTATGAAAAACCGTTCATCCAACAATCGCCATGCGAAGACTTGTTTGGATGCAAAGCAAAAATGGGACTTAACACTTCAAATCTACCAAGAGAGGCTCTCGATAATTTAGTTACTGAGAACATTGAACAAGAAATGGAGGTTGCCATAAATGCAACAACATCCTCAGCTAACACATCTGCTGCCGTGGCGGAACGTCCAGACCAGTTGCGTTACAATAATATGGTCAACAGATTCTGTGTAGTTTGTGACAAATATTGTAGTGCAGACGATTTTTGTGGATCCTGAGGCAACGATGTCCATGAAATTTTTAATATGCGGAATAGCCAATGAAGCAGACAAAGGGTACGGAGGAAATATTACCTGCAGATTATGTCACAATAAACAAGAAATCATGGACAACAGCAGCAGCTCATACCAACTTGCAAACTCAAGGTGCTAGGATGCTAACAAAATCAGATACAAATTTTAAAAAAGCTGAAGTGGGAGATAATGTTCGCATCCGTATGCCAGATGTTGACAGAGGTCGCGGTGATCCCCGAAACGTCATTGCAGTGTTCATGAGCGTCGAGGGCGCTTTCTACAAGCTGGGAACGGAACATGGTGTTCTATAACAACTGTATGCTCGTCCGTTGACACTGAGAAAAAATCACAACGAACCATCGCATCTTAACAATCACTGACCGGCGGCCAAGGCTACACTCGCTGTAATTACACAACCAAGTGCACAACAAATCGCTGCAAGCAGAGGCGTAGCGACCCTACCCTAACTTTTCGATTTGCACCCCCCCCCCTCAAGATTTCGGTTTGCACCCCCCCCCCCCCCCGTCAAACTTTTGATTTGCACCACCCTCAACCTTTCAATTTATTTTTCCAACCCATTTTGGCGCCCCCTAAGGTCGGCGCCCGGGGACATATGTCCCCCCCCCCCTTCGCTACGCTACTGGCTGCAAGTGTAAAAATAACAAGCTGCTATGTAATTCTAAATGCCATAACAGTTCAACTTGTTGTAACAAGTGATAATATTGATTGAGACTATAGTACAGTAAAATAATTTGAATGTTTCTGCCATTTACTTTAATTAATAATAAATAAAGACTTGATTTCATGATCCTTACTGTATTAAAAAAAACCAAAATCTGCACATGATCTTCTAATTCGCACTTCGGTCAGTCGTCCGTAGCCAGATAATCGTCTAATTCGGACTTGGCCGTTCCACCATGGCCAGTCCGCGGATTGGCCGGCCAAAGACCGAATTCAAGTAAAGTTTCGGACATTGATCGGTCAACGGGAGGCAATATTGGCCGACTTTGGGCTTTGACCGTAACATATATACTAAATTTGTTGGGTCAGACGGGTTAAATGTGTCAGAAGGTTATTAAGACACTTCAGAATTTTACAAACAGTTGTGTTCGCTTGTTTGTCGGTTAGCCGTAGGTCAGACATTGTGGTTAGCCTTAGGTCAGACATGTGTGGTTAGCCTTAGGTCAGATGTGTGTGGTTAGCCTTAGGTCAGATGTGTGTGGTTAGCCTTAGGTCAGATGTGTGTGGTTGGCCTTCTGTCAGATGTGTGTGGTTAGCCTTAGGTCAGACATGTGTGGTTAGCCTTAGGTCAGACATGTGTGGTTAGCCTTCTGTCAGATGTGTGTGGTTACAAAATATACAACATTTAATGGTGAAACTGATTAAAGGCTTGAATTAATTGTATAAAAACATTCAGCAGACGAAAAGAGTCAACATGTGTCAATGTGGCAAGCCAACCCGTTCTGTTTATCTGTTGCTCGCACTATATAGATTATAGTTTCCATTTTTCATTTTCGTCTCTCAAGTTTTTTAACTTAATTCATTTACAATGGATTAATACATTTCAAAAGTTGTGGTATTTTGTAACATGCGCTTTTAAATAGTAATTGAAAAACAAAATGTTTATATTTAACTTATTACATATTGAAAAATATTTATGACAAAGACAAAAATTAATTTTAGCGGACGCGAAATTTGCATTCACATTATTTTATTAGCTTGAGTTGAATTTATTTTTAAATTACCTCCCTGGGCATAACTACTAAAATATTTTAATTAATATGTTTTTTCGACACTACTATTATTAAAATGTATCCACTATTTCTAGGTATCTAAGCGAAAGTATTATTTTACATTGATCCGTTTAATATGTTTTAGCAATGTGCGTGTTTTTAATATATTCTTCACGTTATGCGAAAGAAAAAAAACTGTAGCTACTGTAAAATAAATTTAAGTTGTTATATAAGCAAACCCTACTCTATTATCACTAGTAATACAGTGTGATGCAATGTAAAAGTACTGCATAGTACGATGATTACTTTTAAGGTTCCAAAATCTATAGCGATGATGGACTGACACACTACCAGCCGCGTTATATGATAGATTCTTTTGGTTTTAATGAGCCTTTGTTTTCATGCATTCTTGTTTTGTAAACAGTTTGTGGTTGTTTGTCGTAAATGTTGCGCTACGTAAAGCGTGTCCGTGTGTTCACAACACTGGCATTGACCGATTTTTAAAATTAATTTTCGAACTTGACTTGCGAGTATGCGACACGTCATATGTTCTTTGAGAACAACATGTTCTGTTCTAACTTGTAGACAGCGCCACCAATGTTCATAAAAACTGCAATATTTTTGTGGATCACCTCGACCACCGTCAACTTCTGGTTCCTAGCTTCTACCAGGGGGAATGTAACATCTGATTTCCTTTTAATATCCCAAGACCTCGAGTCTAGCTTGAGTGTTTGACCTTTTGTTGCAGATTTCACACGTTTAATTTTCTAGATTTCACACAATTAATTTTCCAGATTTCACACATTTAATTTTTCAGATTTCACACATTTAATTTTCCAGATTTCACGCATTTAATTTTCCAGATTTCGCACATATAATTTTCCAGATTTCACGCATTTAATTTTCCAGATTCCACGCATTTAATTTTCCAGATTTCACGCATTTAATTTTTCAGATTTCACGCATTTAATTTTTTCGGATTTCACGCATTTAATTTTTCAGATTTCACACATTTACTTTTCCAGATTTCACACATTTAATTTTCCAGATTTCAAGCTTTTAATTCTCCAGATTTCACACATTTAATTTTCCAGATTTCACACATTTAATTTTCCAGATTTCACGCATTTAATTTTCCAGATTTCACACATTTAATTTTCTAGATTTCACACATTTAATTTTCTAGATTTCTCGCATTTAATTCTCCAGATTTCATGCATTTAATTTTTCAGATTTCACGCATTTAATTTTTCAGATTTCACGCATTTAATTTTTCAGATTTCACGCATTTAATTTTTCAGATTTCACGCATTTAATTTTTCAGATTTCACGCATTTAATTTTTCAGATTTCACGCATTTAATTTCCAGATTTCACCCAATTATTTTTCAGATTTCACGCATTTAATTTTTCAGATTTCACGCATTTAATTTTTCAGATTTCACGCATTTAATTTTTCAGATTTCACGCATTTAATTTTTCAGATTTCACGCATTTAATTTTTCAGATTTCACGCATTTAATTTCCAGATTTCACCCAATTATTTTTCAGATTTCACGCATTTAATTTTTCAGATTTCACGCATTTAATTTTCCAGATTTCACGCATTTAATTTTCCAGATTTCGCACATAAAATTTTCCAGATTTCACGCATTTAATTTTTCAGATTTCACGCATTTAATTTCCAGATTTCACCCAATTATTTTTCAGATTTCACGCATTTAATTTTTCAGATTTCACGCATTTAATTTTTCAGATTTCACACATTTACTTTTCCAGATTTCACACATTTAATTTTCCAGATTTCAAGCTTTTAATTCTCCAGATTTCACACATTTAATTTTCCAGATTTCACACATTTAATTTTCCAAATTTCACGCATTTAATTTTCCAGATTTCACACATTTAATTTTCTAGATTTCACACATTTAATTTTTCAGATTTCACGCATTTAATTTTCTAGATTTCTCGCATTTAATTCTCCAGATTTCATGCATTTAATTTTTCAGATTTCACGCATTTAATTTTTCAGATTTCACGCATTTAATTTTTCAGATTTCACGCATTTAATTTTTCAGATTTCACGCATTTAATTTTTCAGATTTCACGCATTTAATTTTTCAGATTTCACGCATTTAATTTCCAGATTTCACCCAATTATTTTTCAGATTTCACGCATTTAATTTTTCAGATTTCACGCATTTAATTTTTCAGATTTCACGCATTTAATTTTTCAGATTTCACGCATTTAATTTTTCAGATTTCACGCATTTAATTTTTCAGATTTCACGCATTTAATTTTTCAGATTTCACGCATTTAATTTTTCAGATTTCACGCATTTAATTTTTCAGATTTCACGCATTTAATTTTTCAGATTTCACGCATTTAATTTTTCAGATTTCACGCATTTAATTTTTCAGATTTCACGCATTTCATTTTTCAGATTTCACGCATTTCATTTTTCAGATTTCACGCATTTAATTTTTCAGATTTCACGCATTTAATTTTTCAGATTTCACGCATTTAATTTTTCAGATTTCACGCATTTAATTTTTCAGATTTCACGCATTTAATTTTTCCGTAGGCTTGATGTGCTTCATTACTTACTCCACAAACCAGTTCGTCCTTTTTGTCACAGGTTCCACATGAATATATTAAACTACACTCTTTTTTAAACATTTTTTGTCTTTGTCGGCCTTTTGTCGGGATCTCATTTTTTTTTTCGACAATTTTTTTTTCGATAAAAAAAGTCATACAATATGCTGCCTTTACCGGTGTTTTTTTTTTCAAGTGTTTATTTCTAATTGTAGATTAATCTAAATGTTAAAAGTTTGTTTTAATATGTAAGAAAACGCTTGTACATACCCATATCTCCCAACTTCCGGCGCTCCTTCCACATCTCCAGGTAGCGTCTATGTTTGAGAATGGTCTCAGCGATCTGAGTATGTCCAGCACTGATAGCCTGTAGCACAGCCTCATAGATGTGGTGCTGGTTGGACTTCTCCAGCAACACCTCCACGATCTACCATTGCAACAAAACAGAATATTACAACATACATCTTACCTTATTGTACTTTGCATCGGTCCATTGAATTATAACAAAAATTAAAAACATAACTAAATTTCCAGCTCGAAAATTTAGTATGTTGAATTAACCTAACTATTATTGAGGGTAACAGACTTTGTCTCAAACCAGTTAAAACCAGTTCAAATCAACAGTCGATTGCGGTTTGACACAGTTCAACCGATCGCCATAAGTTGATTAGAACACTCCAGTGGAGGTTTCTGCAAAAAATAATATTTTTTTCGCAAGGGCGGCTCCCCGGAAGGGTGTGATTTTTCTCTATATACGGTATACAAAAAATAAAAGTCGGAAGCGGTTCGACATCGTTCATCCGAATACCATGAGACTTTGGGGAGTAGATGAGCACACTCCCGAGAAGATTTCTGCGGGTAAAAAAATAAAAATTCTTATGGGCAGCACCCGGGAGGGTGCGATTTCCGATAACCGGAAGTGATACTTTTTGTACTTTGATTTTTTTCAAAAGCCTATGACTTGAGTATTTTTTCAGACAGATAAATGAAATTTCAGATACAAGTAAAAGATATAATTCTCTACCTTCTTTCAAATTTTGAGTAATTTCCGTTCACCGGAAGTAGTAATGTACGCTATTTCCGATTTCTAAAAAAAAACGCATGTGAATTTATATAGTACTAATAATATCCCGCACTATTATGCACATTTTGTTTGACGTTCACTTGGTGTGCAATTCTTTTTTCTACGAGATTCTATTCTATTTTTTTAAAGTTTAAGTAATTAAAAATTGTTTAAAATATTGTCTAAATCCCGAGTTGCCAACACCAGTAGTGTTATATAAGAATATCCGAGAAAGTTTAGGGGAGATCACTCCCGTTTTTTTTAACTGTCATGATACCACTGTAACTTACTTAAATGTATTTCTGAATCAGTATATATGTATATATGTATATGTATGTTTAGAACCGGCATCTAAAAACTGACGCTATGTTCACTCTGAGTTGGTACCCCCCCCCCCTCCCCACACACACATGCACACACACTTCTTCACCACCTAAAACAGCATTAATGTCAAACCTAGGTATTCGCTGGGTAGGATATTTGACCTAAAGTGACCGGACAGCGGTGAATGAAGTTGAACCCCCCCCCCCCCCCCCAACCTACCCCGAACTGACATTTGGGAAAACGCGTGATGAGGTACCAAAGTACCATGCCGCCAGAATGATAGCTTTTGAAACAGGTAAAACTCTGTAAATATTGTTTTTGCAATTACCAGTAAAGAGGTGTGTGTGCAATACAGTGATCTAACCCATACCTTATCATTATGTTAAAAAATTATCTTTAAAGAACACAAAAAACATTAGCTAATTTAAAAATGTGTGATGTGAACTGCAAGACCAATGTCTTAGTTACATGTAAGCTATTATTTAAAAATGTTCCGCATATTAGATATTTTATTTTACTATATAATTGGTTTTAGCATTTATGATGACAATATATTTAATTCTGATTGTAGACAACATATTTTTGTAAAAAAGAAAAAAATTATGCTTCTATACTACATACTAAAGTAATTATTGATCTGTCTTGACATTTACAATTAAATTTGATGAAATATACATATTTATATTAAGAGAGTTATTATTTCCGCTAGTTCGTTTGTCTTAATATTCTAGGAATCATTATGTCAAATTGTTTTTTTTACAACGATTACAAAACAGATTGTGTTGCGTTCATTGTTTTTGGTTATATTGTCTGCATATTTTGTTTGTTTGTTTGTTTGTTTTGCTTAGAGTGATAAATTGTTTTGTTTTATCTGACTAAATTGTGTGTTTTTCTTATTTATTCAGAATATTTATATATAATTATATTTCGTTGAATGGGATGGTAGACATATTTTGGGGTGTGTGTGGCGGGTGGGAGGGGGACGGAGCCCCCTCCTCCCAAGTAGAGTTGCCTGAAAGAAACTCTAAATTCGACTTTTGTCATGAATGAGATTAGGTGCACGGTTTAGGGATATGCCCATCAGAGTTTCTTCCAGGCATCTCTTCGGGGGGGGGGGGCGAAGCCCCGCCGAAAATTTTTTACCGCCCCCCCCCCCCCCCCGAACGAAATGAAATTTATATAATTTATATAGAAAATATATACTTTTAACAGTGTCCGCCCCCCCCCCGAAGAAAGTTTACCGCCCCCCCCCCCCCGAAGATTTCAAGTGCCCCCCCCCGGAGAAAAAAGTCTGGAAGAAACACTGATGCCCATGACTATATTTTGTATAAATTAAAGTACCGATTCTGGATAAAAATCCGTTTTCAGTGTAATTTTCCGTTTCCGGTTAAATTGAATTAAGGTGGTGATTTTGGTTTTGGTTTTAGTTTAGAGAAAATAGACAGCACTATCAACCTAGCGCCCGTTGTATCCTTCCTCAACGGGCCATTTTTCTCGTATATATATATGGCCGTCGCCAGAGATCCATTTTTTTCTTTTACTTATGTACTTACATTCTTATTTATTTATTCATTTATTTAAAAAAAATTATTTTGAAATTCATTGTAAACTCCTAACAGCTCATTAAAAATATCAATGGAAAAGTGGGCACAGACAAAATATATATATATAGATCTAATAGCAACAAACTAGACTTGCCTCAAGATGCTCATTTTTGACAGCCAGTCGGAGTGCCGTGCGGCCCAGGGCATCCATGCAGTCTACATTGACCGTGTCAACAAAGTCTCTTAATATCCTTCTGGCGTTGTGCACATCACCAAACTCACAAGCGTGCAGGAACTCATCTTCTAGGTCCACAAACTGTAACAAACCATACATCTTACACGTTAAATGAAACCAGTGCAATTTATATGGCATTACTTCAATAAAACGTATAAAAAAATGAAAAGTGTATGTTTCGATTAATCATTGAAAAGCTAACAGCTCTGTAAATTAAGTAATGTCAGCTTATGGTTAAAAAATCTGAAATAGAAAGTTTCGAGAAACAAAATCGTTGATCGTGGGGAGGGGGATATATTAAGATTCCAGCGGCACATTTTCGCTCAAATCATAATGATTATTTCGGCCAAGTAAGGCAACGAACGGTTTCAATATAAAATAACTGAGTATAGTGAAACCTCGGTTTTCAACGATAAGCTGTCTGTTTATAATTAATGGCAATATTCAAATATATTACGGGAATCACATCAAATCGCTTGTTCAATCTTAATTTGAATGAATTAAAACTTAATTAATTATCGCATGTAATCATTTACATGTAACTATAGTAATCGATATCTGTCCACCCCCTCTCCACTCCGGTCTCAGAAAAAAAACACCGACATAATCACAAAACGTTGACAAAACGTAAGAGAAAAGCAAGTAATAAAATAAAAATCTACTTACTCCTGTCTTGGATGCTGACGAGTCCTGTGATGCGTGTGATATCATGCTGTAGCGTGTTGATCCAACACGACGACGTAGCCATTTATTGTGGCTCGAATTGAATGACATTGTCAGCAGTCAGAAGTTAACGGAGCTAAAACTTATTTATTGAAGCCTTGGATTCAACAGAAACATTAAATCAGTCTGCTTAGCTTAGACATATGTCAATTAAAAAAATATAGATCTAGACTTAATATTAAAAAATTCATAGTATGTCAAGTAAAGTTAACACTACTAGAACACTATTGTTGCTTCAATGGAAAATATGTCCTTATTTGTCAAAAAAACATTCTAACTGTATTATTAAAAGTAAGCAGCGGCTGCTCTGTGTGTCTGTTGCGTAGATTCGCGTTAGTAAATTCATGACTAGGCTATGCCAGTTTACAGTGACTCTCAAATCTCACATCAGACTGAATATTGAATAATGTGCTTACTAAATAACCATCCTAAAAAACAGTATAGATGGAACTCGGGCAGTCTTGATCATTTTGCTTGATAACAAACACTTTTTTTTTTTTTTGGAATTGAATTAATTAGCTATTCAATTAAATCATTTTTTTCTTTAACTCTTTAATATTTTTTTTCTTTGTTTCTTTTTTTTCTTTCTTTCTTCATTTCTTTCTATCTTTGTTAATACTTGGTCTATGTGCCAGAGTTTGGGAACTACTGATGTAATCCTATCAAACATATCGGACTTGGCTGGTTAACGCCCATAATCACGGGCTCATGTGAACTTTGGGGTGAGCAACGACGGGTCGATAATGACATTTTCACAATTCGGAGTAGCCTACATCATGAAATTCGCTATTTGCTAACATCTTCTTTAGAGGCTAGAATAGATAAAAAAAATATTTTGAGGAGGATGCACCACTGCATAACAATACTTCTATGGTAGTTCTCTTTGAACCTGTACTCAAACAGAACTGAACACGTTGGTTGATTTGTTCAATCAAAGCAGTGGCGTAGTTACCGTAAAGCTAGCGTAAGCAAGGCATAGGGGCCCAAGGCATTTAAGGGCCCTTTTTCCTCTTAAAAAAACTAAAACTTTTACATTGGAATTTTAATGTTTATTGTATGTAAATAATTTTAAAAAGAAAAAGGAAATCAAGTTTCTTTTCTACTGTAGAAATAATTCAAAGTTCCAAAAGGCCCCCAGTCCTTTCTTACTGTACAGGCATTGGCATTCAGTGTGTGTGGGGGGGGGGGGGGGTAGTCGAGCAGGGCGCTACTAACAATATACAAAGTAGGTTTTTGGTTTTCATCCAATCGCCAAGAAAATTTGGGAGGTTGTTGAGAATACTCCAGGCAGTGTTTTGCGCGTCCTGCATGGGTACTACTTATTCAACGCTCAAACAGCAAAACGCCCCCGATTTACGGATGACACCAAGCACAGGAGCACCTTACGGCGGATTAAAACCGAACCACGGGTAGCATCTGGCTACATACAGTAGTGTAACGCGTCACTCAACGCGCTACACTTAGGCGTTCGCTGAAACCTAACTATTACAAAGATCGATTAACGTACAGTCGGTTATTTCAAGCAAAGGGCGTCTGGCATGTAAAGTGGACAAACCCGCGCCCCATCAGCAAAGATAAAAACAGTGGCGTTGTTTACATTTTAACTATCTCAGTTTTAGAAAATAAGGTCACACGACTAAAAATACACAATTATTAACGCGTTGATGAAACCCATACAAATTGTTTCATTACCCTGGTATGTAAAACTAGATCGTAGCAACGCGGACGGGAACACTAGTTAGTGTAAACATTCTTTAAGATTTTGATGTCTATGATTGAATCTATTTTTAAATCTCATTATTTGTTTATTATGATGATGTTAAGATGTTATGAAACTAATAGTAGATAAGCCCATCGGGGCAGTAACTTAGCCATCCTAAGTATCTAACATACAGAAGCAGCTAAAATAGATATCAATGAACTTCTAAATCATTTTGCAAAATTAAAAGCATGAGTAAAAAAAAACAGATCTAAATAAATCATGAGCAGTTTTTTAAAAACCGGGAGTGATCTCCCCTAAACTTTCTCGAATATTCTTATATAACTTGGAATATAGACATGATTTTTAATTACTTAAACTTTTAAAAATAGAATAAAATCTCATAGAAAAAAGAATTTCGCACCAAGCGAACGCCAAAACAAAATGTACATAATAGTGCGCAATATAATATCAGTACTTTATAAATTTACATGCGTTTTTGAGAAATCGGAAATAGCATAAATTAGTACTTCCGGTCAACGTGAATTACTCAAAATTTGATAGAAGGTAGAGAATTAGATCTTTTACTTACATGTGAAATTTCATTTATCTATCTGAAATAGTACTCAAGTTATAGGCTTTTGAAAAATTCAAAGTAGAAAAAGTACCACTTCCGGTTATCGGAAATCGCTCAAAAATTGATACGGATCTACGATTTTTATAAAATACTTATATATAAAATTTCATCAACCTAGCTGTAACGGTACTCAAGTTATCGTGTTTACACACAGACACTCAGACACACACACACACACACACAGACATACGGACGAGATTGCAAAATTATGTTTTTCCGTATCAGTGAGGTGTAAAACGTCGAGATTTGTAAAAATCTCGATTTTTTTTTTTTGCACGATTACAAGATTTTCTCTAAACACGTATATACGAGAAAGTAAAAATGGTGTTATTGGCGTCACAATGTTGGGTGTTCCCCTACGCGTTACCAAAGGTATCACCCCGATCGTCCCCAACAACTTTGCATTTTCGGTGGGATGTCACCCCTCTCTGACTTATCTTTCATAATTTTAGCTGGATGCAACATAAACTTGACAGTAAAGTGTACAATGTTTCGTCATAGTGTCACTCTGAAATGTTGTCAGCCGATGCGGACAAAAGGGCCCACTGATAAATTTTGCAAAGGCAAAATTGTGTGGCAATATACAAAAACAACGTATTTGGTTGTCAACAAGGACAAGGTCAAGGTCAAAACAGAACCGAGTTATTATGTAACTGCGATATAATTGGTTGTTGTGACGTAGCTGGTGAGACAAAAAAATGGAATTTGACTTGTACACTTAAAGAAAAACGGACAAGCTAATAATAAAGATAATGCAATTGGTGGTACCAAAATAGAACCGGAGTGATAGAGTGTGTGGACCTGTGGCATTGAAGGTCTGTTGACATTCACCTAATGAGCTGTGATTATTCGAGAAGACATACATTGTTGATATCTTGAACCTGCGGGCAGAGTGTGCTTCTCTATATCAGGTGGGTGGATCGGTGCCAAATGACATGTCCGCGGCATGGAGGCGGGAACTCCTCAGTCGAATACCTACAGACTGGTGGCGGTACCATAGCCAATGAGGTTTTACCGAGGCGTGGTTCCGATTTGGCAAATGGCTATTTATAATTACTTTCAACCTCTTTGAACTTTAGCAAGATCAAAGTGTATTTCAATTTCAAAGATGGCATCTTCCCAGGTGTCATATGCAACCATTGTCAGCAGCAGCAAAGGGGTTGTACCCTTGGATATTCCTTCTTGGGCGAGAGCCAGGGAGAGGAGCCACCCAGACTACGGTTCTGGTGGTTTAATGAAATCATGGGTCCCACCCTTTTCAGCAACCAAGATGACCATCTCCATCGACTAATCAGATGAAACAGCGCCGGTCCTTTTCGACTCTCAAGTAGTAATGCAGGTCACTATCAAGTCCAACGGTCAACAAAACCTCCCAGGGCAAATATTGCGAAGTCCCATCAGCCCACACCAGATCCTGCTACTGAACCATGGACGAGCAGATACTTGGTACGTCTCGTCCAATCAGTTCGATGTAGCCGATCTGGACAACACCACACAAATACACGGTCCTTACACACTGGAATTTGCAAGATACCACAAGTACAAAGTCTGCGGGACGCTAAGATGGCTCCCACCTGCACTCAGCAACGATACATTACCAAAGGCACAGAACCGTCATCAAAACAGAACCTACAAACACCGCAATACCACACACAAACAACCGCAAATTCATCATTTACAACGACAACCCACAACACATCCCACACAATATTAAAATCACGTACAAGACACAACAATAAACATGCTAATAGCACTACTAGGCAGACGTCAAGCCTGTTAAACATGTGGATCAAAAAGACATTGGACAAATCATTGCCAGGAAGCAAACCCAGAGACAACTCTAAAAGAAAACCCCTCAGCAATACAGGAACCAGTTCTATCCGCACCGCAGCAACCAACAGAGGTCCCAAATCCGACAAACAAATAACTTCAAATACGATAACAGCAGAACCACCAGTCGGAAATTAAGCAACAACAACACATCAAAACATTGCAACAACAAGCCTCAACCCAGAAAGAGAAATGGACACAACCACACCAAAAAGAAAAAATGAACACAGCCCCCACAGAATTAGGGAAAACAACAAAAACTCCAAAGACCACAAAAGCAGTTCACGACATCAGGAAACGCAAATACTGCAACAAGAAGTACAAAACATCCAAGGAAGCGGAAACTCATGAGAACATAGCACACACAAATCTCAAACAGCGCAGCATCTGTAACGATAAAATAATTCACACCGACATAACTATGCACTACAGGCAAGAACACCAAGAAGTAACTACTTACGAATGCCGCTTTTGCAACGTAAACCTCCCACTAAAAAAGGCATCCAGACAGTGGCGGAACTAGAAAAAAAGGGCCACCCCGCAAAAAAATAATTCTGGGCCCCCCTATATATATATATATATATATATATATATATATATATATATATATATATATATATATATATATATATATATACAAACACAGAATACAAACATTGGATACTCATTTCTGGCCTGATCGGGTTTTGAAAATAAAATTTTTTTTTTTTTCACTTTAACAAATTCCAACATGTTATGTGTGTGAGTGCATTAGTCTGTTTTGAATTATTATTTTTTTAAAGATTTAGAATTAGTTTGTTTTAAATGTTTGCTGTAATACTGCCTATCCAGTAATTCTTAGCCGGTCAAAAGAATATAAAACGTGAAAGCTTTGTATGTGTAATGGTTTCTCGTGTTATGTTTATTTTTATATTTTTTGTATTTATAATATTTTTTTATATATTCCCTTTTTATGCTATGTCATTCTTTAATATGTATTTAAAAAAAAATTAATAACTAAGTGAAATAATTGCTTTTTAATTCGTTTAGTACAAATATATTAAAAGGAGATTAGGAGCACCCCTATTTAACTATTTAAAAAAGGGAAATAAGTCATGGAAGTGTTTTGAACGTTTGCCTATCTTTCACACTACAGCTCAGGCATATATTTATTTACGCAACAGCATGTGTTAGCTACTGTATAACATCACTACTGTAGTAGATCTGTTTGTTAGTTACAAAAGCCTGTACCATCAAGTCAAAAATGCAAGAAAAATTATTTTTTTTGACTATAAAATTTTTTATTATGGTCGGCTGTGGGCCCCTAAATGGCGTGGGCCCCCCGCATTGCGGGGTCCGGCGGCACTGTAGTTTCGCCCCTGCATCCAGATGCACGTATTGAACCACCACCCGAAGACCCCTCAATGAACGTTCATCAATTGTTACTCCAGATTAAGTTTAGACGTTTTGTATTAGTTACTCACTAGGAAATCATATCAACCAATGTATTCGAAACCCACTCTTACCAATTGCTAAAGCTGTTTTAGTAAATGATAAAAAAAATACTGGTTATAAAACATGATAATGTATACATAATGTTTTTATTTGTATCTATGCCAGCCTGCTCTTAATAAAAGTATCGGGGAAAAAATATTAGATTTATGTTATGGTAAAAAAAAATTCAACCTCTCCATGATAATATATATATATATATATATATATATATATATATATATATATATATATATATATATATAAAATTATATATAATTAAATAATATATGTATAATATAGGGACCGAAAAAAAAATTGCGGGGGGGGGGGGGCGTTTTAATAAAAATAATCAGGCGCCGGCACTCATCGTATTGGGTTTTTGTTCACTAGGAGAGGGAAAGGATTTAACAAGCGGTTTTCTGTTTAAAGGGTTGACTATGATGGTTAGTATATTTGTATAACAAAAAGTGCTATTGAGCAATGGCAGGTGATGAGAAGATTAATTTTTAGAATCACGTGCTGTTTAGAGAATACCATTATGCAATGCTTTTTAATTTTTCTTAAAACATTTTGATTTTCTAAACAAATATTTATATGTGCGTTAACATTTACATTTGGATATTACTATAAATGGCTGAGCAACGCCGAGTACAATTGTTCTGAGTAAGTTGCCATTGCTGTAACCCCCCCCCCCCCCCCCCCCCCCAGTTATATCTAGTGGTGTCAGTTTGTGGAACATAATATAAATCCACATAGAAGAACCAGCAACAGCTATTAATTCAAGTGGAGAAAAATGATTCCATACTTAACTATTAAATGTGGTGACATTCCCACCTCGCACTTTGTCAGTTAGTAAAAATACTGAAAGAATTTTTTTTCCTCTGTACACTATGCAAAGTTTTTAGTTGGAAAAATTCTTTCTTCTATTTTTCAATTGTTTGTCACCACCCTTAATGGTGTCACCAGATGTAGTCCGCACACACCTCCTTGTGATGGCTGTGGTTGCTGGCACTGATGTTTTTAGTACACACCCTATATGGAGGGCGTCCCTTAACCACCAACTGTGGCACTGATGTTTTTGGTACACACCCTATATGGAGGGCGTCCCTTAACCACCAACTGTGGCACTGATGTTTTTAGTACACACCCTATATGGAGGGCGTCCCTTAACCACCAACTGTGGCACTGATGTTTTTAGTACACACCCTATATGGAGGGCGTCCCTTAACCACCAACTGTGGCACTGATGTTTTTGGTACACACCCTATATGGAGGGCGTCCCTTAACCACCAACTGTGGCACTGATGTTTTTGGTACACACCCTATATGGAGGGCGTCCCTTAACCACCAACTGTGGCACTGATGTTTTTGGTACACACCCTATATGGAGGGCGTCCCTTAACCACCAACTGTGGCACTGATGTTTTTGGTACACACCCTATATGGAGGGCGTCCCTTAACCACCAACTGTGGCACTGATGTTTTTGGTACACACACTATATGGAGGGCGTCCCTTAACCACCAACTGTGGAACTGATGTTTTTGGTACACACCCTATATGGAGGGCGTCCCTTAACCACCAACTGTGGCACTGATGTTTTTGGTACACACCCTATATGGAGGGCGTCCCTTAACCACCAACTGTGGCACTGATGTTTTTGGTACACACCCTATATGGAGGGCGTCCCTTAACCACCAACTGTGGAACTGATGTTTTTGGTACACACCCTATATGGAGGGCGTCCCTTAACCACCAACTGTGGCACTGATGTTTTTGGTACACACCCTATATGGAGGGCGTCCCTTAACCACCAACTGTGGAACTGATGTTTTTGGTACACACCCTATATGGAGGGCGTCCCTTAACCACCAACTGTGGAACTGATGTTTTTGGTACACACCCTATATGGAGGGCGTACCTTAACCACCAACTGTGGCACTGATGTTTTTAGTACACACCCTATATGGAGGGCGTCCCTTAACCACCAACTGTGGAACTGATGTTTTTGGTACACACCCTATATGGAGGGCGTCCCTTAACCACCAATTGTGGCACTGATGTTTTTGGTACACACACTATATGGAGGGCGTCCCTTAACCACCAACTGTGGAACTGATGTTTTTGGTACACACCCTATATGGAGGGCGTCCCTTAACCACCAACTGTGGCACTGATGTTTTTGGTACACACCCTATATGGAGGGCGTCCCTTAACCACCAACTGTGGCACTGATGTTTTTGGTACACACCCTATATGGAGGGCGTCCCTTAACCACCAACTGTGGAACTGATGTTTTTAGTACACACCCTATATGGAGGGCGTCCCTTAACCACCAACTGTGGCACTGATGTTTTTGGTACACACCCTATATGGAGGGCGTCCCTTAACCACCAACTGTGGCACTGATGTTTTTGGTACACACCCTATATGGAGGGCGTCCCTTAACCACCAACTGTGGAACTGATGTTTTTGGTACACACCCTATATGGAGGGCGTCCCTTAACCACCAACTGTGGAACTGATGTTTTTGGTACACACCCTATATGGAGGGCGTCCCTTAACCACCAACTGTGGAACTGATGTTTTTGGTACACACCCTATATGGAGGGCGTCCCTTAACCACCAACTGTGGCACTGATGTTTTTGGTACACACCCTATATGGAGGGCGTCCCTTAACCACCAACTGTGGAGGCGCTCGATGGTAGATCACCATACTCCAATCCAGCTCCCAACTTAAACCAAAATCGATTGTATTTTATTTGAGAATTAAAAATGCCCGTCAGATAATCTTATTTTTTTAAGACGACTCTCCCTAATGTAGCACATTATTAGTCAGGTAAGTGGCATGATTTATGTACAACCCCTTCTTGCTTATATTTGCGTGCACCCTTGTCCAGTTACCAATTTTTAATGTGAGTGGGATTAAATGTAGGTGTATGTCGTTTAACTCTTACTTTAAACACTGCAATAGTGTGAGGAGAATTTCATTTTATCTCTGTTAGCTGGCAAAGTGGTTGACAACCATTTATATTCATTGCCTTAATAACAGGGCATAGCGGCTAGCATAAGTCACCTTAATTATTAGTGACTTTTCAAATGACAGATTACTAGTAAACCCAGGGATGGATAAACACTTATTGTCAGCTTGTGGTCTTTGTAAACAGGGCAATAATCTTGTTATATTATAGATACAAATACTTTAAGTTTGATATCATTTTTTTTTTATTTCATTTATTAATGTATGCATTACACCAACATCAATCAGCAAAGTTCTGTAACATGAGGGGAAGACTGCTAAAGAAACTGTTTACATCAGTTCTAAACACTTAATTAACTCATTACTTGTTGACTCTTATAAACTAAATAAAATCTCAGTCCTAAATAGTCCTTTTAAAACTGAGATTTGAAAAAAAACACAAATTGCATTGCTCAAAGAATTGGTGTTAAAATAAATGTTGAGATAGATTTTTGGATGATAACAAATGAAAACTGAGTTAAAGTATAGTAAATAATTAAAAACCTTTTTAAAAAACAGCAATAATTGGGCTACATACTTTAGAATTCGGTAGAAAAAGAGAATGAGACTCTACTATCTCTATTGCTGACATATAAATATTTAGTTTTATTAATTCTAAAATCATATGTTGTAATGACATAATTTTTAGACTGTTTTTTTTTTATCAAACGATGCCAAAGTTATAATTATTATGATCTTTAAAAATAGGCACATGTGATATGACTGACAATACTTCATATTCAACTAAAGTCAAACACTAACAAAATAGAATGGGCAGGTCAGCAATATTTATTGAATGTGATGATTTCAAAAAGCATTACTCAAATTCCTATGCAAGAATTATATCAATTTGTATTGACTACTGTACACTGAAACTGGGATCTTTCAAAGCCAGTTCTAGATTATGCATTAAATACAATTAGCACTTACTTGTACAAAATCTTTTACAAAGTGATTTTGCATGAATGAAAATCACTTCATAAATACTCAATACTTAAAATTGCTGTGCAAGTAAAATATGGATTTGCTAGGTATTTTTTTTAAATAAGTACATACTGCTGTTAAATAGACAACAGCAACATGAAAATCTAGTTGGGTTCCAACAATTCAGGGGGTGTAGGCAACAAAGAAGTGAAAAATGTTTGAACTGTATTCATCAAGAAGATGCAAGCTCGAGTAAACCTGTTACCATCATGATGCTGTTCTATGCCTTGATTGGCCTCCCCCTCTGTTACACTGCCCTAAATTGAGAAAAAATATATTTTAATTTTTGTTTATAATAAGGGTGAAATAAGCTTTTCGGAAATACAAATTACATACAATAGCTTATTTGAACTTGTCAGCATTAGAACTGTATGTCAACATTTTAAAAAGCTCTAAGAATCATGCTCATGCATCTAAAGTAGGGTTGAGGATGGCACTTCCAGTACAATTGAGCTATAGACATATTTTTTAAAGGTCTTCTAATACTTAAATTTTTTAAATAGAAGAGAATCCCTTAGGATAAAAAATTGAGCACCATGTGAAAGCAAATTCCTTTATAAAGGAAACAATTACATTTTTTGAGAAATCAGAAATTACTTAATCCTCTTAAAATTTGACAGTATCAAGAGATTAAGATCTGGTATCTATGTATAAAGTTTGGTTTACCTAACTGAAACAGTACTCAAAATATCAGTATTTCTGAAACCAGAAATACAGTAAAGTACCACTTCCAGTTATGGAAGGTCATTCAAAAATTGAAAGTAATTAAAGAATAAGATCCTATATTTATATATGAAATTTCTTCTACCTAATTGAAACAGTACTAAAGTTAGCGTGTTCCCACGAAGATACAGTCGGTTACCAAAAATTGTTGAAAGAAACCTGAGCATACAATGTAATATTTATATGTAAAATTTCATCCATCTAACTTAAACGGTACTCAAGTTATTGCATTTTGAGAAATTAGAAATAAAGTACTACTTAGTACTACTTCCGGTTACCGGAAATCACTGAAAAGATGATACAGAACTACAAATTTGATATAATCAGAGAGATGAGATGGTTCTCAAGTCATTGTGTTTATAGACACACAGATATAGGGACAAAATTGCAAAAATAAGTTTTTGTAAAAAGTCAAGATTTGTCAAAATCTCAATTTTGATTTTTTGCACAATACAATGCTTACTTTATACTTGGTATTCAAGGAGAAAGTAAAAATTCAAAACACTTCAAAGGATAATGCAAGATTTAGTATAATGCTTGCTCAGAGATACGGATGGTTATAGTCATTAAAGACAAAAATTTGAGTTAGGTTGAGTAAAGGATTAGCATAGGTGCATGGTTACTGTTGGTAGAGACTAGTTTTAAACCCAGTTATGAGTTCAGCTGGCGAATTCACATATTTGTCTACCATTTGACTGCATTTCTATTGTTGAAGAATACACCAAGAAATTAATTTTTATCATGCTTTGTACCTGGAGAAAATGATTTAAGCTTGTAATTATAAAAAGACTGTTTAGTTTCTGGACTGAGTCAGGAGAATGTCTTGAGTACACCCATCTCTTAAGGGTACCTGACACAAATAAGGGAAAAGTGGCTGTTTATAAAACAGACCACACTATTATTTTAGAGGTTGCAGAAACAGGTTGACTCTTCTTCATTTGTCCTATTAACAACCAGATCTGAAAGGGTTATTTTAAACTTTTTACTTACTTCTGGTGTGGGTGTTTCTCCTTCTTGATTAGTTCCTGGTTGTTCATTTGCTTGCTGTTGAACTGGTGAAGGGGGCACATTCTGCTGCTGCTCTTGTTCTCTCTGTACTCTCTGAGTATACTTTCTTAATTTTTGAAGCCTGTAATTATACAACATAAACAGCATTCATTGATACTAAATACATTTTAATTGTAACCAGTTAGATAAATAAGAAAATTACTTTATGACTGCTGCACCTTTTTCAAATTTAAAATAAATAAAAGATTTTTTTTATAAGATAATATTAAATGTCGTTTTACGCTATTAAACATTATAATTGGTAAAACATACACATAAATAGCCAGTGAACCACAGAAGACAATCAGAAATCTTGTCAAGTTGGAGTAGAAGAACAGGATTCCCATGAATGTCAGGAATCTCATAAAGAAATATGTGTGATGTAACCAATCCCTTGGCTCCCCTTCATCTTCTTCTTCCTCCATCCCTCCTTGAGCATTCATTCTAACATTAGGTCTTGCACCTGGTGCCACTCCATTATTTACAGCCTGTGGTTGCTGGGCAAGTGGAGAAGCTTGACTTATTGGTTGCTGTGTTAAGCTGATATTGGGCATGAATGGGTTCTGTGCCACCCCAGAATAGTAAAGATTCTGATAGCTGTTGATATGCAACAATAGATAATTTAACCTGAAATTAATTCAGGCTCTGTATTAATTTAAATAGGACGTTCTCATGATTCTTAAAATTTACATACCCTAATCAAGAATGTAAATATTCATCTACTGTCCTTAACGTAAGTTAAAAATGCAGAAAAATATCCAACTAATTTTCTTAAAAAATAAAAAATGCATTCTCTTGCAAGTGCAGCTGTGTTTCAGTCAAACTGTTCATTATACATTTTTCTATTGATTTTAAAACAATGCCTAAATTTCTCATTTTAAATGTGCCATACTTTTAAAAGAGAATACTTCTATTTTCAGTTATGCTCATGTTTTTAATTTAAAATGCTTAATTCTAAAATGTTTATAATTATTTGTAATTAAAAGCTTACTACTGCATATACTGCATCATATACTGGGAATACATTTGTTGCTGCAGCATCCATGCATATTGTTCTGGAGTATACACATAATCTGCCTGAGCTGCAGGTGCTGCAGTAGTAGTGTTTTGTTGGGCCATACTAGAAAAGATTTACACATTACTTAAAATTAAAATAAAAACTTATTAAGTTAACAGTGAACATACATGTGACAGAATAGAAAATAGAAAAAATCTAAATTTTAGAATAGAAGACTAATATTCAATTAATGTAATGATGTTTGAGAGAAAAATAAATACAATTTTAAGAAAAAAAAATCATCAGAATTTCATTCAACTCCTATCATACAAGATGTATATTAAGTCAAAATACAATCAGACTATGAATTAGGGGTTCCTAAATTTTGTACCTTAATCGCTCATCTTGTACAGCTCTGGATATATCTGTACTGTGCCGATTCCTTATTTCAGTAGATGATGCTGGCTACGAAAAAATATTGTTTATGAAGTTTTGAACTTTTTTGTTTCCAAGTAAAAGGAAAATTAAATCAAATTTCAAAAATTAAGTTAAGTGTACTTACTATGCAGTCTGGTATACTTTTAGTTACTGGTATGTTTGCCCCAGCATAATCAGCGTGCACTGAACACACTAAATGCACTGTGTGCTTATTTTTCGTCAGTTCTGAACCATCATACTGTTTATATATATATATATATATATATATATATATATATATTTATATATATATATATATATATATATTTATATATATATATATATATATATATATATATATATATATAAAAGTATGTGCATTTGTATAAATATAAATATATTTATATTATATATATATATGTAGTCTATGTATTTCTCTATAGATATATCGTGTGTGGATGTACTTATGTGATAGTTTCCATACATAAAAATTATATTTTATATTTTTATATACCTGGCGTAAAATTTCTTTCAAGGTTAGGTGGTCTTGAAGTAAACGCCCTGAATAAATTAGACGCTGTTCATTGTGTTTCTAAATATAAAGTATATAATTATGATTACTACAAAATATAATATTTTATATATATATATATATATATATATATATATATATATATATATATATATATATATATATATATATATATATATATATATATATATAGTAAACTTTCTAATCCATAGCCTATTCCACTGTTTAAAGCGAAATGATGCACTATAGCGCTCACAGGATAACCCAGGGCGCCAAATAGAATGCTGCCGGGGCGCCAGCGGACGTGCCTTTTTCAATTCTCAAGGACTAAATGTAAATAATTTTTGTGGGGGGTGATATATTTTCGTTAATTTTGTTTGACGGACATGCCTAAAATTATTACGATAAGTGTGAAAAATGAAAATTGTTTTACAACACCTTCAATATTAATATTAATTTTTTTTAAAGATGAATATGATATGATATATATATATATATATATATATATATATATATATATATATATATATATATATATATATATATATATATATATATATATATGTATAATAGCTGCTAACATTTAAAGTAACTTAAAATAAAACTTATATTACTTACAGGCTTGCTAGGATAAACAGATTCTAAATGTTGTTTAAGCTTTTTGATAGTCCATCCCAACATACAGTCTACAGTTTGATCTTCCATTCTCTGATTAGGTGCTTTAATAATGAGTGTCACAGGCATATCTCCTGACAATTCCATTCTATAATAAAACTTCTCTCTTTCTCTTAACTGTAAATTTAATCTATCCAGTATTCAAAAGTAAACTTAAGTTCAAACTTAAGTTTAAAATGAAAAGTTTTTTGAATTGCAAAGTAGTTTGATGTAATTACTTGTGAAATAAGCTCTTATTAATTCAATCTGGAAATAAAAGGATTTATTATAATAAAAGTAACATCACATCTAAAATTAATTTAAAACTAATTTTAAATCAATCCCATGTTAATAGAAATGGGTTGTTATTTTGATACTCTTCACAAAACCATCTTTGTACCTGTAATTAAATCACTAGTAGTAAGTACCAAATATGGTGCCTTGTGAATGAAATTAGTAGCTTTCATCAAAGCATTATCAAGTGTGTATTTTTAGACATTATTTGGAGTTATTTAAATGTAAACAACACAGACGCTAAATATGATTTTCCCACAATACCACCCAGATGCCAGAGGGTGTCCTGTATGGTGATCACCATTTGTTATACTGAAGTAGAAGACCTCTCTGCAACTGCCAGGTGTCAGGAGCATAGCGGGCTGCTGGATGAGACCTCTGGTTCAGTTTAGTCATTGACTGTAGTGGCCACCATGTTCCTAATATAGGGTGCTCTTTAAAAATAAACATAGGCATCACAGTGCTTATAGCTGAGCCCATGGCAGGACAACAGCAGAAGCACCTGGTGCTTTTTGACCATTGAATCAAGCAGTAACTGACTCATCATGCAAGACAACCTATCAACAGATTCCAGGTGCTAAGATTGCTGCCCCTCCGTTAAAAAAAATTTCTTGCACAAACCTTCCCAGGAGTATCCTCAACAGCTTCCCAAAGTAATGCATTAAAAGAGATTGAGAAACAGACAGACAAACACACACAAAAACACACTTTCATTTGTATTTAATACAGATGCATGTTAGCAATGTTTAATTAAACTAATGGTAGAGCACTGGATTTTTAAAGCGGTTACAGTAATTAAAAAGGAGTATCTCATGGACAGTCATTTAGTGTCACTATCACATCCAGGTAATGAAAAAATGCAAGATGGGAAATGCAAAATGATGAAAATGGTACGGTTGTAAAATGCATGAAGGGTGCCAGAATTGTGAAATAATTATTAAAATGTAAGAAATCACCTGTTTTTCACATTACTAGTCGCGGGCGATTTTACCTACCTAAAACGATAGATTACCTAACTAAATAATATATAGGGTAAAGGAGGGCGTTAAGAGCCACACTTTTTAGCACCTGTACATTTTTAAAGATTTCTACTAATCTAAGAATTTTTTAGTATTGAAAATATGGCAAAATTATTCTAACATATCTTACACAATATAAAAATAATAACAAAGTCTATTAAATATACTTTAAATGGGTTTAATTGAACATTTATTGTCATACCCCCGAAATCAGCATTTGGGGTGAAAGGAGCCGGGCAATGGGGCAATAAGCATTATCTCCTAGTTTAGACTAACTCCTTAATAAAAATAATTAATTTCTAACCCCAAAATAGTTAATGCTGTGTACACACACTTTAACTGATACTAGCTATCACTAGGCCCCAATGGGCCCAGTCTACAATTGATACAATTACAGGTGTACATAGGGCCTAAAGTCAAGTAGTTTACAGTAGGCACATTAGTATGCCTAGTGTGTAGCTAGTATACTAGTGTGTAGCTGTCCAGAGTTAACATTCTTGTATGTAAAAAGGGTTGGTACTAACTAATCTGCCTTAATGCTTTCCCCTGATAAGCCATGTGTGCTATACATTACATAACATGACATGGAGGTGAGAAATGTTGAGGGGAGAGCAGTGGTACTGGTTTCCCCTTTTTTCTCCTTGCTGAACCCTGAGGGCCATAAATTACATAAGGAGATGCTATCTCTGGTTGGCTGAGATCTAAGAACTAAGTCCATGTTACCTACAAAGAGATAAGTTTTATGGTGGGTTAGATACAGGTGGGGGCTGGGTATCATGGGGGTGAGAAATTGAGAGGGGAGAGCAGTGGTACTGGTTTCCCCTTTTTTTCTCCTTGCTGGACCATGAGGGCCATAAATTACATAAGGAGATGCTATCTCTGGTTGGCTGAGATCTAAGAACTTAGTCCATGTTACCTACAAAGAGATGAAGTTTAATGGTGGGTTAGATCATGGAGGTGAGGAATTGTGAGGGGAGAGCAGTGGTACTGATTCCTCTTTGGTCTCCACCCTGCTAGACCATGAAGGTCATATGTTACATAACATGCCACCACAGATTGTCTGAGATCTGTAACTGTAATCCATGTTACCTACAAAGAGATGAAGTTTTATGGTGGGCCAGAAACTGGTGGGGGCTGGGTATCATGGGGGTAAGAAATTGTAAGGGGGGGAGCAGTGGTATTAATGTGTCTGTTTACTTCCATGCTGGACCATGAGGGTCATAAATTACATAACATACCACCCCAGATTGGCTGAGACCTAAGAACATTTATTCCTGTTACCTACAAAGAGATTAGAAGTTTTATGGTTGGTTAGAAACAGGTGGGGGCTGAGTCGGCTGTATTGCCCCTTAGGGGTAATAAGTACTCATACCATTTTAAAAATTACCTTGCTAACATGAGATGACTGAATTTTTACTTTTTAGCAGGTTAGAATTGTATTTCTATCATTTAGACACAAGTCTGTTTAACAATTAATACATTTTGTGTTAACTATTCCTATACCAGTGTCATATTCAGTGGTCTAATAAATGAGAAACTTGCACATAGGGTTTCAAGAGCCACATAACAGTATCTGTTATAACTTTTCTAAACAGGCAAGCTAGTGAACAAAATTAATGTATTCATGTAGATTTAGTTATTATCTAACAAATAAAACCATAATGGTAATGATCAGTCAAGTTTTACTCTGATAATGATAAAAACTTTATAGCATGGTAAAATGGGACTAATGTCGGCCATTTTGTTTTGGCACCAATAATCACTGTGCAAAAAAAATTCACCAAAATAAAACTATTTTAGCTATAGCTATAAATATAGTGTTAAAATGTACAACAACCAATGCTCTAATACAGGAACAAAGAATGGGCTTCAAAAACTCATTTGGTTTATTACAAAGTGAAGTTTCCCAAGTTATGTCTATTTGGAAAAAAAGTTCACAAAATGGTTTTAGTTTTATGGAGATGAGAAATTTTAGGGAAAGAGCAGTGGGATTAAATCTTGTCTCATCCTCTCCCTATTGGACCAAGTGGGTCATAAATTACATAAAATGAATCCTCTGCTTCTCTGTTATCAAAGAACAGCAGTGGTTGTTACCTCAGAAGTAGATTAGCAGTGTCATTGAAGGTTTTGTGGGGGTGGGGTGTTGATTGGGGCTTAATACCACACGGCTCTTAACGCCCTCCTTTACCCTAATAGACTAGAATCTAATCTAGATCTAGAGTCTATAAAAAATCACTAGATTTCTAGATTCTAGGCCCTATCTATATACTTTTTTTAATATACTAATTTTTTTTTTTACTATATTTCAGATTAAGTCACTAGATTTAGGCCTAGATCTAGATTTATTATTATTTTATTAGCCTATTAGTATTAGCCATTAGCCTAAGTTATCAGTATTCTAAGTACTCAGTCTATAGAGATCTAATCTAGTAAATACAGTCTGTTAATTCGTCTTCGACAGCTCATCAATATTAGGGAAATATTCGAAGTGGATTTAAAAACTAGTTTAAATAAATTCCATACCAAATTTTACTGCTTTCCCACCTCTTTAGTGTTACTTCCATTTTGTGTTAGAAAACAAAATAAAAACAAGTTGACGTCATGTGTCAACTAGGCGAAAAATGATTGGTCCATTCTTTTCAATAACACGTTGCCCGATTCAGGGTCAGTTCGGCTAACTGGTGAACTACAAACATTACATTTACACACGCTAGGCTTGAATCCAGGGTTTATTTCAGGCATTTTTTCAGGACAATGACCCTCCTGAGGCCTCCTCCCTAGACGAAATAGAAAAAAAATGTATCATTTAGATAGAAGACGGATCTACATAGGCCCTACTTTATCAGCCTCCTCTGGCGTAGATGGATGTGGGGTATAGAGGCGCCCGGGTCGAACTTTCAATTTGGCGCCCTCGTATATATATATATATATATATATATATATATATATATATATATATATATATATCAGTAGCGTACGCAGGGGGGGGGGGGGCAGGGGGAGCGGCCCCGCTCCCCCTCTGGCCATTTTCAGCAAAGTGGCGCCTTTTTGGAAACTTTTTAAACTCAACTTTTTAAAACAATGATTTTTGCTAAAAATTATTTTTGGTCGGCACATCTATGTAAATCACAAGATTTCTTTTCATGCAGCAAAAAATACTAATAGTTTCGCTGTCTGTGTATGTATCTATCTGTCTATCTATGTATCTATCTGACAAGAACGCTATAGAGAAAACACAAGCAAATTAAAAACATGCATAGTTAAACGAAAACGAAACATGACGTCACATTGGAGCATATAGTAGAAAATAGTATCAAGCTTGGAGAGTGCACACAGTAATATGACGTCATTGATTCTCAAGTAAACATTGAATTAAAAAGCCAATTTTGTCAAATCTTAAAAGTGGTTTGCGTAAAGAGTTTCTTTCATACAATTCTTCGGGTAGGGGCGAAGCCCATCCCCCGCGTAATAACGTCTAAGCCGAAACCCCCCCCCCCCCCCCCCTTAACTCAAAAGAAATGTCGTCATCGATACTCTATAATAAAATTACAGCCTAAATCATGTGTCTAATCTAAAAAGTGGTTTGCTTGCAGAGTTTCTTTCATGCAATTCTTCGGGTAGTGGCTAAGCGCGACACCAGTGTTTCTTACAGACTTTTTCCTCCCCGGAGGAGGGAACTTTTTCTAATCTAAAAGTGTTTAGCGTGCACAGTTTTTTCATGCATCTCTTCCGGTAGGGGCGAAGCCCCGCCCAGGTTCTTCCTTTAGTTAGTATGATCTACAAATGCGACCAGTGTTTCTTTCAGACTTTTTCCTCCCCGGAGAGGGGTGGAGGTACTTGAAATTTTCGGGGCCGGGGGTAGAATTTTCTGGGAGGGGGCGGACACTGGAAAAAGTATATAATTATAATAGATTGACGATAGAAGCATGTGGTTGTATATAACGTTTATTGGGTCTAACTACATGACGGTACCACAGAGAGAGGACGGAAGGAAGTACAATGCACAAGGGACATCACTCAAGATAACAATATAAATATAATACTAATACAGAAGAGTGAGTTCCCTTGACCTCACAATTATCTCAATCTATTACATCCCTTTACCCTTAGAACACAATAACACATCTCTCAATAGAACAATTGATAGTATCCTAAAATCACCAATTATATTGTAACATGAACACTATGGTAGATTACATCCTTACAAACAATGCACAATATGCTACAACATAATCAAGATACAAAACAATGATGTCAAAGTCCTTTTGACCTTTAGAATCATAGGTCTAACTTATTTGGGACTTTGATTGTCCTGTTTGACCTTCTCAGTAGCTTTTGGTTTGGTGACTCAATATTCTGACCATTTGGATTCTCTATCTCAGGAGGTCTAGGATTTAAATCATTAACTCCAGAATTTACATTTTCTGACTCCAGACAACTTGGTTCACTCATATCAACAGAACTTGGTTGTGGAACAAACTGAGTTGGTGTGAACTGTTCAGATTTGGTGGGATTGATAGATTCACACTTATTATCTGCACAAGTTATTTTTAACTTTATAAGGCACAGGTCCTGTACATTGAACAATTTGACCTGGTATCCATTTTTCCTTCTCCCATAGTTTCTTAGATACACATTCTCATTAACTGCAAATTCTCTTTCAATGCATGAGTTGTCATGATTTAATGGAACTATTTTTGAATTGGCATCTGAAAGTATTAAATGGCAAAAAATCTTTTTTTTTTTCTTTTGATGTTACCCTTTTAATTTCTGTAAGTGCTAATGATGTTAGCAAAGTTGTTTGATGATCACATTCCTTCTTACTAATGTATTCTCTTTTAAAACATTTGAAATTGCCATATCACCATAATCATTTATTAAGTTACAAGTACTTTGTTTAGGCAACTCTGACTGATAATGGACTGCATCTTCTCCATCTTTTATATTATCTTCACAAAGGTTTTTATTTCTTATTTTATATGGCCTTAAGTCATCATTCACAGACTCTTCAGGCCAACCATTCATACAGTGCTCATATACTTTTATTAAGCACTCATCTTTTTGTGTTTCTCTTTTAATATCATTCACATTTATATTGGAGTTATCCATGATAGTGAAGAGAACAAATACATCTTCTGGTACATAGCTCAGGCTTTGGTTTTTTAAAGGTAATCTACTAAGGCTATCTGCACTATTCTCAGATCCAGGTTTGTATTTCAATTCATAATTGTATGCAGTTAGTGTGATAGCCCATCTTTGAATTCTTGGTGAGGCATGCTCAGGTAGGGTTTTGTTTTCTCCAAATAAACCTAGCAATGGTTTATGATCTGTAAAGATGGTGAACTTCCTACCAAACAGAAACTTATGAAATTTCTTAACACCAAAAATGATGCCTAAGCCTTCCCTATCTAACTGAGAATAATTTTTCTCAGCCTGGTTCAAAGATCTACTGGCAAAAGCAATGGGTCTGTCACCCTTCTCATCCATGTGGGACAAGACTGCTCCTACACCATCTGGTGAAGCATCACATGTTAATATAAGTCTTTTCCCTGGGTCATAGTGAGTTAGTAAGGTGTCAGAAGACAAAGCCTCTTTTGCTGTATTAAAAGCAGTATCTTGTTGTTTACCCCAGTGCCAAGTTGCATTTTTCTGTAGCAGCTTGTACAGTGGTGATAGTTTACCAGACAGATTTCCTATGAACTTTGCATAGTAATTTATCAAGCCCAAAAAAGCTCTTAGTTGTTGGGTATTTTCAGGTTTGGGTGCTTCTTTAATGGCTTTTGTTTTCTCAGGTTGAGGTCTGATGCCTTGTTTGCTCAATATATAACCAAGAAAACTAATTTCTGTCAGCATGAATTGACATTTATCTTTGTTTATCTTTAAACCTTTTTCACCAACTAATTTCAAGACTTTATCTAGTGTTTTAAGATGTTCAGTGTCATTCTTACCAGTTATGTACACATTGTCACAGTACACACAAACATTTGGAATATCCTTAAAAATACTGTCCATGACAGCTTGGAAAATTCCAGGGCTAGATGATATGCCAAAACATAGTCTTTCATATTGGTAGAGTCCTTTATGTGTGTTTATTGTCGTATAGACTTTTGAATCTGGATGCAGTTCTAGTTGAGTGTAAGCATGACTAAAGTCTAATTCAGTGAATTTGTCTCCTCCTGCCAAATTCAAAGAGATTTCCTCAATGTTAGGTATAGGGTACCTATTTAGCTCTATTTGCTTATTCAGTGTAGTTTTATAGTCTCCACAAATTCCTATAGAACCATCCTTCTTTAACACTGGCACAATGGGCGACGCCCAATCGGAATAGTCTACCTTCTTTATGATGCCATTAGATTCCAATCTACTTAGCTCATTTTCAATTTTATTCCTCATTGCATAAGGTGGAACTCTAGCTTTGCAGTATCTTGGATTTGTGTCTTTAATGCTTAACTTCACTGTTCTATCATTTAGTAATCCAGAGTTACCAAAAACACATTTATTTTCAGATATAACTCTATCTAGTGAAGTAAGACTAGATTCTTTTACATTCTTCAATGAACAAATACTCTCCCAATTTAACTTAAGATCACTTAACCAGTTCCTACCTAGTAATGGTGGTCCATTTCCTTCAACCACAAGAAGAGGAAGTTTAACACTTTGACCATTATAACTTACATGAACCATACACTCTCCTATTACCGGAACATTGTCACCAGTGTATGTTGTTAGACACTTGTGACATGGTTGTAGAGGCACTGATCCTCCTGTGACAGCGTCAAAATCTTTCTTTGTTATGACTGTTAGAGATGCTCCAGTGTCAAGTTGGAAGCTGATGCTCTTACCGTTGATATAAACTGGTACATTGATGGGAGCATGACTTATTGATTTCACAGAGAATAGGTTGAAATCCGGCTGCGAATCAGTTTGAGCATTTTCACTGGTAGAGTGGTTCATTGGTTGGGTTAGGTAATCTTGGTGAGAGTTAACATAGTGCTGCTTTTGGTTGCGGTACTGTCTTGACTGGCTAGATTTAGCAACAGACGAAGACTTTGCAAAGCAGGCCTTGGCAATGTGACCTTGCTTACCGCTCTTATAACAAGTTGCAGACTTGAACTTGCACCGATGAGATGCATGGGGACCTTTGCATCGATGACATTTTTGATAATTATTACTAGATTTAGATCTAGGATTTGAACGAGCAGGCTGTTTAGCATAAGTTGGAATGCTCTGATGGGGTTGATGTTTATTGACTAACCTGCTGTTTACTGCATGGATCCCTGAAGGCGTAAGAGATTTCGCCGCAGCTGATGACTGCTGGAATGAAATTGCAAGTTGTATTGCTTTTTCCAATTTTAGATCTGACTCGAGCAGCAACTTTCTTTGAATATCAGGGCTGTTTACACCTGTCACAAACTTTTCACATAATCTGTCAGACAGCGTGTCTCCGAATTCACAAAATCTACTTAAATGACGTAAAGCAGCAACATATTCTGATATTGACTCGTTTGGTTGACGAGTCCTACTGTCAAATCTAGCTCGACATAGAAACTTTGATGGTACAGGCGCATGGTGGTCTGTTAGCAATTTGCTCAGCTCGTTAAAGCTCTTGGTAGTTAGACTAGCTGGTGCGCATAAGTCCTTTAGTAGCCTAAATTGTTGAGGCCCTATGACTGTTAACAAAACAGCTCTCTTTTTGGCTTCTATCGTCACGTTGTTAGCTTCTAGGTAAAAGCTTAACCTATCTAGGTAATCCTGAATGATTTCATCATTCGAATCAAATTGTTTTATTTGGCCATACAGCGCCATTATTCTAGAAATACTTAGCCAATAAGCTCTAGCAAACCTCTTTTTTGCGTAAGTAGGTGCTCTTTCTAGTAGATCTTTATCCTCGTCGCCAGATATAATAGATTGACGATAGAAGCATGTGGTTGTATATAACGTTTATTGGGTCTAACTACATGACGGTACCACAGAGAGAGGACGGAAGGAAGTACAATGCACAAGGGACATCACTCAAGATAACAATATAAATATAATACTAATACAGAAGAGTGAGTTCCCTTGACCTCACAATTATCTCAATCTATTACAATAATTATATTTCGTTGAATGGGACAATAGACATGTTTTGGGGTGTGTGTGTGTGGGGGGGGGGGGGTGGTTTTGGTTTAGAGAAAATAGACAGCACTATCAGCCTAGCGCCCGTTGTATCCTTCCTCAGCGGGCCATTTTTCTCGTTAAGAAGAATTGTACTATTCAAGTAGCGTCTACGTTTACTAAACGTATTAACAGCTGTATCAAGTTTGTCATTCTAAAAATAACCATTACGATGCATTGCAATTTAAAAAAAACCCTCTGCGGGTAGTACCACTTGGCAAGAGGGGCGTTAAGTTTAAGGCAACTGTATAATGTATTTGCTTACGAATAATTGATCTAGAAAATATTATACATAAATCTTCACACATAATTACTGTATATATGAAGTTTTAATCGTGTAATTAATTTAAAAAAAAAATTACAATACAGACACAAATACAACTGATGTGGCACCTATATTTAAATTTACTTATGGGCAAACTGCGTAGTGGTGGGGACATTTTGACAAGGTCAACAACGTCATCACGATGAAGTAGTAGTATTATGACAGTTTGGGCGGTGATTACGATTACAAATTATATGAAACAGTTACAACCCCCCTCCCCCCCCCCCCCCCCATGGATCCCACTGTAAAAAAATAGTGTCATAATACCAGCTACTTAATTAAATCTATTTCTGAATTAGTATATATGTGAAATTGAATATGTATGTTTAGAACAGTCATCTAAAAACTGACGCTATGTTCACTCTGTTCACCACATACACACTTCACCACCACAATTGTGTAGAGCGACATTAATGTCACACCTAGGTATACACTGGGTTGGATAATTGACCTAAAGTGACCGGACAGTGGTGAATGAAGTTGAACCCCCCCCCTCAACCCACCACGAACTGATCTGTTAAGTACATTTGGTAAAACGATGTACCAAAGTACTATGCCGCCAGAATCAGAGCTTTTGAATCAGGTAAAACTCTGTGAATATTGTTTTTGCAATTACCAGTAAAAAGGTATGTGATCAATACAGTGATCTAACCCATACCTGATCACTATGTTAAAAAATGGTCTTTAAAGAACACAAAAAAGTAGTATTTAATTAAAAGATGTATGATCCGAACTAAAAGACCGATAAATTAGTTAAATGTAAGCTATTATTCCGAATGTTTTTCTATTATTTTAAAGCGTGTTTTTATACAAGCTCTGATTTAAAAAAACTTTCATTATGCTGTAATATGTAGTAATACTTTAGTATTTATGTTGACGATATATTTAATTCTGATTGTAGACAAAAAAATATTTAAAAACAGGAATACTGTTGAACAACTATATTAGATTCTAAAGTAATTACTGATTTGTTTTGTCATTTATAATTAAATAATTTATAATTAAATATGTAGATATATACATATTTATATTAAGAGCGTGATTATTTCCCCTATTGTGCTTGTCTTAATTAATGTCCCAGAAATTATGATGTAAAAATCTTTTTTACAAGAATTACAAAACATATTTTGTTGCGTTTATTGTTTTTGGTGGCAGTGTGTATATATATATATATATATATATATATATATATATATATATATATATATATATATATATATATATATATATATATATATATAGTTTACATTGATACATTTTTGGTTTTGTCGGCCTATATTGTGTGTTTTTTCTTATTTCTTCAAGTGCGAATAACAATTTATTTTACATCATAGCGAAGTAATGACATACAGCATGTAATTATATATATATATATATATATATATATATATATATATATATATATATATATATATATATATATATATCAGAGGCGTATCCAGGTTTTCGTTGTAGGGGGAGCGAAATGAGCAAAAAAAGGCGCCGAATTAACACGTTCTATAAACGTGTATTATATATTATATATATATATATATATATATATATATATATATATATATATATATATATATATATATATATATATATATATATAGGGCCTATATTAATATATATATATGTATTTATATATATATATATTTTATATATATATATATATATATATATATATATATATATATATATATATATATATATATATATATATATATATATATATATATATATTGGCATTGGCCAGCTCTCTTGGCCAAAGTCCGAAGCGCTTAAACTTGACAGCGTATTTTGTAAATTTGCCGGCTAATGCGCGCACTGGCCGGGATGTCCTTGACAGTGTTCTATCTAGACTAAGTTGTGATCGCTTTTTCATTATTCTGAGTGGTTTCATTGTGAGTAAGGCATTGTTTAGCTCTTGTTTGTATAGAGACCTTCTATACAAGTTTATACTCAGTTACCAGGATCATTCAACCAAGTTCATATTATTGCTTACCAGCTGCTAGATATCTTCACGATTATTGGTGCCCCAAGTGTGCTTCAATAAGATAATGGAAGAGAATTTGTTAGTCAAGTTATTTCTGAACTAAAAGAACATGTGGCCTGAACTTATACTAGTGCACGGAAAACCAAGGCATATCCAAAGCCAAGGTTCAGTCGAACGTGCCAACTAGGATGTTCAAAACATGATGATGACATGGATGCAAGCAAACGAATCAGCTCATTGGGCTGAGAGTCTCAAATGTATGCAATTTATGAAAAATCGTTCTTTTCATCAATAAGGAATCCAGCAATCGCCAAAAGAAGCCTTGTTTGGATGCAAAGCAAAGCAAAGCAAAAGTGGGACTTAGCACTTCAAATCTACCAAGAGAGGCTCTCGGTAATTTAGTTACTGAGGAAGATCTTGAGAACCTTGAACATTGAAAAAAAAAAAATTCTGCTTTATTGAATGTATGAGTCGAGTAACAACCTAAGGTGCCTTTTCGACTTGGTCATAGGTAGAGACAGTAGAGTCTACTCAGGGCCGGCGCTAACTGTAAGGCGAACTTGGCGGTCGCCTAGGGCGCTGTATGTGGGGGGCGCCAAAATGGGTTGGAAGAACATATTGAACGTTTGATTGGGGGTGGGGTGCAGGGGGTGCAAATCGAAAGTTTGAGGGGGGGGGGGTGCAAATCGAAAGTTTGTCCCCGGGCGCCGGGAATGGTCACACTAAGCCTCTGATAATACGGGGGCACGAAAAAAATAGCGGGCGGGGGGCGCTTTTAATAAGTTTTGCCTAGGGCGCTAAATAACCTGGCGCCGGCACTGAGTCTACTAGATCTAGAATCTAGTGCACATTCATTATTTCAAATTTACATTTTTCTCATGTTTTGACAAAAGAAAATTATCAAAAACTAAAAAAAAATTCACAAAGTAAGGCCTAATAAAACTCATAGGATACTCATAGGCCACATGCCCTGCCCTAAACCAGTGAGAGATCTTTTTTGTTTTTGGTATCTTTTCGGCGTGTATTTTTCTAGTATTTAGCCTATCCGAAGCCAACTAAAACTTGAGTGTATAATATTCTAGGTAGGCCTATAGATTCTAGATCTTCTAGATTTTTCTAATCTAGATCTAGATCTAGAATCTAGATCTACTCTAAACCTAGATCTAGATCTCTAGACTTATTAGTATACTAATAATATAATATATTCTGATTCTAGATCTAGAATTCTAGATTTTTAGATCTAGAAATCTAGTCTAGACTAGATCTAGTAGTAGAATCTAGTAGTCACAGTCACAGTAGTACTAACAAGTAGATCTAGATCTAGATCTAGAAATCTAGATCTAGATTCTAGATCTAGAATCTAGTAGATTAGATCTAGATCTAGTAGAATAGTATTTCTAGAATCTAGAGTAATGTGCGGAAAACAAGTTGACTCATTGTTAACTGTACTGTTAATAAGGCTTTAAAATTTAGCCTAAACTTTAATTTTTTTTAAAATAGAAATCTAAAAAAAAGTATAGGGCCTAGGCCTAGCTAGGCCTATTTAATTTTATAATTTATCATTTTGAATCGTGATTTGATTTGTGTCAAAGTTTAGTTTAGCCTATAGATACGAGATAAATGGCTAGTTGAGGGAGAGATACAACGGCGCCATGTAGATCTAGCTAGGTTGATACTTGATAGATCTACTAGTGTTGTCTTTTTCTCAAAACCAAAATCACCACCTCAACTTCAGATTGAACCGGAAACAAATTAAAATGTCATTGAAAACGGATTAATTTTTATCCACAATCAGAATTTTAATTGGATTTAAGCTTGTATACACAAAGTTACTGCACATTAATACTAAATATATATAGTTGTAGCCATACCCCTAAACCTTGCACCTAATCACAATCATGACAAAAGTCGCATTAAAGTTTCTTTCAGGAGACTACTTGGGGGATTGGGGGGGGGGGGGGGGGGACGACGACGACGACTACACCTCCCCCCCCCCCCCCAACACATACACACACCAAAGCACGTCTACCGTCCCATTCAACGAAATATAATTTATATAGAAAACTAGCGTACCCTTCCCCGCGCTTTGTCACGGGAATAGAAGGAAGTCCGACGAAATATATATAAGAAGGATTTCATCCATGCGTTACCAATCCTATATTCTTAGACGTGTGACCTCGTTTTCTAAATGTAAACAATGCCTGCGCTTGGATCATAATTATCGGGACACGGGTTTACCTACTCTACCGCATGAAAACCTTGAGTGTACATTAATCACTCACCGAAATAACGAGGTAGAACATACTTCGTAGACCGCCCATGTGTCAGGGACGTAGAGGGGCGCTCTCAGGATCCCCCCTCCCCCGATTACACTACTGCATAAGCGCTGCGTACGGCACCTGGCTCCTTAAAGTTAACAGGCGCGTTGTGCTAAATAGCATCCTGTTAACAATGATGCAGATTGCATCATTTGCTTAACTGACTCAAATGAACAGAATTTTTTCTCTAACACGTAAAAAAATTATTTGACGTGTTTTAAACATCAGTGTGACTGATGCAATATGTTAGCGTTGCTAATGGTCTATTATTAGATGCTTGATCTTAATTTCTGATTGGATTGTCTAAAAATAGATGCTAATTGCATCATTCGCAAAGTGACGAAACTGTTTGGATTTTTTTACGGACAAAAAGAAACATCCTAGTTAATAATCTAACCTCGGTAAATTTTTCAGATTATTAAAATAAAACGTATTACATGGCCCTCAGCGGCCCATGTGAGCCTTTGGGGGCCGAAACTGAAATTTTTGTTTGCAGCCAAATCATACCCTACCAGGGCGTCGGCGGACACGCCTGATTCAATTTACTGAGTGTTTGTAACGCCCCATCCTATCACACAATATAGACCGAACGTAGTCGTCATAGCGTTAACGGGATAGACCAGGGCGCCAAATTGTATTCTGCGGGGGGGGGGGGGGGGGGGGGGGGGGGCCCATGCAGAATTTTAAAAATTAAATCCCCCCTCCCACCACCTAACACCCCCCCACCTCCCCCATTCCCCTTCCCGGATAAACTGTGTCGAACCACAATAGTCTTTTATTTTTATATACCGTATATAGAGAGAAAATGTTTGAAAATGTTTTAGAGCAGAAACCTCCCCAGGATTATTCTCAACATCTTTCCAAAGTTTCATCGCGTTCGTGTGAACGGTATCACCGCAATTCACTTTTATTATTTTTATATACCACATATAAAGAAAAAATGCACCCACCCGTGGCGCCGCCCTTGCGAAATTAAAAATGATTTTTTTTTACAAAACCCTTCCCAAACTGTCCCAATCAACTTCCCCGAAGTCTCATGGCAATCGGATAACGTTGTCAAACCAAAATCGACTTTTATTTTTATATACTGTATATAGAGAAAAATTAAATCGCGCCCTGCCGGGGCGCCACCCCTGCGAATTTCTTTTTGCAGAAACCTCCCCAGGAATATTCTCAACTACTTCCCAAAGTTTCACTGCGATGTGATGAGAGGTGTAGTAATGCATAAAAGACAGACACACAGACAAACATACAGATATACATTGCTTTTTATATAGATAGATAGATAGATAGATATACTTTCACTAGTGTCTGCCCCCTTCCAGAAAATTTAGTACACCCCCAACCCAGAAAATTTCAAATACCCACCCCCCCCCCACCCAGGGAGGAAAAAGTCTGAAAGAAACACTGGTCATATTTGTAGATCAAACAGACTAAAGGTAGAGCCTACCTCTATAACATAGACCCGTTACCTACCTTTGGCAGATAAACCTCACTCACAGTGTTTCTTTCAGACCTTTTTTTCCGGGGTTGGGCACTTGAATTTTTGCAGGGCCGAATAAAATTCTCTGAGGCGGGGAGGCAGACACTGGTAAAAGTGTATATTTTCTATATAAATTATATTTAGTATTTTTACAGGGGGGGGGGGGCATGTATATTAAATAACAAAGTCAACACAATATACATACTAATAGACATTTTTATCAAGGTAAACTTAATTTCATGATATTTAATTGATTATTTTAAATCAATTAGTTATATTTTGTAAAATTTGACTTAGGCCTATTTAAAAAAAATATCAGTTACCTCTCTCGCACATTACTACTGTCAGCGAAATGATTATGGTAAAACGATAATCATAATTTAGTACAGTCTACCAGCTTAGGCAGGCTTAGTGCCTTACTTAATTATTAATTAATACATTTACTTACAGTATTACTGATTACTAGTTATAAGAGCTTGGTTTAGAGGCCTAAGACTAAGCGACTTTCACTTTAATAATTACAATTAGGCAGATTCTAGACTGAAAAAGATGTGTATAACTATACTATTACCTGGCTTTTTATGTTCACTGTTTCGGCCTATGTTTTGTATTAATGGTACAGGGATTATCACGATAAATACCTAAATAACTAAATAGTTTATTTAAATAGGCTATTAAAATAGATTTAAAAAAAAAATCCTAAAGGCTCATTTAACTAATAGACTAAAACTCTTTGCTAGCTGTACTATATAACCCTCAACCCCTGACAATCCGTGACCCGCCCACAGTGCAACTGCTCGTCTACACTTAGCTGGTAGTTTTGTCAGAAGAATAAAGCTAAAAGAGTAATTGATCCTATTGCGCAACTCTAAAGGATTAAATTGACTAATGGTATTTAATTTGAGCCCATTGCGCCGATATTTAGGTCATTGCGTTTTGCATCTTTTTCTGGCTAGATAGTGCTTGGGAGAAAAAATCTTGGACAATATTTTGAGTCCTCCTTTTTGCATTGAGTTAAATATAAACTCAAAACAATAAATAAACAATGGCTGCATCTATTCGGACCCTGGTCTCAATAGCAACGGCCATTATTCATTTATTGGGACCCAGGTCTTTATAGCTTTGGCTGCTATACCGACCAACCAATAAAATTATCAAGATTTAGTTAAACAATAATTCTTTAAATATAATTCTTGTTATAATAAATGATATCCTGAGATCTTGCTTTAAATACCGAATATCATTCCGGACAAATGTTTGGCTTCTAGGAGTCGTTAGGTCTATAATATATGGCCTTTGTAATGAACTTCTCTGACCGAACGAATGTTGAGCGCACATGAAAAAATGTGCTTTATTTTTTTTTCTTCTGTTAAACGTAATTTTATTTTATAGGCCTATCAGTCCAAATACAAAAAAATAATAATTGCTTAAAGCAGCTCAACATAGTCTACAGCTCCATAGCCCGTTTTCTTTAACACTAAAACATGAACTCACAATGACCTCAAAAACGTTTTTACCTTGCTGGGTGGTGGGGACGGGGGACGGGGTCAATGGACACCAACGACAAATCTCTACAATCTCAGATAGAAGTGGTATTGCTATGATGTATGCTGTACGCTTACACTATTTATATCATAAACCAAGGTGAACTCACAGTAACCCTAGCTAGACCGTGTCAGTATTTTTCTCGCGCTGGCAAGAAAAACATACGATCATATGAGCAACAGCGTTTAAAAATCTAAATCTAGAAAAGGTATAGAATCTATAAAAATAAAATTTAAAAAAATAAACAACTATACAAAGCTATTATCGAGACAGAACTACAAACTTAGTTGAATACTTATGTTCTTGGACAAAAGTCAAAACTAACTGTTTAAGATGTACCATGAACAAACATAAGGAAATCTTTGTTTAGTTCGGTTTTGAACGGGTAACTTGGGAGTTCTCCACTCTGCCTTGACATAAACATAGAAAGTATAATTTTAATATAGGTTATGCAAGTGTGTAGCTATATAGACCAAACTTAATGCCAGTGCCATGGCTTTTGGGACCTGGGTCCTTTGAGTCGGTCAGGCCACATACCAAGCACGCAGTGTTATGTGTTATGCCTTAACCAAAACAAACTCTCTTCATTATCATTAGCGATATTTATCTATATTTATAATTCTCTTCTTGGAGACCCTAGAAAACACCAAACTGTAAGCGCACATAACAGTCCCCTCTCTTCCTCTCTAGGTATATCGCTACCACCCCCATCCCCACATGGTCTGGTGAGCTGTGGTTCACGCTAAATGTTTACAATCGTATAGACGGGTTTAGTGATGGCTATTAGGGGCAGATAATTTAGTTTAAAACGATTTTAAACTTAGGGGAGGTAACTAAGAGGAGGCTGCTTTCACGAGGGGGGGGGGGAGGGGTTGGGGAAAGGATGGTTTTAGTGTTTTAAAGCAAATATTTTCAGTGGCAGCATTGGTACTGTCGAATTCAAACAAATTATGAATTACTGAAAAGCTAACTAATTTATTTTTTACTGAAATTTCCCATTTCCTGTATGATGCTATAGCAGTAGGACTATAATTTTTTAGTTATGTATTTGTTCTCTTATAGAAAAAGCTTTGTTGTTTCAATACCGATCTCGACCCTTCTAGAACACGGAGCCAGCCAAAAGTTAATTTTATCTGAACCTTTGACCTGGAAAATTTGCTACATAGGCCTAGTTCAATAATAGCAAGATTAATCAGATATTCTTATATAATTATGGGGCATGGCAACTCGGGATATAGACATGCTTTTTAATCAATTTTTACATACTTAAACGTTTTTAAAAAGAATAAAACCTAATAGAGAAAAGAATTGCCTACCAAGTGAACAGCAAACAATGCATGTATAATAGTGCAGAACATTTGTACTTTGTAAATTCATATGGTTTTTTTTTTTGAGAAATTGGAAAATTGAGTAACGTACTACTTCTGGTCACTGTAAATTACTCACAATTTGACAGAAAATAGAGAATTAGATCTTTTACTTTATATGTGAAATTTCATCTATCTTTCAGGAACAATACTCAAATTATAGGCTTTTGAAAAAACGTAAATATTTTCCACTTCCAGTTACCTGAAATCACTGAAAAGCTGATACAGAACTTCAAATTTGATTTTCAAGTAATTAAAAATTGACCAAAAATCATGTCTATATCTGGAGTTGCCATCCCCATAGTGTTATATAAGAATATTCAAGAAAGTTTAGGGGAGATCATTCCTGGTTTATTTATTTATACTAAACATGCATATGGTTATAAAAAGTAATGATGGGTTTTTTAAAATCACTTTTCAACAGATTATATGCCACTAGCCTTCTGTAAAGGACCATGACTTGTGTGTTTATTAAGCAGTATATACCCGGCATTGCCAGAGTTTAGGAAATATTTTACTTTTCCAATTGAATGTCTGTGTGCAAATATGGACGTTTGAGAAAATAATACATAACTCTAAACTTAATCCTAACCACAACAAACCAAAACACATACATAACACAAACAAAAGCACAAACGCAAACAATAAAATTATAATGCAAATGGAAACATTAAATTAAACATAGTTGACATTATTGATAAAAAATAATAATTAGTAAACAGTACACACATTGTGCCTTATTAGACCATGCTAATTAGATAATTATTTTTTTTCCAACATCAAAACATTTTTAAAAAGTATTTTTTTAAAAGTTTGTTTTGTTTGTTTTATCAAGGTAAGTTATTGGTACAAAGGGGTGTAATTAGTACATTTTTTTAAAAACAAAATTAGAATTTTTGTGAACATTTAATTTTGTTCTTTGCACTTTACGTCAAATGATAAGTTGTAAAAGGAAAATTTATTTTGAAATAATCAATATTTACTTTTTAAATCATGGATTTAGATTTTAGTACAAAAATCAACACTAAAATATTACACAATGGCGATCAAGTCTAGTTTTGTCATCGACAAACATACATTTTACATACATACAGAGACACCAAGTCCATTTGAGCTTTACATATTACTTTGTAAGGTTTACTAACAAAAGAATACCTTGTTTTATAATGATTGGCAACTTTCAATAAATATCATAATACTGAAATTTTTTTTTCCAGAGAAACAGACTTATATATCAATCAGGAAATAAGAAATCCATTTGCTATCTAATTCTAAACAATGAAAGCATTAATGCAGTTATCTTGGACCAAAGTATTGATTGCTGGTTTCATTTGTTACATGGCATACACTGGATTTACCATCTACACCGTGTTTGCACCATCATCTTGTAATGAATTGCAGTATTGCATTAAGCCTTACTTATCAAAAATGCCAAAATTAGGAGTAAGTGCTAGAATTACTACTGAGAGCTACAATTGTTTTAAAATAAATTAGTAATATTTATTTTTGAATTTTTAAATTATTTTTAAAAAAAATATTTTCAGCTACAGATCTCTACATCCATCCAGAATACTATTAACCCAAATTTACTACAATCAGTGTGGACTTATGACAACTTTTCTGTTCATGAATCAATTGTAAAGTAAGAAGTTAAAAATAGCAAAAATTTTATACTTTATGATTCATATTATGCTTGGAAATCTGCTTTGAAAGACAAAAAGTAAGTTTTCCTTTGCCTTTTTCATAAAAAAAATTGGAAAGCTTTGACATTTTTCTACATATTTTATTAAAGCTGATCTTTAAGGGTCACTTGAATGTTGATAAAATTATGTATTTGGAAGAAAACTCTTCTGCTGCATACATCTCCATAATCCCCCCTCTGTATTTGCCTAGTATTTGGGAATTTATACATTTTTCAATTAAAAGCATTCTTAAGGTACTAAAAGATGTTAGTTTGGTCATAATGGTGGGGATACAATTTTACTTGATGTCAGAACATGTACATAATATGTAGGTGTCTGCTTAAATATATACCGTTCTGAACAAAAATTAGATAACTAATTAAATTGCAAAGTTATAAAGAAGGCTATAAGAGCCAATTTTTTTTCAAAAAGTGAACTCTGCAGTATTTGCAGGAGGCCTCCTCAAATGTCAGTAATTAGAGATGGTTTAACTTTCACAACCTATTTGAAAATTGTGTTGAATAAGTTTTAAAGGATTTTTTTCTATTATCCACATCTTATTCTTTACTTTTGTGTATAATTAAAGAACAGGGGAAATTAAACGTTTAAATTCCTGACGAAGTTATATCCCTTTATGTAGGTATAAGTTAGTAACAAAACTTGTTAAATTTTATTAATTTTCACACCTAATTGAAAACCGTTTATTAAACAATTTAAAGGAATTTTTTTTTGCATATAGTCAAAGAATGAGGGAAAATAAAAGTTTACATTCCTGACGCTGTTACATCCCTTTAACAATTAAAACAGAGGGGTTAAAGCATTCCATTATAAACATTCAATTTTTCCAGGTGCCTATCTCCTTACCCAATATCAGCTTTTTGTCACATCTGCAAGTGTTCATTCTAATTTAAAATGTATAGTTTATATAAGCATTACCCACTTTGCTTTTATAGATATAGATTAAATTGAATATAACATTCAAATTTGAAGACTGCAATATAAATTATTTTTATTCTTACAAATTTTGATGAAGTAGTTTTGTATCTTTCAGAACTTTCACTGTAAGTATTCCTAAGAAAACTCGGAACAATGGAACACTGTATGTGCATGCTTTTATCTATCCGCAAGGCCAACCTCCTGAATCTGCCTTCATTGGGCACTATGTTTCGCAGATAACCAGATTTTCTTTACCCCAAGACCAATATATAAACTTGCTTGGAGGGTATGATTTTAATGTAAGTAACCTTAAATTAATCATAAGAACAATTGTGATGTTTGTCTACTCTATTACACAGATGCCATAGGGCATGTTGTATGAAGACCTTGAGTGTACTTTGATCACCTCCAATAATAAAGAGGTAGAACACCCCTCAATAACTTGGTGGAACTGGGGGTTGCACCCTGCAACTTCCTGACTCCAGTTCTAGAAAACAAAGTTGCACATCTAAATATAAAAATTTGTTATGTGTTGATATAACCTTCTTTAAATATTGCATCAGTTTGAATTTCCTTTTTTTCCTGAGATTGCAGCAAAGCTTGACTTGTATGGTAGTATATAATAAATATTCCAGCCCTGTGAGTGTTTTTAGTGTATACATTTTTACCTCCTGCAGTTTAATTTTCTGTCTTTCCAACAAGTCACACACTAAATTTATTACCCCCAGATCACTTCTACTGCTTCTGACAAGTTAGTGAATAGTTCAAAAGAAAAACCTCATACACATTTATATCAGCATTTAACTGTAAATGTTCTTAATGATAATATAACTATTCATAAGCATAAAATTCCTGGAGAGATATACCATCTGTTAAGGTGAGCATAAAAAAAAACTTTTCACAACTTAGTAGAAATATTAGCTCAATTCATCTTTATTTCATTTCTATCTATCTATCTATCTGTCTGTCTGTCTGTCTGTCTGTCTGTCTGTCTGTCTGTCTGTCTGTCTGTCTGTCTGTCTGTCTGTCTGTCTGTCTGTCTGTCTGTCTGTCTGTCTGTCTGTCTGTCTGTCTGTCTATCTATCTATCTATCATATATATATATATATATATATATATATATATATATATATATATATATATATATATATATATATATATATATATATATATATATATATAAATGTAAATTGTAAAAAACAATTCATCCAACAACATAAGTGTGTGTGTATGTGTATGTGTGTATATATATATATATATATATATATATATATATATATATATATATATATATATATATATATATATATATATATATATATATATATACGTTTTCAGGATTACCCGTGATGGAAAATTTTATTACCCTATTGTTTTTGTTGATGAAATGGCATTTAGGACAAAGGATCTAATGGTAAACAATCCTTTTATCAATGCTATATTTATTTACTTAAAGCTTTAATTGTGTATGGTTTGCAGTTGTGCTTTCAATGTGATTAAGCATTAATGAAACAATATATTTTTTAACAAATATTTCTTAAAACTTTTTTTTAGCCTGTGAATGAAACATCTTTAGTTTTCCCATTAACTATTACATACAGTCCCATATCACTTGGTAAAATGAAAATGTGGATCACCTTACAGCATTCATTCAAAGTATTAAAAGATTTAGGTTAGTACCTTGTATTTAATTGTACACAATTAAAGCTGCTGCATAAAGTATTACAAGTGACAAATATATCACACTTTTTTGCTTTTAGTTTTTTTTAATGCAATCAATGTCTTGGATCTTAGTTGTTGGGGCATAGGTTTGTCCACACTATTGCACTGATGCCTCAAGTGTTGTATAAAAACATTGAGTGTACGTTGAATACCCTCCATAAAGTTGATGCAGAATTCCCTTGTTGACCACCCAAGTGTCTGGAACGTCTGGGGGCTCTCTCTGAAGCCACCAGTTACATTACTGAAGGAGCCTCAGTTTCTACCTGGCTCGATTTAGATGTTGATTGTAGTAGCTCACTGTATCCCTAGTGTATGTTGCACTTTAAAACTAAAATAGGCACCATTGTACTCAAGGAGGAGACCAGGGTGCTCATGGTCACATGGCTGCGAGGGCACTGAAGTATACCCCTGGTACACATTAACCATTGATTCAAGAAGTACTCCCTACCCCATCTTTGACACTCAATGAACGGAGCCCAAGTTCAAAGAAAGCCAAGTGGGGGATAAAAGTGTGCCCAACCATACACTTCCCTAGTGCTCATGGTGCAGATCATGACACGTTCTAGATCACACAACTGCCTGGACACCAATCCTTGGATACATAATTTTTTATCTCATAAACTTTCCTTTGAGTGTACTCAACACATTAAAGTTTCATGGTGATCAGATGAATGGTGTAGTATTGCATAAAAGACAAATAAACATGATACATTCATTTATATATAAATAATCTATTGTTTTGTCTTTTAAACTTCCAGGGTTTACTGAAAAAGACACTGATGAAATTAAAGGAATATTTGTTGATACCAGCTTTTATTTATTGATGTTGACATTTATAGTTGCTGGATTTCATGTAAGTTTTAAAAAAAATAAAAATATTTATTTAAATCTTGATATTTCATGAACTAAAGCTGAAAGGATTTTGCTTACATTGAAAAAGATAACCTACAATGTGTAATTTAAGAATGTTACATTAGTACATTCATATATTAAGTTGCTTTTTTAAAACAAATAACTCAAATGTAATTTAAGAATGTTATTTCTGTATGTTCACATATTAAGAGCATTTTTTAAAGGGCTTGCTTTTCTAAAAATCTAATGTTTTTTTAGTTTTGTTTTACTGTAGGTTTTAAAATTATTCCTAGATTGGTTGTCTCTTGACTTCATTAATAACTAGTTAACCTGTCTCATCCATTGCTTCCATTGAAAAAAGGCTGATACAATATTTTAAGAGAATTTCATCAGTGCATTACCAATCATGTATTTTTAGATGTTAGTTAGTCCATACTACTTTCCAGATGCTCAAGGCATGCTGTATTAGTCTTGAGTGTATGTTAAGCACCTTCCAAAATGACGAGGTAGAACACTCTTTGCAACTGCCCAGGTGTCGCGGGCAATGCAGGGCACCCTCAGAAGCCTCCTGTAACACAATTACAGGGGCGCCCCGGGTTAAGTTGAATTGAATTTAGGCACAATTACACTCTCTGGGCCAATTGACGATTAGTGAATGAGCCTGTTGAATCAGGTATTGTACCTGATCTCCTGTGACGGATGCCCAATCAATGGATCCCAAGTGCTAAGATAGCTGCTGGAGAATTCTGGGTGCCTGACTGCTGGGATGCCACCCCTACAAAATCAAAATTTGTGTAAATCTTAGAAACTTTCCCAATAGTATTCTTAACAGCTTCCCAAAGTTTCATGCAGATTGGATGAAGGTGTTGTATTGAATAAAAAACAAATAGAGAGACACACACGCTTTCAAGTTTATATAGATTTGTTACTTTTAATTTAAGTTAAACTTTTTTTTTCCAGCTGTTGTTTGATTTCCTGGCTTTTAAAAATGATGTTATGTTTTGGCGTGAAAGAGAGACAATGGTTGGAGTTTCAGTGAGAGTTGGTAAAGTATAGCAGCAATTTTTACATTTTTATTACTAGCTTTGCCAAAGATAGTGAACGAGAATGATAAGAAACTTGAGTGCATGTTTTCTTGTATTTATTGTTATATTATAAAGTAGAATGGTAATATTTTATTTTTACAATTTTTGTTTGTTCTAGTTATCTGGCGATGTTTGTCCACTGCAATTATTTTTCTCTATCTGTTGGATGAAAAAACTAGTCTACTTGTTTTAATTCCAACAGGCATAGGCATGCTAATTGAGGTAACATTAAAATTGTGTGAAATGAGTAGGTTAACATTTGTTTTTAATCTTAACAAAATTTTCTTTTCATGTTTTGTCTTTTGACAAATACTTATCTCCCCAGGTATCAACAACAAATACATGGGTTACTTATTAAAATCAAGCAGAATACACATTTTTGGGATAAAAGCCTTATTAAGACCTTGATGCTTGGCTACAAAGCAGCATCTAAAATAATTTCATGAAAGTTAATAGTTTTTATAGTGATGAGTTTTTCTAACTTTATGTTTAGGTAAACTGTTTTGAGCTTTATTATTAAACTAGCAGCATATACCTGATGCTGCCCATGTTTTGGGGGGTAATATAAAATTTAACATTTATTCTGGAACTTAATTGTTGATTTTTTACGTCGTTATTTATCCTCAACTAGAAATATATGTTTATATTCAACATATAACTAGTATACAGATAAAGTTTCCTAAAGTTTTAGAAATTATATAATTAACTTTTATTACCTATTTTTGGTTTATTAAAGATTTGGAAAGTTACCAAAGCTCTTAAAGTTACTCTTCATTTTGTGGGTTTCTTGCCAAAGTTACAAGTAAGTGAACTCTTTATCATATGTAATTAAAATGTAAACACAAACCCACTTATCTCATCCTATGTTAACTTGCCAACCCTGTTGATGGTTTTGAAGTGGCAATGTTAACACATTGTTATTTCAACACCAAAGGGAAACACAAGTACAAAATAAATCCTAGAAGAAACAAAGCAAATTTACCCCATTATTAAGTTTCTGTCGTTTTATTTTCATGCAAAATAGGCTTTCTACACCTATCTTGTTTACTTAAGGGGGGAGGCTCCGGTAAAAAAATAATTTTTTAATACTCGTTAGAAAACAGTTATTTCTTTACAGCTTTATTAAGATACATCCGCATATGCATTTCCACTAAAAAAGTCGTGGAAAAATCCAGGTAACTATGACAACGGAGGCCATCTTGGAAAATTAACCCCCTCGTAGGTTTTCCACCATCCATAAAATATTAAATTTTAATCCCAATAAATAATGAATTCATAATCTTCTTCCATATTTTGTGGCACTCAGCTAAAAATTTTAAGTTCATATCTTCAAAATAATTTATTACTAATTTTAAAAAATTATGTCCTTTCAAAACACTTAATTTTGGGGCATTAAAACTAGTGTTTTGAACAGACATTAACCTCTTAACACTGGGGCTGTCGCTAAAATACGACATACCATTTTTGCGCTTAGCATATTTGCATAGGTGCATTTATCCTACAACTGCCGGTCATTGTGTATTCGGTACATCCAGACTGTCGTATCCATACCAATGGTTTAGTTGTCAAGTCGAAATTTATGATGTCACACTCCCTTGGCTCATGCGCATCATAAATTTTTTGACTTCGTTAATTCAGCCTACTTACATTAATTATTATTACTAAATAGGTGGCCTGTTTTTATTACAAAAAATACTAATAAATTTATTATTTACTCTTTTATGTAAATAAACAGTATAAATCACATATGAGAATAATTTGGAAAGTTATCTTCTGATTATGGTTTGTCGCATTTTCACGACATCTAGCAACAAAACATACAATTGTACTTTGTCATTTCTTTAAGTATGATTATAAATAAAGGAAGGATGTGCAATATAGTCTTCGTCTGTATATATAAAGTAACTTTCGAACGGTATGGTCCATGCTGTTGGTGAAGTAGAGTTCACCTGTTTCAACGACCTTGGCATGTGGAGAGAGAGCAATGCTGGAATAATGTGATCATGCTGCTGGTTACAATATGACAAATTTTTTTTTTTAGCTTTGAAATAGCATTGTAAGTTATTAGAAGAAAAGAAATCTAAATAGGACTACAGGAAATGAGGTGGTGGACCACTATCCTGGATACCACCAAAGATCTTCACAGTCACCATGACAATAATAACACTGAGCATAGACCTACACCTTGTGATAAATACAGTGAGCTTGAATACTGACAAAAGTACTCATTGCAGTGCTATTAAGTACCCACATCAGTGGCATTATACTGGCATTCAGTATAGACAGTACTGTCATTGAGTACCCACATCTTAAGCACTGAGTACCAACATCAGGGACACTGAGCACCCACAGATTCAGCACTAAGTACCCATAGCAGTGTTACTGAGTACCCACTGCTAAGGCTGAGTACACACAGCAATGTTATCGATTACCAACAGCACCTCGATTACCAACAGCACCAGCGCTGAGTACCCACAGCTTCAGCACTCAGTACACCCGGCTTCAACACTCAGTACCCACTGTTTCAGTACTGGGTTCCCATAGCAGTGGCAATATGTAGCTACAGCACTGTCATTGTTAATCCATAGCAGTATCATTTGAGTACAACAGCAGTAGCACGTAGTACCAAAATCAGAAACATTGGGTACCATCAATAGCAGTGAGTACCCACACCAGTGGCACTGAGTACCTACAACAGTGACACTAAGTACCCACAGCAGCTGCATTGAGCATGGAAGAATATACAACAGCTGAAAACTGTCATTTAGGACAGTATTTGTTCACATGCTTTGTGTATATAGCAAATACAAGTCAAATGAGAAATATGCATCTTTATTAGTTGACCTTGAATAGGAGTTCACAAAAAGGGCATTACAAGGGACAACTAATGCTATACACATTAAGGAAGTCCTCTCATATGTAGTGTTACAGTAGTGTAGTAGAATCACAACAGCAATACTTGAAAGTACCCATTCATAAGAGGTATACAGTAAGCAGGTGCAACAGAGTTATGTAACTCTATGCCTGAGCAACTTACACTATAGTTTTTATGAATTTTACAAGTGAGTCTGCATATCCTTGCATGTCCATGTTTAGTTTGTGGATATTCTATTGTTTGTGAGCGGATATTTAGAGAAATGTGTGTCAGTAAAAATAGTAAAATGACCCGGAATACTATTTTTTTTTATTACTGATGTCGCAAATTTGCAACATACCGTAATTGTCATAAACAATAAGTCCAAATTTAAAAACAATATACCTCAAATTCAGTGTCAGTATGATTAGAAAAGATCAGCACCAATAATTTTTTACACACTTGGAACATAATTCAGGCATTAAGGGGTTAAAGCAATTAGAATTATTTATTGCACTGCTGTATAGTCATTCTTTTTTACTTTCTCGTATATATACGAAGTATAGAGAAAGTCTTGTAATCGTGCAAAAAAAAAATCGAGATTTTTACAAATCTCGATGTTTTACACCACACTAATACGGAAAAACATATTTTTGCAATCTTGTGTGTCTGTGTGTGTGTAAACACGATAACTTGAGTACCGTTACAGCTAGGTTGATGAAATTTCATATATAAGGTTTTTATCAAAATCATAGATCCGTATCAACTTTTGAGCAATTTCCGATAACTGGAAGTGGTACTTTTTCTACTTTGAATTTTTCAAAAGCCTATAACTTGAGTACTATTTCAGATAGATAAATGAAATTTCACATGTAAGTAAAAGATCTAATTCTCTACCTTATATCAAATTTTGAGTCATTTCTGTTGACCTGAAGTACTATTTTACGCTATTTCCGATTTCTCAAAAACGCATGTAAATTTATAAAGTACTAATAATATTGCACACTATTATGAACATCTTTATTTGGCGTTCACTGGTGTGCAATTATTTTTTCTATGAGATTTTATTCTATTTTTAAAAGTTTAAGTTTTTAAAACGGATTAAAATTCATGTCTATATCCCGAGTTCCCATCCCCTGTTTTTTTATATAAGGATATTCTAGAAAGTTTAGGGGACATCACTCCCGCTTTATTATATTATGTACTGTTAAATCAATGCTGTTGATGTACATATGCCTTTTATGACAAAAGCTTTGTTGTTAGCTAATAGACAATTCTATGTAGACTATGTTTTATAGTATGCCAAATCTTATTCAAACAAATCACAACAACATTGTTGTGTAAAAACCTTCAATAGACCCATTTTATAACACATCATGGATGGGGGCTTTCATTTCTGCAGATTTGCATAATTTTTCCAGAATTGAAGCTTACAGTCAAAAATTTTTCGCTGACATTTTTTAGTAAAATATTTTTATTAAAAAAGTATCCTAAAATGAAGGAAATTTAGAGTCTCTCCAGCCCAGTTAATTTACTCTTATCTCGCAGGTCTATGTAAAATTTACCAATTGCAATAAAAAGGTATTTCAGTATTATTTACCAATTGCAATAAAAAGGTATTTCAGTATTATTTTAAAGTAACAAACTTTTTAATTTAAAAAAGTATTATAGCTGTATTATGCTATTAATTAATGCAATGATAGTTTAAGAGTGGTGTATTGCCATACATTAGAACAGCATTTAGCCTGGTCCTAAAAACTTTGTTGTTTTGTTATTGTTATTTCACACCCCTGATGTATACAAAGAAATTTGTTAATATATTGATTATTTTTGTTTATTTCATTGACTATTATTTTAAGGCCTAATGGTAAACCACTACGCTGTCAACATAACATGGTTAGACTGTTTTTAGTTTTCTTATGAGATCTTTGTAAAACATCTCTCTAAAATATTACATTGGAAACAAAATCTAATGCAGTTATATTACTTGTCAGATAGGTGGGAGCAACGATCAAGAAAAAGAAACAGAAGCGTTTGATTCAGAGGTAATTGTTGAGTGAACCAAAAATTAGGAACTTGTCTGGGTGTAAGATGGGACATTCCTATATGTAATTGATTTAAATATGAATGTGGTCTTATGATATGTATACCCACCCAGACATTCCACGTCTCTTTCACATGTAGCACTACTATCTATTTATATAATTCTCTACTTGGGGACCATGCGAAACACAACCAAGACGTAAGCTCAGCAGACCATATCGCTACCACCCCCACCAGTCTGGTGAGCTGTTTACAATCGTAGTGACGGCTATTAGGGGCAGATAATTTAGTTTTTAAACTATTTGAAATTACGAGGAGGTAATAACATGTTCTGCTTGCTCTTTTCATTGTCGTCTGTAAACTCGTGTTTTAAAGCAAAATATTTTCAGTCACAGCATTGGTAGTGTCGAATTCACAAATTATGCATTACTGAAAAATAGGTATAAAACTAAATAGCGGTGTATGCTACATCGCAGGTTAGCTCGTGCTTTTTTATTGTTACTAGCTAACTTTTTTTATTAGTCGTTTTATTTTGGTATAATTATGTAATCTTTTATACTTTGTTGGTCCACCTGCGTCTTCTGCATTGGTTAGCTACTTCATTTTGTTAAGTAAATGTCTTGAATATTTGTCAGATTCTGTTTGTCAGCCAACTACATTGTTACAAATTGCATTGTTTGTAACGATTCATCTGTTATGCGTTCACATCCACATCCATCCACACCCACAACACACACACCACTCACAATTTGCCTAACTTTTTTTTTTTAAATTTCATCTAAAATCTTACCCTTTACATAATCCTTATAAAAATTCTTACCAATAGTAAGGGTTACACTATTGCTGATTTAATGTCTACATTTTAAACATAAGATAAATATTTTAATCATTCGAAACCAAGATTCCTTTTTTTTTTCAAGCTTTCACTTAGTTCACAGATTTTTCAGACACCTTCGTCTTGTGTGACAATGCAAGAATATCAATAAAATTTAATTAAAAAATTACTTATGTCACTAATAAAAGTTAACATTAAATACTAGTGATTGCCAGAGCAGCTATCTATGTAATCTGGCTTTTTTTTTTGCCTGTGTGTCGACCTCGCTAAAAAGGGGCAGATAATTTTCTTTTAGAGATCACAAGTTACTGGTCTGCAGAAGGATCAGCCTGGTGCAGTTTGACTGTAGTAGTACCCCTGACTTCCTGCGCCCACCAACAGATCCAAATAAACGTAGCTACATATATATGTATATAGAGAGACTAGCCGGACAGACCAGGCCCTGCACTGGCCTCTGTGAAAAACCTATCTGCAAAGGACCATAACATGTGTGTTTAGTAATCAGCATATACCCGGCATACCCCACCCTAACCACAACCAATGCAAACACAAAAAACACAAATACAAACACAAAGAAAATACAAATGAAAAAGCAAACGAAAACAAACCAAATCCAAATGCACACCCAACCACAAACGCAAACCCTACCCAAACACAAAGAAAACGCAAACATAAACGCAAAGTGCTCACAGTCTAGCCCGGGGCGCCAAATCACAGCATGCTGGGGCGATGGCGGAACCGCCTGTTTCAGCTTAATAAATGACTACCCCAACTTATTTATAGTCTTTTGCACTCACTTAAACGAATGTAGGCGCCAAAGCGAACACGGGAAGGCCCGGGGCACCAAATAGCACCCTGTCTGGGCGCCAGAGGAGCCCGGATTTGATTCACTTAAAACTTAAAGACAATAATCTTAAACTTATCCATAGTCTGTCACACTGTTTAAAGCAAAATTATGCACCATTGTGCTCACAGGATAGCCCAGGGTGCCAAATCGATCCCTGCCAGGCGCCGGTGGACGCGCCTGTTTCAATTTAGTGAAGAATTATAATACCCCCAGCTTATCCGCAAACGGAAAAGAAGTAAACATATAGAACATTTCGGAGCTGGCTAATTAACTGTTATTGATTTTGAAAAATGATAAGTAAACTGTATGTTCTGTGTATAGAATAAATAAAAAACAACTACAACATTGCACTTGATCAATTTCCCCCCACCCCCACCCCATATAATGGTTTTTTTTTAAATGGAAGTAATTGTGTTTTCCTAATTTGTCAAGGGGAGTAATGAGTGTTAAAGGACTAAATGTAAATAATTTTAAGACACAATTACAATTTTTGTGAAGGATTATACATTTTCTTTTTTTTTTTTGACGGACATGCTTAAAATTATTACGATAAGTTTGAAAACTGAAAATTATTTTACACCTTCAATATTAATTTTTTAAAACATGAATTTAGACGATGGGCACTTTAGACATCACCACAGGACATAACACAAGCAAAACACACGGCCACATACATTGCATTTCTTACTTCATAAAAATGACAAAATCAACGGGACCCTTAGATGGGTACCCCCTACACTTAACAACGCTACACTCATACAAGCACTGCGCCTTTTCAGTAACAAAGAGCCATCCATAGACACAATTCCACGCACTAAATAATTGCAGCTTTTCCGTCTACACCGATAATCTATCAACTATCCCACACTACATCAAAATAAACTACAAAAACAAATCACTCACTATCCTAATTGCAATCTCTGGGAGAAGACAAGCGTGTCAAATCTGTTCCTCCACCCTACACTAGACGAACCATTGCCAGCAAACGCCTTCAGACATACCACAGCAGGAAGACACAAAAGCACAACCAACAACGCCAGCAAAGGGCTTGTCAATCAACGTCAGCAAGACTCAACACAAGAGAACACCGCACTCAGCCACAAGATGCAATATCAAATACACTGAAACCGACTGTCAGCATTTCGACACAACTAAAGGACCCCAGCTCCATGATAAACAGAACTGCAACACAAATAGGAATCTTCAGTACGAAAACAAACAAATCTCAGAAAAAGCGCCCAGCAAACAATGACAGCAAAACTCAACAATGGACACCGACACAACAACACACAAAAGAAAAAAGGAAGACAGCCCACCAAAAATTGAAAGACCCCTCAAGACACCAAAATCCGGTAACACTGAAAATAACCAGCAATCAATCAAATCATCAACGCTGAACTAATCCAAGACATCGAGGATACAGAAAGCATAGAGCAAAAAGATATAAGATGCCGACTGTGCTGGATACATTTTGACACAGAAGAAGATCAGACAAAACATGAAAAAGTGCATCCGGCAAGCCCCGCTTTACATCTGCTTTGTTGACTTTGAGAAGGCCTTTGATTGTGTGGATAGGCAAACAATATGGAATCTGTTGAGACACTATGGTGTACCTGCTAAATTAGTGGAAATAATCCAGCAACTTTACAATGGATTTTCATGCCAAGTTAGCCATGCTGGGAAACTGTCTAAAGAGTTCCAGGTCAATACAGGTGTGAGACAAGGATGTCTGCTGTCGCCCCTCCTCTTCTTGGTGGTTCTCGACTGGGTGACACACACAGCCTATGCCAGTTCTGGAAAATGTATTCAGTGGACACTCACAGAAGATCTGGAGTTTGCAGATGATCTTGCCTTACTCTCGCACAGGCTACAAGACATGCAAGAAAAAGTTGATGCATTAGGAGCCATCTCTCAGCGCGTAGGTCTCAAGATCAACAAAGAAAAGACAGAACTGATGAGAATTAACAATAAACAGGAGGCTCCTGTGACAATAGACGGAAGACAGGTAAATGATGTGCAAGAGTTTGTCTACCTTGGCAGCAAGATCAGCAAAACGGGAGGCACAGAGGAGGACATACGCGCTAGAGTTAATAGAGCCCGCTGCGCTTTCAGTCCTGCGACCCATATGGAAAAGTTCGGCCATCTCCATTACCACAAAAATTAGGATATTTAACTCTAATGTCAAGGCAGTTCTGCTGTATGGAGCAGAGACATGTAGAGTCTCCAAGGCAAGCACAGCAAATATACAGACCTTCATGAATAGATGCCTTAGACAGATATTGAAACTGAGATGGCAGGACAAAGTACCGAACATAGAACTATGGAGGAAAGCTAGGCAGGAGCCTATAGGTGTGCAAATAAGAAGGAAGAAGTGGCGCTGGGTGGGTCACACACTGCGAAAGGCTCACCCAAATGTTACACGCCAAGCGCTTGAGTGGAACCCCCAGGGAAAGCGGAAAAGAGGGCGCCCAAGACAGACCTGGAGGCGGAGTCTTCTTGAAGAACTGAAGCCAACAGGGATGTCTTGGGAGATGACAAAATTAATAGCCGAGGATCGGAAGAAATGGAAGGAAATGGTGGAGGCCCTATGTCCATAAGGAGCAAAGAGGACTAAGTCAATATAAAAGTCAATCTATCAGTCACCAAGCGAGGAACCTGTGTTCCGTTGTTTCTACTGTGACATTTGTTTCTTCACAGAAGAGCTCTGGAGTATCCACAATAATGAAACGCACTGGGGACTAGAAGATGAAAAGGGATTCTACAAAATCCATGTGCGCGTTACGCCAGATAACAAATTGCTGGTTGACTACGGATTGAATAACTAAGACACGGAATCCATTGAGCTTTATAAATGTCATCTACTTTATGTTCTTAAAAAAAACAAGTTAATAAAAAGTCTAGTGACAATTTAAGCGCAATTTCCTTAAATAATTTATTGTGACCGAACGAAAGGATATTTTTGAAAACTTTCTTCGGCAATATTGTTCTAAATTATGGCAGAATCGATTGGTAATGTTTCAAGTCGCTAAGTGGTCTGGTTGCCGAGATATGGGCCAAAAACTGCATTTTTTCGAGGTTTTTTGGCTTTTCCGGGAAATCCAGGAAGGAATTCCGGGAATTTTTTTGGCCCACTATCATCCTCGGAACTTGCTTAACATATTTGCTTTTGGAACTAGTCCTCGATATTGCTTCGTTGAGGAGGAGATACGACTTAAAGCTGCGGACACACATGGGACACACATCCATCCTTGACGAGTTAATAATCGCAATAGTCAGTATGGAAATTGCGCTAAAAAGAATTGAGCCTTTTGATAAGTACATTATATACATGTATAAATATTTCATATATGCATATTTTTCATGTGAACCTGCTCTTGCTGCCTACCCATGCTTGAGTGGGAAAGCAGCAAGAGAGGAATTATATTAAAGGAGAAAGAAAAAAAAGCACTTTATGTATTAGATTATTAAAAGATAAGACTGATTTTAAATAAGAAAATTGTAATCCCCAGTATAAATTGCTAAACATGCTAGGATTTAGAGATGCATTAAGGATTAGGAAATTTAAATTCTGTAATGACTTAATGTTAGATATTACTACAAAGACTAAAGATATTCGACATATCATAACAATATATAATATATAGCCCACCACAGCCCCCAATAACGTTACACATTTTTTATAGATATGCAACCCCCCACATAATATATACACATCCCTCCCACTAATACTGTTGCATCTTCATAAACACTGACTTGTGAATGCTACACTCAATGTAATTGCAAAATTAAGTGCTCAACAAACCAGTGCAAATTAAAAATAACTAATTCCAGTGTAATTAAAATAGTCATAGAAGTTCATCTTGTTGTAACAATACAGATTAAAAATTTAGTTCTGTAAAATAATTTGACTGTTATTGTAATTAATAATCATATGAGATAATTTCACTATCACAGCATGAACAGTTTATGAGATGATATTGGCCATAACCACACACATATTAAATTATATATATATATGTATGTATATATATTTACATGTGTTTTTTATATTTTAACTTCTATTTTTTTAAATAATTTTTTTCAGGCAATGAAGTATTTATCATATGTTCTATATCCTTTATGTTTTGGAGGTGCCATATATTCATTATTCTTTGTTCAACATAAAAGGTATTTGATACTTTTTGCTTTTCATTATCAATCCAAGTTTAATGCAGATTTAACCCCATAGTTTCTAGTTTGAAAACATGATTGTGCCTATCTATTTTATTTCATACTTTCATTTGATTTTTTAATCTTCTATACCATTTTTACCTCTTATTCAGAATTTACGCTTGCAACGCTAAACACATCTAGAAAAAACCTTGCAGCAAGATAGTATACAGGTTCTGCAGAAAAATGTTTTCATGTAACTTATTGCTAGCCTGTTTTTTTCCTAGACGTGTATAGTATGTGACAAGTGTAAACACTGTATTAAAGCGAGTTAACACCTATGAAATGTATACTATAATTGACCTACTTATATATACACCATACATATCATTGGTGTATGGAACATCTGCGTCACTGGGCATAAAACCATCCCCTTGGACTAAGTTTTTGTTTTCGCTCAGGAAGCTTAAACATCAGATATGTTCTGAATTTTCACATGAGTGCATCGAAGCATGGTAAGCGCACGCCAATGCCTAGCACTCAGCTGGTTGCAAAATGTAGATCTTGCTCAAATATACTAATTTGAGGTTTTTCCCACGTTTTCTTTAACTTGCTTTCGCGTCTTTCCAATCAAATCTTGCAATCGAAATTTCGGGCACTTCCCAGTTAGCTAGCGCGCTGAAATTTTCAGGGAAGCTTTGTTTCCGATGACAATAGAATATTCAATTGTTATTATTACTAAATTGATCCATGGAAACATTTTATTGATCATTTTAGACCGCTATATAATTGTACAAAAAACGTGGGGAAAAAGGGACATAACCCAGTAATTGTAATTTGATGAAAACAACGTTCGGTACTCTCCCTCTTTTTGCTTACTAAGTAGTTGTCACGCGGTGTTTGTGTACAAACAACCAGAACGTAACAACTGGTGGCCAGTATGGAGGAGACAATGTGTCGAGTGGTTGGGCACACGATTGCTAACCCACTCGACACGGGTTCAAGGCACGTGTTTTTTACGAGTTGCCTTCGTTTACCCAAAAAAAAAAGTGAATGCGAAAAGATAAAATCGATAGCAAGATTTTAAAGCAAACAAACAGACAAAGACTAAAAAGTAGAAAATAATTATCATTAAAAAAGTTTTAAAAAACCCACGTTTTCTGATTGAACTAAAAAGTAGAAAATAAATGCTATACATCACAATAATGCAAGCGATCACTCTACTATAAGCGATGAAAAGCGTGGGGCGCCGTGATTTTCTTACAGTTTCTAATACTGTTGACTCTCTACAAGCTCCCTAATAAAAGTCAATAGTATTATCTAATCAATAGTAATATAACTTTTACATCTTATATTTACAATGACCGATAAAAAACTTACTTCGGCGCCCCACGTTTTTCATCGCTTATAGTAGAGTGATTGCTTGCATTATTGTGATGTATAGCATTTATTTTCTACTTTTTAGTTCAATCAGAAAACGTGGGTTTTTTAAAACTTTTTTAATGATAATTATTAATCTTGAGGTTTTTGAGCACACACTTTCAACAATTATAACTTCTCAACTGAAAAAAATATAATCTATATATATAATTCTCTTCTGGGAGACACTAGAAAACAAGCTGTAAACGCGCTCCCTACCACCCCCACTCCTACATGGTCTGGTGAGCTGTGGTTCACGCTAATTGTTTACAAACAGAGCCGGGTTTAGTGACGACTATTAGGGGCAGATAATTTAGTTTGAAACGATTTTAAACAAAGGGGGGGGGGGGTAACTAAGTGGAGCTTACTTTGACGGAAAATTGTATTGTCTACTGCATTACAATATTGTATCAAAACCCATTTAGATGTTAATTAAAGAAATAATGAATTTTAAAAATATCAATATATAAAGTTATTGTTGAGGGTTATTCTTCAATTTTCCTCTCCCCATAGTTTGTTATGTGTATCAACATGTTTTCAATTTCCGTTTGATAAAGAAATAAATCTATTGGCCCACTAGAAGGTGCTTGTGGGAAAACACTTGAACAGACTTTAAAAACAAGGAAGATAACAGTTAATTATTTAGGTTTAAAATGGGACATAATCAACAAAGAAATTTATAAAGTGTCGGAGGCCGTATATATGGGTTATTATATTGCGGGATGTGGGGAAGGGGTAATAGCAGATGGGTTATGTCTTATACCAGTGCTATCATACACAACATTAGTTTAAGCTCAGTTACTGACACTCCAAATAAATTTCTAAATCTTTCATGTTCTCTTATTACTTTCTCGTATATACGAAGTATAGAGAAAGTCTTGTAATCGTGTAAAAAAAAAAATTGGGATTATTACAAATCTCGACGTTTTACACCTCACTGATATGGAAAAACATAATTTTGCAATCTTGTCTGTGTGTCTGTCTGTCTGTTTGTGTGTAAACACGATAACTTGAGTACCTTTACAGCTAGGTTGATGAAAATTCATATAAAAGTATTTTATCAAAATCGTAGATCCGTATCAACTTTTGAGTGATTTCCAATAACCGGAAGTGGTACTTTTTCTACTTTGAATTTTTCAAAAGCCTATAACTTGAGTACTATTTCAGATAGATAAATGAAATTTCACATGTAAGTAAAAGATCTAATTCTCTACCTGCTGTCAAATTTTGAGTAATTTCCGTTGACCGGAAGTACTAATTTACGCTATTTCCGATTTCTCAAAAAACAATTTATAGAGTACTAATAATATTGCGCATTATTATGCACATTTTGTTTTGGCGTTCGCTTGGTGCGCAGTTCTTTTTTCTAGGAGATTCTATTCTATTTTTAAAAGTTTAAGTAATTAAAAATCATGTCTATATTCCGAGTTATATAAGAATATTCGAGAAAGTTTAGGGGAGATCACTCCCGGTTTATTTTTAAATATAAATTCATTGTTGAATTATAAGCACTATGGCTACAAACTTGTCCTTAATCAAGGCATATATAGCAGACGCTGTAGGTCAAAGGTCATGTTTGCTTTTAAAAATGTTCTATAACATGTTCTGCAAATGTGAACGCTAAAGAATACATGTTCTGTGAAGCTAATGTTTCCAGATAAAATTAACTAATGGGCTTTGTGTTCTAGACACGTTTAGAATACATATCATCATTTCTTTTTTTAGCTGGTATTCCTGGAGCATTAATAGCCTTGTGAATGGTAAGCTTATTATACAATGTTTTTTTTTTTTATTTTTAGTTCAAAAATTATTTTTTTAAAACTGCATTTACAGAAATATAAGCAATGGGATTTTGTGTTTGAACATGTTAGTTAAAAAAAATTTCTACAATGTACAATCTGAACTCATTAAAAAATACAATATTTTATATTCAACTACTATTTTGTTTTAACCAATATTGAGTTTGTTGGCTGAGCCTTAAACAAAGAAGGTAATTTCCATTGTTATAAAAAAATTTCAAATTTTAGAAAAATGATCGCATTCCTTATAATTAAAAATATAAAAAATTAGTTATTATATTAAGTACAAGCTGCATCTGTACCATAAAAAGAAAGTGCAACTACAGGCATAATTGTACTGATATCTTAACTTCCTTTTAACTAAAACGCAATTATGTGTTACTAATAAGCTAAAAAGTAAATTGTATTAGTTTAAGCTGTAGAATTAATCAGAGTGGCAAAGGATCGAGATAGATGGTGGAAAATTATAAGATCAACTTTGGTGCCTCAATGGCCCCAATAAGGGTAAAGGGATGCTGATTGATTAAGACATTTGAGGTTTCATGTAGATTTCCAGCTTTTTATTTTTTTCAATACAGGAGTGTATGCCTTTGGGTTTTTGTTTATGCTACCTCAGTTATTTGTCAACTATAAGGTAAGTTATTTAATCATGTTGATATTTTTTACAACTACTCTGTGACAAAATTAGCTGTTGGCTAAAATAATCACTTGGTTGTTTGAATAATAAAATTTACAACTACTAAATTTTATGTAAAATTCCTATTTATATGTACCAACATGTGTAAATTTAAAGGTATCACTATTAGCTATGTTACGGAAAACTAAACTATTTAAAGACTTGTATCCTAATATATAAAAGCCCATGTGCGCATTTCTCTCTCTCTCTCTCTCTCTCTCTCTCTCTGCATGTCCCGAGCCTAAGAGATCAGTATTTTCAGCAATATATGGAGAACTTTTGCTGAAAATAATATGGTGAATGTTTTAAATGTATAAACTAAATTTTATTTGAAGAAAAAAAATAAAAATAAAGCAATATTCAAATATAAAAACACAATTTTATTTATGCAACCTGAAAAATGTTTATGGTTGTGACAAGAAAGCAATAAACAAATAAGCAATAAACAAATAACGCCACATGCTACATGTTTAAACTATGGAAAGAACACAAAACTAATGGCGTCATCTTCTAATTTTAGAATATGAAGAAATGAACTATTTCATTCAAATTTGATTTAGATTCTATAAATCTACTTATCAAGATGTAGGCTATGAAAATTATGAAATGCATACAATTTTGTTGGTCAACATATTAAAATAAATTACTTTTAAAAAACAACATGATGACCATTGAACAGGCGGGTTTTAACGCAATCATTTAAATCTCTTAATCAGTGTGTGCATTTAATATGGTGTTGTGTTGACTAATAATGTATATAACTTATTTGATTCTAATTGGTATTGGCAGCCTATGTTATTTTAAATGTGTCGGATTTGTAGCTATTTAGTTATTTATTTGCTGATATCATTTACATGTAGTAAACAACATTGCTTTTTGACCAATAACTATTTTATAAAATATTTTTCTCAAATAAGTATAACATTAAAATATATAGGCCTATAATTCATGTGTAACCAGAGTTTCTTCCAGGCATCTCTTCGGCTTTGCCCCCCCCCCCCCCCCCCGAACGAAATGAAATTTATATAGAAAATATATACATTTACCAATGTCGTGTCCCCCCCCCCCCCCCCCCCCCCCCCGGAGAAAAAAGTCTGGAAGAAACACTGTGTGTAACAGGTACCAACGGCTAGTTAAATATAAATGCTCAATGTTTCTTTCAATTCTTTTGGTAATAAAAATATTTTAGAGTTGAAACTTTGCACAATTTGAACTTTAATTAGGTAGTCCAAACTGAAATTAACTATTGATTGCAGACTTCTGGAGTGAGTATGTCATGAAAGAACTTTTAACTGTAAGGTCTATGCCACAAATTTTATAAAAATATCTCAATAAATAAAAAAGTTATGCGATTTTTAAAAAAGCAAAATTTGGTAAAAAACTGATTTTCAAAAAGTGCCATTTTTGAGAACCCATATTTTTTAAACTAAATAACATAGAAGTGTAGAAATCGGTAAAGTTGCTGCAAAGTTTGTAATATATATGCCCAATTTTTTTCAGTCATCTAAAATGAGTCTTTCTAAGGTAAAAAAATAATTGAAAATGACAAAAATGCGTTTTGGTCACTTTTATTTTCATTAAAAAAAAAAAATTCAATTTTTTTTTTTTTTGCTTTGGAATAACTCTAAAACTATTGTGTTGGTAACATCAACGTGGAAAAATGTGTTAATTATTTTCAAAAATCACATGAGTTAAAATATTATTTTAAAAAATACCACAGTTATCTAGTGCAGGAGAAACAGAATCAAAATTTAGTAGAGTAAATGTAATGTAATGTAGTTTAATAAAGACGTGATGCCTACAAGTGATGCAGCAGTTGATGCCACATGCTTTGGTTTCTTTTCAAACCTATACGGTTGATAACTGCTTTGGGGGAACAGTTTTTAAAACTACAACTCCACATCTTTGTACGTCTTGTTTCCCTCAACCTTGATCTTGTGGAGCATCAAGAGTAAGTAATATGTTTTGGGAATTGTAGGGGGGAGTGGGGTCATGGCCTTCTTCCCTTCCCTTGTAAGGAAAGTTCTGGATAGGCCACTGTAAATGTCTCCAGCTATGGAATAAACAATTGATTTAGTGATTAATAAAATAGAATTAAATTTACTACCAGCCTATTGTGTAGGCCTACTATTTGTCCTATGACTATAACTGGAAACATATGAAAAAGCCTGAAAACACCTTTTTGTTAAAAGTAATTTATACTTTATATATATTTTTAAGAGTAATTCTACTGAATGAAATTTGAAATATTCGTTGCTTGTGCCACACTGGTTGAGATATCCAATAATGAAGATGTCATACTGTGGTTCTCAACATCCTATAGGACAACTTAACTGTCCTTCATTGTTACTATTATATGCATATAAAATAAATAAATAATGAGAAATACTACTAGTACTACTTACACTTACAACTAATATAACATTTAAAACTAAGTCACAACATGTAGAATCTTAATAAATTGCACCACCATCTAAAAATTGATCTGGTACATTTAATTACGGAGACTGGCGCAGACCATTTCACATTATTTAGCAGGGGAATCAGAATCAGAGCACACAACAGAAAATAAAAAAAATTAATCACATTAGTCCTTAAAATTTAGTGTCTTTTGTTTTAAATAAATCGATAAAAATGTATAGTTATTATAATTATACATTTCTTTTGTGTTTCATTAATATTTTATAAGTATTTAACCTTCGTTCCCTGTAAATAATTGAGTTCGTCCACATAGTAACCAGGATAGTCTGGTGGCCATTTTGAATTTGTCGATTCATAATTTTGACGTGATAGTCCAGATAAACTGTAGTAATACGACCCTATCATTGATCCCAGTCAATAGATTTTAAAGAATTAGTAAACACTAGCATCTAATAGTTAAGTGCATCCATATTTTAAGTCCCTAGAATGTCCTGAATTAAATAGCTTCACGTCTAAACACACCCTGTGTACAAGCGTAGTTCACACGCTAAAAACGTGGACTTGAAGCGTTCAAATTTACATTAATAACGTGTACTAATTAAACCAAACTGACATTCAAACTTAAAATTCATTTATTAAAATGGAAATGAAACTTTAAAAATGATACTTACAACTTGTTTGAAGGCTCTAGCAAGGGTAAAATCCGTTTAGCATCATCGGTCGTCAACCTTTAAAACCGTTCGGCGAGCAACTTACTCGGGGCTGAAAGTCGACTCGAGGGTTATATGTTTATTGGGGGTACGGCTTCGCGACCGTAAATCAGAAATACTTGAATTTACAACACAAAGTAGTTATAAAACTGAACTTTACATCGGTGTAAAAATTGAAACAGAATTTGTTTGTTTCCGTGTATATATCGTCATTTAAAGTTTAAAATCTGTATTTTTTAAATGAAATAAACAAGTTATTTTTTCAATTTATACATCAAACGATAGCCTAGAATTCGATCTTTAAAATGACATTAAGATTATGCTTCTACGATGCTTCGTCGCGAAGCCGCGACCAAATAAAACAGTGTGGGGTCGATCGGTACACGCAAAACGGTGAAATTTGTTGACGTAACTGATACTTTTCAAACAAATATAAAACACATTCAGACATGTGTTACAGATATAAAAATACCAGATTACGACAGATAAAGACTTAAACTTTATTGACATATAATTTTTATTCTTATAGGACAACTAGAAGTAGTGGAATTTTTTTTTGAAAACCGCAAAAACTGACCCTAAAACGCACTTTTTCGCCAGTTTGGACTACCTACTTTAATAAGCTGCACAGTTTATTTTATTAAAAAATATATGTATTAATGAGTTTCATCAATATTAACCTCTGTAAACATCATAAACATCTTTAAACATTATATATTCTATGAATATGATAACAGGTGTTCTGATTTCATGTTTTTTTTTTTTATTTATATATTTCTATATTTAAATATTTTAACTTTTAATATAAAAGCCCTAAAATTATATTTTTGTGGGTCAACTTCTGTTTTGTATAATATCATCTTATTTCAAATAATTAGTTAAAATTTGACTACATTTACAGTTAAAATCTGTGGCCCACTTGCCTTGGAGAGCATTTATGTACAAGGTAAGTCTATTTAATATTTAATGCTACAAACTTGGGAAATGTGATAGAACATGATTTTTTTTTGGGGGGGGGGGGGGGGTACAAATGATGATGGTACATTGTAATCTTCTATCCTTATTTCCTTGTAATATCTTACTTATTACTTGGACTTGTTACTTGAATTTAAAAAAAAAACTAGTGTTTTTTCGTCTTTCTTACTGTTCAGAAAAGAAAATTAAAAATTTTCAAACTATGGTGAAGCACATGAATGTTGCTCAGAAATATCTGTATATATTTCATATTCTCTAAATGATGGTGACTTTTAATAATTAATAGATGGATACTAAATAGATTATTTAATTTTTTTACCATATTATATACTTTGATTTGATTTTCTTTGTCTAGGCCTTCAACACATTTATAGATGATGTTTTTGCCTTCATTATCACAATGCCTACAGCCCATCGCTTAGCCTGCTTTAGGGATGATATAGTATTTCTAATTTATTTATATCAAAGATGGTAAGACTATTCAAATTATGTAATAATTTTACTTAAAAAAAATATCTTGTTTCCCCAACTTCTATTTTCTGTTATAGATTTTAACAAATCTTGACATTTTGGACCTTGTTTTGCTATCTTGTCTGTCCGTGTGTGTATGTGAACACAATAACTTGAGTACTGTTTCATTTATTATTTCATATCCAATTTTTTTGTGTTCTATGAGCTTTAAAACCATATGGTAACTAGAAATGGTACTTCAGATTACTTCATATTTTATAATAACGCCAGATAGATGGAAGTGGTACTTCATTTCTTGTGTTTAAAATTCCAAAAACTTGAGTACCGTTTTAATTAGGTGGATGAAAATCTTATACTTATACACTGGTTTCTATCAACTTTTGGGTGATTTCCAGTCAAATGAAAGTGGTATTTTATTCCATTTCTTTGGACTAAATTTCATATACAGTACTTGCTCTTATATGTAGATCTCTATCAACTATTTCCACTAACAGGAAGGAGTACTTTATTTCTGATTTCTCAAAAAATGTCAGACTTGATAACTGTATATCATAAAGCAAATTGTACTCTATACTAAGAACTGTGTTTTCTGAAATAATGAGCAGTTTTGTCATAAACTTCTAAATGTCTATAGCCTTACTGTTTTATATATATTTTTATTGGTGTTCTTATTGTACAAGAAATTTTAAGGAAATTACTACAGTTTTATTTTTAAATGCTTTTATTAACAGGTTGTACCCTGTAGATAAAAAACGAGTGAATGAGTTTGGTGCTTCTTTCAAGGAAGATGATTTGAAAGTCATAAAAAAAGAATCAAAGAAAGGCAAATGAAGCATCATTGAAATTCTGAATATATTCTATTATTTAATCTTTTTACTTTTTTTGTTTGTTTCCACATTGCTTTTGTAAATTTGCTATGTTTTTTTTTTTAAAAAAGCTCCAGTTTTAAGTTAAATAAGTCAGCTTAATTGTCACACTATCTATTAGTATTTTAGAAAGCTCCTCAAAATAGATTTTTCCACATATCAATGTTAGAACCTGTTTGAATAATCAATATTAACATATTTCAACATAGCAGATTCTTTAATGATTTACAATAATTCATTACTATTAAACTTTGTCAGAATCTGATTCAGATTGCCTGTGAATTGTTTTTCTACATAACCCCTCTAAAAGTTATGACTTTAAAAAAAATCATTATAAAAATAAATGTGATTAATATGTTCATACTTACTATAAAGTTGTGTCCTGATTTAGGATTAACCACTGCTAAATTAAAAGATCTAAATTTTCTATCCATTTTTGTTCTTGAGGTTGATGATGGATGCCTATTAATATTAGCTAAATAATTTCTAAATAATCTTGAAAATTTTACGTTAAAAAAAATCTTACAAAAAAAAATATAATTTTTGAAGAAAATGGCCTTTATCTTATCCACATAAAAAAAAATCACAAATGAAAAATGCATTATAAAGTGAACAAATAAATATAAAAACCTTAGTAATATCATGCACTGAAAATAAGAAAATAAAACTTCTTTCTTCTTCGAGCCTATTCTGCCAGAGGGTGACCCGTCAAAAGAGCGCCGACATAAGAACGCACCAATTTGCCGACATAAGAGCGCAAACTAAAGATCGAAAAACCATATTTAATAAATAGGAACAAGAAAATTAACTTAGATCAGACGTCATCGTTTGAAGTTAACTCTTTATTGTTTCATAAAACTAATTGTTCAGTTTCTTTAACTAAAAAACTGATATAATCAACATGAAGTCGAATTATTCAAAACGCAAACTATTAACACATACAAGGATTTTAAATGTTAGGCCTAAAGTGAGAATATAAACTGAAATGAAATGTAACAAAATGAAAATAAGTTCAGATTAATAAAACGTTTCTTTATAGTTGCATTTATAAAGCTAAGTTGTGGGCTATACCTCGTAGGTAGTCCATCATTGAATCATTAGCATAGGTTGAAGCGATTGCCTGCAATCTTCTGTTCAGCTGAACATAGATCTATTTGTTCTTTGAAGCTTCGGGTTGATTAACTCCAGCCAGATGACGTTCCAGTTCGATTTCGATGTGATCTTGTTCCAGACGAAACTGGTTGATCAATTTAAAAACGGAAGGATGATTTCAATCTACCGTTTGTTGGAATGCGCGATGCCATGCCTCGACTGAGTTGTTTGTACGTGGTAGATTTTCAGAGACACGATTATGGACATTCCAAATAGCAAGAGCGAAGCGTGGGTCACCTCGACGGTTTCTCCTTCGCCTCCCTATGTAACTATCCTCCCAATAATCTACCAGTGGCATAATTTCTGCAGGACTAGCTTCTACTAAATGCTCGAATGCAGTATAGACATCATTTACAGGAACAAAACCTAAGGCAAGCAGAGCATCTTCACTGTCATTCGACATTCCTCCTTGTCGTGATGCAGTTGCGATAAGCCTAAATCTTGCACTTTTCGCCAGACAAAATCAGACATGATGCTCGCTGCATTTACGGTTGGTAGATGTTCCAGAATGTTCTCAAAAACTCTGATATAGGTTGCTTCGGTCTTGTCCTGAATTAGGCAATAAACCAACGGCACTCCCTTGTTATCTATTAAAGCATGAATTGTAAATACCTGATAGAAGATTACTGGTGCAACTCTGAAAGTTCCATCCACAAACCAATGTTCATTTTGCTTCCCTTTCTGTGATGCGATCTTCTCCATGTTACTTGGGCCAGAAACATTTTCAAACCGCATTTATACCATATCAACCATAATTTATTAATAAACACATGTCGTTTTATCGTACCGCCGATTGTTTAATGCCATATTTGTTTAGCTTACAGCATGTGTTTTTATAATTGACTGCGCTCTTTTGTCGGCGCTCTTATGTCTGCGCTCTTTTGTCGGCGCTCTTTTGACGGGGTGCCAGAGGGTTTGAACTTGATCGGGTATTTGAAGATATTGCAGAAATATTTGCCAGACAGTGCGGTTTACTCTTATTATACGGGAAAACTAGTCATCTCAATAATTGTGCTTACGTGACATAAAACTGACTCGTTAGAGTAGGTAGTCCAAACTGAAATTAACTATTGATTGCAGACTTCTGGAGTGAGTATGTCATGAAAGAACTTTTAATTGTAAGCTCTATGCCGCAAATTTTATAAAAATATCCCAATAAATAAAAAAGTTATGCGATTTTTAAAAAAAGCAAAATTTGGTAAAAAACTGATTTTCAAAAAGTGCCGTTTTTGAGAACCCATATTTTCTATACTAAATAACATAGAAGTGTAGAAATTGGTAAAGTTACTGCAAAGTTTGTAATATATATGCCCAATTTTTTTTCAGTCATCTAAAATGAGTCTTTCTAAAGTAAAAAATAATTGAAAATGACAAAAATGCGTTTTGGTCACTTTTATTTTCATACAAAAAAAAAAAAAATTCAATTTTTTTTTTTTTTTGCTTTGGACATAGAATAACTCTAAAACTATTGTGTTGGTAACATTAACAGGAAGAATGTGTTCATTATTTTCAAAAATCACTTGAGTTAAAATATTATTTTTTTAAAAAATGCCACAGTTATCTAGTGCAGGAGAAACAGAATCAAACTTTAGTGGTGTAATATAATGTAATCTAATAAAGACGTGATGCCTACAAGTGATGCAGCAGTTTATGCTACATTCAAACCTATCGGGTTGATAACTGCTTTGGGGGAACAGTTTTTAAAACGACAACTCCACATCTTTGTATGTCTTGTTTCCCTCAACCTTGATCTTGTGGAGCATCAAGAGTAAGTGATATGTTTTGGGAACTATAGTGGGGGGGGGGGGGGGGGGGGAAGCTTGGCTTTCTTCCCTTCCCTTGTAAGGAAAGTTCTTGATAGGCCACCATAAATGTCTCCCGCTATGGAATAAATAATTGATTTAGTGATTAATAAAATATATTAAATTTACTACTAGCCTATTTGTCCTATGACTGTAGCTGGCAACATGAAAAAGCCTGAAAATACCATTTTGTTAAAAGTAATTTATAGTTGATAGTATATTTTTAATATTAATTCTATTGAATGAAATATTCGTTGTTTGTGCCACAATGGTTGAGATATCCAATGATGAAGGTGCCATACTGTGGTTCTCAACATCCTATAGGACAACTTAACTGTCCTTCATTGTTACTATATGCATATAAAATAAATAAATAATGAGAAATACTACTAGTACTACTTACACTTACAACTAATATAACATTTAAAACTAAGTCACAACATGTACAACCTTAATAAATTACCATCTAAAAATTGATCTGGTACATTTTATTAAGGAGACTGGCGCAGACAATTTCACATTATTCAGCAGGGGAATCAGAATCAGAGTGCACAACAGAAAATAAAAAATTAATCACATTAGTCCTTAAAAATTAGTGTCTTTTGTTTTAAATAAATTAATAAAAATGTAGAGTTATTATAATTATAAATTTCTTTTGTGTTTTATTAATATTTTATAAGTATTTAACCTTCGTTCCCTGTAAATAATTGAGTTCGTCCATATAGTAACCAGGATTGTCTGGTGGCCATTTTGAATTTGTCGATTCATAATTTTGACGTGATAGTCCAGATAAACTGTAGTAATACGACCCTATCATTAATGCCATTCGATAGATTTTAAAGAATTAGTAAACACTAGCATCTAATAGTTAAGTGCATCCATATTTTAAGTCCCTAGAATGTCCTGAATTAAATAGCTTCACGTCTAAACACACCCTGTGTACAAGCGTAGTTCACACGCTAAAACCGTGGACTAGTAGCGTTCAAATTTACATTAATAACGTGTACTAATTAAACCAAACTGATATTCAAACTTAAAATTCATTTAGTAAAATGGAAATGAAACTTTAAAAATGATACTTACAACTTGTTTGAAGGCTCTAGCAAGGTTTAAATCCGTTTAGCATCATCGGTCGTCAACCTTTAAAACCGTTCGGCGAGCTACTCACTCGGGGCTGTAAGTTGACTCGAGGGTTATATGCTTGAAGAGGGCACGGCTTCGCGACGGTAAATCAGAAATACTTGAATTTACAACACAAAGTAGTTATAAAAGTAAACTTTACATCGGTGTAAAAATTGAAACAGAATTAGTTTGTTTACGTGTATATATCGTCATTTAAAGTTTAAAAACTGATTTTTTAAAATGAAATAAGCATGTTTTTTTTTCCAATTTATACATCAAACGATAGACAAGAATTCGCTCTTTAAAATGACATTAAGTTTATGCGTCTACGATGCTTCGTCGCGAAGCCGCAACCAAATGAAACAGTGTGGGGTCGATCGGTACTCTCAAAACGGTGAAATTTGTTGATGTAACTGATACTTTTCAAACAAATATAAAACACATTCAAACATGTGTTACAGATATAAAAATACCAGATTACGACAGATAAAGACTTAAACTTTATTGACATATAATTTTTATTCTTATAGGACAACTAGAAGTAGTGAAATTTTATTTTTGAAAACCGCAAAAACTGACCCTAAAACGCACTTTTTCGCCAGTTTGGACTACCTAGTTAGAGCGCGGCCTAATATAATTATAAATTATATATTTGCCGAAATGCCGTGCTTAAAGTAGATCAACCGGTGCACCGTCAAAAGAACCCCTACATAAGCTCCCGTCAAATGGGCTCCCATAATATTGAATCGCGACATAGACTCCAGACAAATAAATCATATGACTACGAGTTTTGACAAAGACGCAACCATTTTGTCCAATCCACCAATCACACACCTCCACTTTCACTATAACCTCTTGGAAATCCCTGAATGTAAAGCTTTTTCAAGAACTAACAGCAATTTATAAACAAATCGTGCTCTTAACTGCTAAATTCCACCAATTTTTAAATGTTGGTATGGTTTATATACAACCGTGATCATATGTTACTTATTTAGGTTAGGTTAGGTTTACCTGTCGTCCCTCCTGGGACATAGGCCGCTGACAAGAGCTTTCCAGGCATCTCTGTCCTGGGCTAGTCTCTCCAACTGTCCCCAGGTGTATCTGTTACAGTCAAAGCCCGAAGTGCGGCAAAGCCCGCATTGATCGGCTAATATGCGTATTAGCCGGCTCTCTTGGCCAAAGCCCGAAAAACTTATCACTAAGAGCGTATTTAGTACATTGGCCGGCCAATGCGCGCACTGGCCGGGATTTCCTGGCCAATGTCCTATCTAGACTAAGTTGTGATCGCGTTTTCATTATTCTGGGTCCGGTTTCATTGTGAGTAACGTATTGTTTAGCTCTTGTTTGTATA